GGTATTAAACAGTCTGATTACTACAGGAACATAGATGAAACGCTTGAGCTCGTCGAGACCAGGCCGACGACCGATTTGTTGTCGCGAGGCGTGCAAATTCCATTGCCACATTGCTAGCTGATCGAGATTTGGCATTTAGAGCAGTAGCGACGAAGTATTCCGCTTCCTCCCGCATAAATACTATTTTTTCGCGTACTCCTAACATTACCACTGAGGTTCATGAAACGAACTGTCGATGAAACATCCCGATGTCGACGAAACAATCTGTCAACGAAACATCCGTTCAACAAACTTCTTTCCACCTTTCGACGAAGCATGACTGTGAATGAAACGCCGCAGAGTCGACGAAGCAACCTGTTAATGAAACGTCGTTCGTAGAACTGAATTGCCACCGGTTGTCAGCCGCCACGAAGTAACTGTAAAATTACTGCCATTTATTTTTGTTTTGTTTTTAAAACTTTTGTTGTGCGCTCACTCTTCCCCACACTGAGGGTATATAAATAAATAAATAAATATTGAACGAGCACAATGGTGGGCGATCAAACTGATTGAAAGGAGAGACGCGGGGGATACAGGACCACTCCAACGGGATTTAAAGCGAGAGCTTTGGAAAACCCCTATCCTCCCTGCCAGTCCGACGTACATGGAACCAATTAAAGGACGTCCGGTCAAACGGGATTCGACGCCGAAAGCTCCCGTGGGAAGGGGGTCCTGCGCAGCCGGCAGAAGCGAGGCACGCGGTCAGTTTCGAGACCGAAAAGTGACAAAGGCCGACACGCGCGCTTGCCTCAGCTGCTGGGAGATGTGTCCATCGACCGGACGCCTCGTCGACGACCCCTTGCAGATGTGGGCCGGCAGAAGCTGCAGCAGCTGGAGACGCGCACACACGCACGCACAAGTTCGCACAGAGACTGGTAGCTGGCGTGTTCGTTGATTTTACACAAAGCATTTGAATTTGTAGATCATAACAACATAGCAAACTTGATTACTATGGTATTCGAAGCCTATACTTTATTACTCTCTAATTCATATTTCAATCAACTCTTTCGATATGTTAATATTTCTGGGCATTCGTCGCGTTAGAAACCTATCATCTCACGTATTCCTCAGAGAAGCATACCTGGGCTACTTTTTGGATTTATGCGGAGCGCTCGTATCGTCTGCTATGTTTGCAGGGGTTGTGGTGACGTCAGAGAGGCGTCGAGCTCCGATTGGCTCTGATTGAAGGATAGAGGGTAGACCTCGAAGCAAGCTGCCCTTCAGGTCTTCCCACAATCCTTCAATCAGAGCCAATCGGAGCTCGACGCCTCTCTGACGTCACCAGAACCCCTGCTGCAAAAGTAGCAGACGATTCTTGCGCTCCGCATTGTTGAATTCGTAATATACGCTGACAAAGCCGGCATATTTCTCTCCTCAAGCAGCAATGAACTTGTAGATGTCGTTAATTTTACTTTAGGGCCATGGGCACCAGATAATGGACTAGGAATTGACACCGATGAAACAGACCATTAGTTTTTATCAGAAAATAAACGAGTTTATACGACCAACCAGCCTTATTTAATTCAAGTCCTAGAGAAATCGTGAGTAATATTAGAACACTCGGTGTAGTTTTTTTTCTGTGAATGTGCCATGTGATAGTCATATTATTTGATTTCAAAATTGTCACGTGTTGCCGCGGTTTGATGTACCACCAAAGCTCAACTCTTCCCATTGCTGTTAAAATAGACTATTAGTGTTGCGTACAGGAGCAAACGCAAGCGCCGTGCGTTTGCGTTTGCTTTGCTTTCTTTGCCTGCTCCACGCAGCAGATGAGCGTCGTCGTCGTGTGCCAATCCCAGACCGCAGTTTGGGCTCCGAACACGCGCAGTGTGAAACGCGCAACGTTAACGCAAACGCCACTGAGCGTGCGTTAACGTTGCACGGAAACCAAATGCGGAGAGCTATCTACAGGGTGTCACAAAAGAAAATTTACACAATCTTTTTTACCGCAAAAATAAACTAGGCATCGCCGAACGCTCATTCTCCGCCCAAAGGTATAGAGCTAGAGGTCACAACCAGATGCCAAAGTTTCAGCCCGATCCGAATACTTAATCAAAAGTTTGTGGGATTTGCCCTTTGGGGGGGTTACCACTTAGAAACACAACGAAGGTTCCTTGGGTTCGTATTCTGGAAATTTCAATGTGAAAATGGCGGCCGACGGAGTTTTCAAACACATGGGGCTCTATGGCACCAGAAACCGAAAACGGGCAAAAATGGGCTCCTTTTTCCCATTGAAATTTTCAGAAAATCACTTATAACTTTTGATTAAGTTATCGGATCGGGCTGAAACTTTGGAATCTGGTTGTGACCTCTAGCTCTACCTTTGGGCGGAGAATGAGCGTTCGGCGATGCCTAGTTTATTTTTGCGGTAAAAAAGAGCGTGTAAATTTTCTTTTGTGACACCCTGTACAATGCCCTTTGAGTTCGATAGTTTGAAAATAATAAAAATGCATAATTTATAGTTATAGGGTTATAAACTGTGCATCACTTTCAAAAAAGAAAAGAAATGGAACTTCGATTTTAACGATAAACGGTTAGGCATATACCGTAGTTCCCAAGTTCCTCGGCACCTGTGTAGACAGCGATATAAAGCTCGAATCACTTTTTGTCGAACAGTATAAGCCTTTTTTATTTATTGAATATACGAAGTTGTGAACATATAATTTGGATTGCGTACTTACTTAATTATTGTTCTTAGTTTTATTGCTGTAATAATATGCTGTTCATCCTTTTCCTTTTTGTGAATTGTGCAATGCTTGAAGTGCGCGAAGTGATTCGAACCACTGCCGACGGGGCTCAGAACTCGTCAAGCTTTGCATTGAAACTTTCTCCCTCGCGCTCCACTATTTCTTCAAGATAGAAATAAACATTAAGTATCTTTATATACTGCGGTATATAATATACGCGATCAACCGGAAGAGAGAGCACACAAACGCACACGGCATCCGGTCGAGCGTCAAAAGTCAAACCTATATCACGAAAGTTTCGACGGCTGGAAGGTATAGTCTGCCGTTAAACAGCATCTGCAGCGCAATTGATAACCTGTGGCTCTAACGAGCATAACGCGGTAACGAATACACGACTGTTGCCGCGAGCTCTAACGAGGCATTGTGGTGCGAGATTGCGTCTCCTCCGTCTGTAGTACTATTCAGAAATAACAATATTAACACGGTCACGCGCGAGAGCGTGTGTGTCACCTATCGCCTCGATGCGGCGGGGACAGACATGCGATCGCGCATTAGGGCTTCGTTTGACCACTACACATAAAAATGAACGGGAAAATGTGTACATACAACACATCTGATTCGATTGAGTCGTACAGCGCGCGATGCCTCAGAAAAAGGGTTCAAGTTGGGCATCCTGTCACAAAACGCGAATCACAACAAAACGCGTACAAGTCGTCCATCCAATCGGGCACGGGAGGTATGCGTCACACGATCCTCCCTAATGGAGGGTATATACGTCTGTGCGTAACGACCAGCTCGACCAATCGAGTGTCCAGAACGCGCCGGCACTCACTGCGCGTGCGCGAAACGTCAATATCGCAGCGGAAGCCACGATAGCCACTCCAGCGCCGCGCACCTGTCACGTGACCACGCACCTGGCGCACCGTTGCTGTGCCCTCTCTAAGATCACGTGACACCAACACCGGATTGGATTGGCTCCGCGATGACTCGTAGCGTTCGTTGCTGTTCATCGTCAACTGACACGGAGTGTGGTTCCGAACACGGACCCCATGTCCGGCGTGCGCGGGTTCGGACACTCCAGTTTGAGCCCGCGCAGCTGGACGCGGAGGAAGGGTTAGGGAAAGGGGTTGGCGAACTCGCTCTGCTCGCCCGCAGTCTTCGGGTGGGTGCTATTGTGGGACATCGGAGAGAATTGGCTGTTGTTCATTGAGCGCAGCGCTCTCTCGTTAATCCCCGATCGGCGTCCACGGCAACCGGCCCTTGACTCACTACCAGCGAAAGCTGACAGAGGGTCAGCTAGGTTCGGCAACGGAACAGGGGTCGAAATGTATAGGAAAAGCTCCAGCGCAAGTCCGGTGCTTCAGAGTGTTATGATGTCATGAGGCTCTCTGATCTTAGAAGAGGACATCCAGTGAGCACGCTCGCAGGGGGTGGCACGCGCTGTTGCGTTTGGAACTGACGAGCAATCGCCATAGCTGCTGCTTTCATCCCGCATGTTACTTATTAAACAATTTGCTTAAACCATCCTCTTGAGCTTAACTAGCAACATAACACAGAGAAGCTTTGAAACTGCCCCCCAGCTCAGTGTTGCTGAATCGTGGGAACTTTCTCACAAATATTGCTCCAGGAGACAACGGGAAACTAAACTCGAACGCACGTAAAATAAGATACATGTTTTGTCATAAAAACAGCTTTATATTTCGAAACAAAAGCAAATGAAATTTCATACAAAATGACTGGAGATTTTGTTTGTTTGTTTTTACCTGTCGACACACGGTACGAACACACTCAGTTGGTTCGCGGCTCAGGAGTTTCGCAGTTGGCCCACTTTTCGGCATGCGCTATACAGCGGACGCTCGTGAAATCTCAGTTGGCCTCGGAAAAAAACAACTCCGCGATGGCAATTGGGCGGTAGCTGACTTACGTGCTGTTATAGAAATCGTCCCGTAAACCCCAACTGTCAAAGAGCTTTCTTCTCGACGCGTGTTGAACCCGAGCGAGTTGTGCGACACGGCAATGGTATGCGTTCACGCACTATCGAAAATATACGGCGCGCAAGTTCGTCCGCTTCTTGGGCAGGGGTAGCGATGACGTCAGAACGGCGAGCTCTGATTGGCCCTGATGGGAACGGTAGCGGGTAGACCTCAAGACCGGGCCTCAGTAGTTCTCTGAGCAAATTTCCCCGGAAACCTTCGCACAGGTAAGCGGGGCTTGCCGTGGTTGCATTAGGATCTTGGAACGAGGCATCTGCAGACCGGCAAACGACGGTTGTTGTAAAAATACTTTTTTTATTGTACACATCTTTCAAACAGCAAGCACACGATTTGTGACGCATGAAGATCCCTCGTCATGCTGACTCTCGACACACTCCAACACAAATCTAAAGGTCAGCCTATTAATTATATTTTTCCATAATATAATACTCTTAGATAACAACACACGCACATTTGTTCTGTGGATGTTTCGATTTATCCCGCCTTCATAAATTATCAAAAAGTTACAACTTCTATATATGTACAAAATCTCCCGTCTTCGCCGAGGAGAAAAACCTAAAACTTCCAGCTGTACAAGGAGAGTATCACAGAGTTTGGGACAGCAAGTGTCAGGCAACACCGGAAGTGTTGCAGAAGTCCACAATGTCCTTGGCACGACTCCTCGTGGTCTTGCCGACCTCCTGCACCCGCTCGACGGAACTGTCAAAGAAAAGAAACAAACAAAAACAAATTATCGGGCGATTTACTGGAATTTCGCAAAATCTCGTAACAGGTGTCAAGTACAGAATATTTTCATAAAAACAAACATGCAACTAGAACACGGAGCTCCAACCACAAACGTACAACATATACAGAGCATTCCTGAGCAGTATAGATATGTAAAAAAATAATAATAATAAAATACTCCGTATAAACAGGCCAGTAGATGGAGTGTGCCTGGAGCGCGTCTCCGAAGGGCGTGTTTAGCGTTCTTTCTGCCCATACATCAAAAGAGGTCCCGAAGTGACAACAAATGACGTCACACAACTTGCCGGCACACCGCCAGGATCGCGACCGGCGACAGCGTAACACTTTCATGACGTCATCAAGTAAAAATCGAGGGACTTATTTTCTTTTTTTGTATGCGGTAAATGCACAAGTTGGAGATGCGTTTACTTATTTTATTATGTTTCTTTTTCTTGAGGGGGGTATTTGTAGAACACTATATTACATCTAATGTTTATGGCCATCCTGAGAACAATCGCAAAGCTTTTTGTGCACCAAAAAATTCTTGGGGGCTTACAACAAATTTTATTGATAACAATAAACTCAAAACCGCTCAATTTGGATTTTTTTTTTTTTACAGACTTTTAGGCGACGTAACGTTTATGACTACGCTCGTGACAACCTCAAACGCACATCCGGCATATGAAGTTTTGGACCCACAGGTGGCGCCATCTGACATGAAATTTTTGCAACTCTGAGACTGTCCACGTCCGAAATCATTGGACCCAATCTTAAACTCGAGCGTCCAAGCGGCCTGCCGAACTGTGACGCAGCGCCCATTCTCAATCGTTCGGTGGCATGGCCTGCCCAAAGTTACCCTTCTTGGCCACCAGCCGCGCTGACTAGCAACCGATTGAGGCACCTCCAGTTCACTGCCCCAGAGCTATAGTGCTTAAAAGGTGGCAAATTAAAGGGTTTGCACTGTTGGTCGTAGTAAGGGTCAAACTAGAGTCACTAAAATAAGCTACGCTTTCAGAGTACCGCATTCCTTTTATTTGGCATTTTGCCGACAATACAGTCGCTCTATTCAACAATATTCTGGTTCGCTGCGGCATCATTGGACAGCGGCAGTCACGTGAGTCGTTATCATCATCATCGCGTTTTTCAACGCCACCATCTTGGGTCCAGTGATCCGCTGCCTGCTGCTGTTTTACTGTTTACTGCGCGCGCACACTGAAGTCCGTCGCTCAGAATGCATTATTTCTTTCTCACGTCGAGATACGAACAACACGACCTTGATCGCTGCCACAGTTGCGGCTACGCCAGCTGGCGCAGGCCACGGCTACAGATCGGCTTGGCTCAGCTACAGTCACTCCTCCATCTGCGCGTGGACCCAAGATGGCGGCGCCTGACGCGCTTCAGACGCGTAGTTTGGGAGTTTCGGTACTCTGAAAGCGTAGCTTTATTTAGTGACTCTAGGTCAAACTTGCTTAAAGACCCAACTTTTTTTTTCTTGCATGGTTTGAGACGAAGTTTAGCCACAACTGACAGTGGAGCAGAAACTACGTTCTTGCAAACCGACGAGTCTTTCCGTTTTGTTCATGGCCCATAAAAATAAATTAATTATTTACGTGTATTTTCCCCTAACCTTAGTCAGCCTTCAGCGGTCCGTGCAAACTCGGCAGCATGTACAATATAAATAATAAACAATTCCAATTTATCACGGGCCAAAAGTATTTGATTGTTCACCTCACATCACGAGTAACTGCCGCAAGTTCTTGTCCTTACAATTGAGAAAGTGACATACCCCTAAAATTCAATTTTCATTAAGATATCCTACACCGAAATGAGTGAAGGGGAAAGGTGCCAAAGATAAGTTAAATAAACTTTGCGACTAAATAAAAGCGCAGATATTCTGCATCCATGTCGCATCGCAGCCTATCCATGCAACTGAAAAATATAAATTAATTCATCAACTTAAAAAAAAAAAAAAGTTATTTTATTGCCAGTATTTACATTTATCCAGGAATGGATGCAGTGGTGGAACTGACAAGTGGTGATTTGGAGCAGAGATTTCCACTTTTGGAGCAGACAATTTTGAGCTTTCATGACCAGAAAGTTTTATACAATCTCTTCGAAAGTCAGCCCGTAGTAAAAAAAAAAAAATCGGCAGTAGTTCCAGCGTTGGGGGACTAAAGTATTATGCCTACAGAAGAACTGGCCTGTACAGGTATTTATTCATTATTTGGACAACCATACACCAGCAATTTTGTAGATGTCTCAATTAACCTATTAGGAGTACTGATGGCATCTTCAGTCTGTGTTTGATGTAAAAACATGTTTTTGGCTACTTTGTACAGGGTTTGTATTAAAGGGATACTTCAACCAAATTTGAAATATATCCCTCGTGTTCAAAAATAGGTTGAATATGATCCACAATATCCGTAAATGACAATCGCACGTTTGTATTTTGAGCCTGGTGGCTCTATATTTAGTTATACACGGCCCACTCTAGCAAGCGCTCGGAGAAGGCCCAGCTTAGAGCACGTGACATCCGACGCAATCGTGACGTAGTTCGTCTCGGGACGAGCAAAGCTGCGGCGAGGCTGACGTCGAGGGGATGGCTTAGTCGTTCCAGCCACCGAAGCGGCTGCTTCTGTAAGAATTTTGAGTGACGGGTGAACCTTCTATAATCTTGTAGAGGGACAATAGCGACGTCTGGGACGCACAAAAGCAATTCTCGGGAAGAGGGGAGTTCCTCCTTCCCCTCTTCTTTCGTGGTGACCGGAGGCGAGACAGCAACCGTCACTACCTCTCAAGGTTCCTAGATGGGCATTACAAACGAGGCGTTAGCGACATCCGCCAGGTGATCTTTGCTAATCGTTTAATTCGGTTTAAAATTCCTTTTCGAGACTTTTTTAACTAGATATTGGTGTGTCTCGTGTGATACTGCTCACTTGAACACATATAGACCATAAAATAAGCGCTGAAATTTCGTTGTAGTACCCCTTTAAGGTGAAGTTTGACATCAAACGGACACTTTTGTGCTGAATGTGTCTCATACTGCTCTCGCTCGTATTCAATCTGTTGCTGCTCATAGAGCAGCTAAGCGGAGCACATAGCTACTCTAACCGATCACAACGACTAGCGCTGGGGATTCATTGCGGTTGATGTGAGCACCGTTCGCACAAAAACCCAATAACTCTTCGTTTGGCATGTGCAAATAATGGATTTTGTGTTCGAAGCAAAAACAAAAATTCAACTGGACTCACGAGGGTTGTTCCTAATTGCCCACTCATGAGCTCTGTTAAATTTAATCTAGCTATATTTATAGACTGTAGCCTCAGAACATCCAGTACTTACATTGGAATAGCAAGACATGACAGATTTGACATCAAAATAAACCTATAAAGGATCCCAACCATACCTAATTGAAGAAATCTATAAATCTTATTTGAAAATATTTTCTTCGATTCTGATTTAAAAAAAAAAAAAAAGAGCACATATAGTGAACACAGGTTTGTAGAACGTCGCTGCCTAACATATACCCTTGCATAATAGCCACAGTTAAATTTTGAAGATTTTACTGCAATGGAATATCAACAATCATAAAGTTCCCTTTTTTTTTTTTAAACACATTAGGCGCGTTTGTGCATCATAGTAGTTTGAAGGTGTGCTTTTCGCCTAAGCGCGCGGTTGCACTGCGGCAAAGCGAGTCGCGAGAGCGCTGTGTTCGCTCCGCGGGTATTGCTTCTCCGCAGTGCACCTGTGCTTGAAGGGAGAAGCAAACTCAAGGGGGCTAACCCGCCGCGATCAACACTTCGAAAAATATGAATATCGCAGTTCATTTGGAAGCGAATATCAAATAACGTATTATGTGAAATTTCTATTAGAAAATTTGAATATTCGCGCAGCCCTACTCTTCCCACATAGTACCTAAGTTAAAAAAAAAAAAAAAAAAGTACTGTACTTTTTTAATTTTTAGTGGCATCGCCAGCAATGTCAGGTGCCAGACATTTTCAATTTCCTTTTCGGGAACAGCTAGCTCCCTTTCGGCGCAGACATGGCGCAAATAGTGCACAGATACAGCCTTTGGAGCAGCACGTAACAGGCTATTCGTTCTGGCGTAGTTTGGCGCAGCAGTTCCACCACTGTCAGGATGTCAGCACGAAGTTTACGAGTCGCACAACCATATTCTTTGCGAGTCCAGCGCAATGTAAACGGCTCGTAAAAATCAGATGCAGCCGTAGTATGTCCACTTTTGAGGCTAGAAAGACACAGTACAAACTTTGAATGCTTCGCATTAAAAGACTTCTGAACTATGAATTGGGCGGCAACTTGCGCCACCTATCCAGCGTTTCTAATTCTAGCACTTACTAATTCCCGCTCAAGGAAGGTGGCGCCATCTATGCGTGGAAACACCAACTCGTCAATGAATGGGCTTTTGTACTGTCTTTAGCCCTTTTTTTTTCAATTTTAGCATGGCCTAATTAGCGGAGAAACTATGCATTTGGCTAGAATTATAATTATTAGACCTCACGTAATTCTGAAGAGCTAACAAATTTATGATTTTATTATTTTAAGGCAAACGCAATGTGAAAAAAAAAAAAAAACTGCTTTTTTCTTTTTATTGCAGTGTCCCAAATTTATTGCAGAAGCTAACTCAGTGTTTTCCTGCGTCCGGTGCGTCCTTGGCCAAGCACAGTGGAGGGTACTAGAGTTGGCTATCTGCCAAAAACTCATAAACAACACGCACAAAAACACAAGGATAAATCAAGTGGCAGGCACTGGAGAGGAGATATCCTTCTCTCCAGCGTTCGCTCTGCTAAAGTGGAAAGAGGTGCGGGGAGCTTCCACTTTACTTTTAACCTGTCACCGACCATAAAAAGGCCAAGATTGAAGTCAGCATCCCACTGCGTTTCTCATAAAACGCATACATCTAAAATAAAGCTGCAAAATTTTGTGGGATGGGCAGGGGTACAACCGTAGAACTATGCTAAGCAAAACACCAAGTGTAGTGAAAACCTCATATTATCGTGCCTTAAAAATTCAACGTCCAAAAAACTGTCTTTTTTTGTGTGTGTGTGGAAGTGGTTGGGTACAAATTTCGGTCATTACTTCATGTACAGTCGCCGACCGATTTTTCGGATGCTGATAATTCGGACTTGTTTGATATTTTGAACCTGAAGGAGGAACCGTGACCTACCCGACAGAAATAGTGCGTATTCATGATCAACGTTTCGGACAGCTTCAAGTCTGAAAGTTTGATGTTTCGGACAAAATCGTCGTGAGCGATCATTGGGAAACACCACTGAGAAGCGGCCATTTTGGGTTTTATGCTGGCTGCACATGGATTGCCTTGGCTTGGCAGCGCTACTTGAGTACTGACAACGTTACTAGATTACCTCAGTTGTGGAACTCCCGCGGAAGGGGGTACTCCTCTCACTCACTTCAGTCCCCCTCCCGTCGTTTGAAGCGCCATCTAGATTTTCGTTTACGAACTGTGTGTTCCATAGAGTATGGTAAAACGCCATCTAGACGCTGCGCTTCGAAACGTATGTATTCCATAGAATGCGCTAGAGCAACCATAGCTGCTGTCCGGTGCGTTGATCGACGAGTCGCGGTGAGTGAGGGGGGGGGGGGTACTGCTCATACATGCAGCATCGACGAGCAGTTCCGTAACTAAGCTAATCTAATAACATTGAGTACTGCTAAGTCTTACCGCTAGATGACGCTGTACGTTTTTTTTTTCTCTAGCTGCACGTCATTATCATCAACATTGTTGTTACCACTTTGCCTTGTCCATTCGCCCTTGCAGTCGTGGGCTTGCGCCTCGCATCTCGATCTCGTCTTGGCGAATCATGTTTTTGGACTACGCTGGCTTGGACGTCATTGCCCCATCTGTTCTTCCGCCGCCGCAATGCGTTGCTAAGAAGCGCGGAAAGTACTCGAACATAGACGTGGTAACCCTGGAGCAAGAGGACAAAAAAGGGTGGAAAGACACGAAACTCCTGAGTTTCATGTCTGTTTGTCCTTCTTTGCCCCTCGCTCCAGGGTTACCATGTCTATCCTTAACCAGCTCGCCTGCCTACTTGCGTTTACTCGACCATAACGCTACAAAAGATGGCAGCGATTCTCAAGCCAATAGAGAGTTGCCGAACGCAAACGGAGGCGTAACCTGAAGCAAAACACTATTTACGGCTCTTTTAAAGGAGCTGTGCAACAATTTTAACGTTGAAAGAATTGGCATCTTCTACTTTTGACATTGTTCACCTTGTCACAAAGGACAGAAAACACACCTCCTTCCTTCGAAATGTTGCAATTCTGCCGCGTAATCACGAGGCAAAAATTAGAATATTCCCCGACCTGCAGCCGCGAGCGGCGGCCATGAGAAACACGCGGCGCGACGTCAATGGGGGTCTTGTAGAAAGATAGCAAGTTGTGCGAATACCTGCTCGATAAAAAGTAACTTTTCTATAAATCTTGTCGGTCCACCATAATATAGATGCGTCAAAAACCAGTGGTATCACCGACAAAACTTTTATTATACGGAGTTTTAGTGGCACCATCTGTCGTAGGTCCACAAAACCGTCAGCTCTATCAACTACCGTAAACAGCCACCAGAAGCCGGAGGGGGAGGGGGAAAGTGCCGAACGGGGATGGCCGGACCCAAAAGAGACTTTACTCCTTTCACTATATTGTTCGTGCTGCGCCCGCCAGCACGCGGTCGCGAGCGGATGAGCTCTCGCTGCTCACTGACGGCTCTAGAGAGAGAGAGCTTCACCGGAACCCCACCCAACCCCCATTGACGTCACAACGCACGTGACTCAGAAGATGGTGAAGGAGTCGAGAGGTGCCGAAAAGCTCAATCTTTGTCTATTTTTAAAATAAAAGCTAGGACATGCAGGCAAAAGCGGTTTTTTCTTCTTTACTTCAGAAAGGTCGAGACACCAACTCCCAAATTATTTAAGCAAAGCATTGAAACTGTTGCACAGCTCCTTTAAGCCAGCTTAGACGCAATAAAGGCAAGTTTTTTAATCTGCTGATTTTTCGGACGTTTTGTTCGGTCCCTGCGAAGCCCGAAAAATCAATCGGCGACTGTACATGGGGTGACATCAGATTTAACAAATGTCATCTGTTCAAATCCCGGCTCCACCAAAGATTTTGTCTTTCGGCAGTTTCGTAGACTTTAATTCAATCAAGGATCGTTCATTCATCCGCATACTTTTGATTTGACACCTCCCTACAGAGTCGGTAACACTTTTTCTGAGACATTGAAGCTCTTGCAAGCCATAATGAATACTACAACCACACTATACTATCACCGTTTCTTACGCGAGCTCCGATTTCCATGGCCACCTCACCTGTTGAGAAATTCGGTGATGGACCTAAACCCGGCAGCAAAATTGAGTGCCGTAGCCAAGCTGACCTTTGGAACGCTTAGGTAGAACTGCACAGCCTGCAAGACAAACATCAATGCTTGAAAACCAGTTCGCTCGAGCTTGCCTTCGTCGCCTCGAGCGTGACCGTACCTCATTTTTGTCTCTGAGGCAATGAATCGATGCCAGGGCCATGCCTTTCTGCTGTTCCCTCTGTGCCAACGTCAACAGGAGATCTGCCGTTTCCTCTGCAAGGAATAGCATGTGCATGTTCACTCAAACATGTGATTTTTCTGTTCCCTCCTCGTTAAAGCATGGGTTCTCAAACTGGGTCCCTAGGATTCTACGGTTCCCCAGGATACCCTTACGAGTTCCCCAAGCTCCCAAATCCCCTCGGCCGTCTTTACCCCAAAGTATGGCGAGGTCCTGCAGCCGGCTAAAGCCTTTAAAGTGACCGCATAAATTGGTGTGGTAACGTATTGCACTACGATTTACCACAGAGGTGTCCGAAGGTAGTGGAAGCATCGCATCAAAATTTCAGAGGACAAACCTATCTGAGCAAAAAATTAAAAAAAACAATAACTGGCTTCTTTCTACCTATGTCGTCCATCTGCAAAGCCGCACACCCTCCGACTGGTTCAACAACCGGCGACAGCGGCCGCGGCAGCTGCTGAGCTGCCGTGGCCGCCGTTTGTCGGTTGTTGTGGCAGCCAGAGGGTGTGCAGTTAGCAGACGGACGCCGTAGGTAGAAAGACCAGTTACCGTATTTACTCGAGTAATAGCCGCACTATTTATGAACAAGGCCCTTGCTTCTACTTTCCTGCAAAGCACATATACAGCCAATCGTCACGTTGCGCATAGATAACAGAGCGAATAATCAGATCTAGAACACGATTCTCCATACAAATGCAATCTTCATAGATGGCATCTTCGCGCGAAGACGTTATCTCTGTCCTGTAAACCACTGGAGTCATGCTGTCGATCGCAATGATTGGCAATTTGCGTGCTCCGCGGAAACGCGAACCCTCGGGTTTTCTTCATAAACAGTGCGGCTATTACTCGAGTAAATACGGTATTGTTTTTTTACAGCGACAGCTGTTAGTGGACTGTCCCGCCCCGGTTCCGTAACGGCATGACCGTAAACGAATTCAGTTTCCTCACTAAATTTAGCGGAAAAATTTATGTCACGTGACCTATGCACCAATTCAGTTTCCAGCTGAATTTGGAGGGTAAACACATCATGACCTTGCTGTCACTGTCTAAACCAGAGGTGCACAACTCAAAAATGACGTGGGCCAAAAAAATGTTTATTGGGAAATGCGCGGGTTTTCAATATCTGGCATCATTGCACTGGTTGCCATCTTGAGCACGTCTTGCAGTGTCATGTCCGCAGGCCACACAGAAAGTGCCTGCCGGCCGCATGCGGCCCGTGGGCCGTATGTTGTGCACCCCTGGGACTCTAAACGCATCACGTCGTGTGATCGTTGTGCAATCGTTTTTTTTTACTTTTTACTGAGGTAAGTTTGTTTTTTGAAATTTTGATGCAATGCTTCCACCACTTTCAGACAACTCTGCGGTAAATCGTGGCACGATATGTTACCAAGACGATTTATGCGGTCACTTTAAAGACTTCCAGTGATGTGATTGGCCCAAGCCGTTTTGGAGCACATTTCGGAGCAGCCAAAACAGTGTTCCGGAGCAGCAAAATTGGCTTTTGGAGCAGATATTAGAAAAATAAAAATATTTGTTTTAAGTGCGGGAAAGATGAAGGGCACTTTGGTCGCCGCAATAAACAAATTATGGTCAAGTTAGACCACCTGGGAGTCTTTCAACATGTTAACTGAAATGACAATGACATGACACATTTTGCGATGCTTCAGTTAAATGATAAATATATATGTACCCGCTACAGATAAATCAGAGCCAAACTGCACATATTAAAATTTATTTGAAAATGACCAGCTTAGTAGAAAATATCACAGTATTAGGTTTACTAGTTATATAATATAATAAAGTGAAGCAGTCTCCAACTGATGAAACACCTAACTACTGCAGTGCAATGCGGAAATGTACACAAGAAAAAGGTGCATTACGACTAGCGGGTGCTTTTCGTTTTGCTTTTCGAAACTTTCTGCAAGGCTGCTGCAAGCCTCGCTTTGCCTTCGACAAGTAGTGAATGTCCACTTTCAATGTCTCCAAAGAGACATTGAGACATCCCGCTGTAGGCGTCGCCAAGCAATTCCGAAAAACTGCTTGTCAACATTTGACTGGTTCCCGACGTACCAGATTTTCGTCAAAAGTAAGAAAACATAAAGTAATGGATTGCAAGCGTCCCGGCTGGTGCCTCTCTCGTGCAATCATGTTTGCATGCACGCGAGAGCAACTTCGGCAGCTTGCGGTTGCACGTGCTTCGTCGCGCGAGCGTAGACGGCTGTTCACTCGAAACTGAAACCATGCCACTCCGATCCCTCGCCAACTGGTTCCCAAAATTGTATGCAAAATGTAACTGTCCAGCATACGACAAAAAACAGTACAGCAGCGCGTGCTTGCAAGGCCTGCAGGCGAAATACAAGCTAAACATACAGAAAAAAAAGAGCCTGAGCGCATCGATGCAAGACATGGTGAGCCAGGGTCAACAAATTCTTGGAGCACTTTGTGCAACAACTGAACTCGAGACAAACAAGCGCGCTGTGCGGGTTTAGCTTGCAGACGTTGCCTTCTTTACTTCACCTCACTTCTCTTCTTTAACTTTCTTTCGCGGCAGATTGTTCACATACCGGGGTCCTTCTCGAAAGAAAGCCCGCCGAGAGAAACCTAGGTAATCAATACTTCGACACAGCAATCTAAGTTAAAGAGGGATTTTTGTAGCAGCGTATAATTTAAACAATAACAGGAATGTTGATGACCTTGCGGAGGTCCTTACGTTTCAGTTTAAAAAGCGCCATATCTGCAGTGACGTGGGGACGGCAACACCCGACGTCATGCGACTACGGCGACTGGTAGGCAGGGACCAAATATAGTTTTCCCACGGCCATTGCTTTCAGGAGTGAGTGCTTCAGCTCACAAAGTAACCCCCGCTGCGCAAAAACATAGTTTCCTTTCACAGCATTACGGCATGGCTGATACCCGGCACGCTAGCGTCGAAGCGTCCGCACACGCTTGCATCAGCGCTTGCATCTATCGTTGTAAAAATTTTAAAGACGCGAGACGAGACCCACGAGACGACGAGGGCGCGAAACGAGAAACGGCAAGAAAAACCATGCAAGACTGGATAGACGATTGATGCAGCATACTTTGTGTCGGGCGGCCGCTTGCGCCACCTAGCTCAGACAAACTCAGTTATGGCACTCGGTTTAGTTTCGGTTTTGAAAGGCGACCGAAATTGGTCCTTTGGTGCAGGCTTGGCACAGATTACCCATTTTTCGGCAAAATGTAGCAGGATGTATCAGGGTTAGCCCCTTGGCGCAGTTTGGCGCAATTGGCTCAGCAATCACATCACTGGACTTCTCTCGGCTTCAATACCTCGTTGTAGAGTGTATTCCCTGTTCAAGCACTGTTTTAACAGATCTGAGCCACCCACTGATGTGTAACTATGAATCAAACACTTGCTAGTATCGGCATCACTGTTCACAAGGTCTGTAGGCTTCCACACTGCTTTACTGCCTTGACGCCGGCAAGGAGAGGGGTTCGTTCCTCACCCATCAAGCGAGGGCAGCAGGCGTTCCTCAAAATAAAAAAGAAAGTTTGAGAATCCATGCATTAATGAGGGTTGAAATTGAAAGCTTCCAATAGCGGCACAATACAAACCTTGAGAGTACGAGAACAGCACCTTGGCGTGAGTTGACACCAGGGACATCAGGGTGAAGTCAAAGTACTTGGTCCGCCTGCTGAAAGCGTAAAGTGGAAGCATTGAAATTAACATAATGGAAAACAGCATGAAAAAACAACACACAAAGAACAAGAACTGGGTTGGGACCAAGCGCCAACTATCGACTGAATGTTTATTAGAAAGACACGAGACACATCGCTCCTGCTCCGATATAATCAATCGGAAGAGTCAATTATATCAGAGCAGAAGCGATGTGTTTCGTGTCTTTCTAATAGACATTCAGTTGATGGTTGGCACTTTGTCCTGTCAGTCCTTGTTCTTTTGTCTGTTGCCTTTTTCATTGTGTTATCCTACCAACTGGCTCAACTTTCCCTCCTTTTAATTGAAATTAAGTCTACCAGGCTGAAGTGCCCCAGTTACAGCACAGCCCTATTGGGGATGCGATTCAACCGTCATGCTTATAGCAGTTGAGACCTAAACCCATGGCAACAACAACGGAACTTTATTTGTTTGTGTTTTGACGCAGCGCTCGACTGACATAGCCGAACGCTGTGTCAGCGTTTGGCTGGAGCTCGTATTCAATCAGTGAAGCACCAATTGACAAAGTGCCCCTTAGAGTTCTATCTTCTCACCAATGAGCACAGGGCAGTGAACAGGACAAGCTAAGATCTGCCGCCAGTCGACACACCTGGCGGCGTAAAAGGGCAAAGCTGGGTCGTTCCTGCCACGAGACGACTGGACACTCCCGACACTCGAGGACGGGTCCAACAAGTACGGCGGAAGGATGTCTCAACGCCGCGAACACCGAGTACAGAACCATTTATTTTGTTTAGACGCCGAGGTCCCAAAGATGGATAAGAAAAAGCTAAAAAGAAAGAATGCAAAAGGAGCAAACTATAAAAACTGGTAGGAGTCATTAGCCTCATATTGGTAAGAACAAAACTAAAAATGCACCATCACTTTTTCACGTCAATGGCAGATGAGAATTGGTTCTTCGAACTCCTAATTCTCTTAAATTTGTTCAATTTTCAACGGTGTGAACGAAAAATTTGACCAGTGTATGAAGCGCGACTCATTAAATTTTCTACATAAAAAGGTTTTAGAGCCAAACTTGTGTCAAGAGATTGATTGGACCACGCTGCGAAATAAACGCTTACGCAACCGTTGTATTTAATTCATGCGTCGCATTGTACTGACGTCTCAAACGCACAGGCATTGCATATTTTCCGCTTTCTAGTACCTCAACTTCTTCCTTCATCTGCCTCAAGATGGCTGCCTTTAGTTTGGCACAGATGCCACACACTGAGATGTTGATAGTGATCAAAGTTGCCAGACTGAATTTTGAGGAGGGCCAATTTTAAAACGGACTCTAATTTAGAACGCCTCAAACCCCTGTAAGTCGGTCGTCGCGTCGTGGCGCCGCACGTGGGCCACTCACAAGGTTCGCTCGCCCGGCTTGGAGCGCTCCAACCTCTCCAGGATGACGCAGGGCCTGTCGTAAAGCTCGAACAGCCGCCGCACTTCGTCCACGAGTCGCGCTTGGTTCTGACTGTTGCCAAAGTCGATCCACGACTTGCGGATCACGCACGTCCGTCGGCTAACTAGGAAGTCACCAACCTCCAGCGCGTGCACGTGGACGTTTATCCCCTGCTTCGCTCGCAGCATCGACACGAGAGCCTGCACGCACAAAAAACGAGACTTGGGGTGATTTGTGAATTTTTTTCAGCTACCCCAACTAACTAATATGTTTTCTGAATCCCCGGTCCTTACCCTTTCTAGCATGCTATTTTGTATCGCGAAATTCAGAGTAGTTATTTGGAAAATGGCAAATGAAGGTGATGACAAAGCCAACATTCAAGTTATGCACGCACTTTTCGGTGCCGTGACGTCACTGACAGGCACGCTTGCGGGTCGAGCAGACAATCTAGAAAACAAAGTAAGCCGTGCGTCTGTTTTGTGCAGCTGCACGGATGCTGGAGCGAGCTTCCAAAGCATCCATTTGACACCTTCAAACTTCTCGTAATCAGTTGGGAAGAAATTCTACTGCACAAAAAGTGAACCCCTGCCAGCATCACTTTTTTGTTGTTGCCAATAAAGTTAAAGGGCAACTCCAGTCAATATTTTTTTTAATTTCAGATTACAGCTGTTTTTAGCAAAAGCAGTGTCCCTGAATTACAAGGTGTAATTTTTTTTTCTCGATATTGCGTGTAGTTCTATAAATATCTCGGCTGAAAGCTTGGTTTCGGGCGTCTACGGCGAAACCGAAACTACCTAGCTGCTAGAGGAATGGCAACACTGAGCATCAGCCATACGGCCGCAACGTGACGTCACAAGGGTGCTGCGCCAGTGTTCCTTGACTGAAAGCTAACCCGCTTGCTGCCCATTAAAAATCTGCGAATCGGCCTTCTTAGGCCGATTCGCACATTTTGCATTTGAATGCTGTCGAGTGCGTTGCAACTGCTCGTAACCACCTACGACGAGAGAACACAATGGCATGCTGGCGCCATCTATCGAGTAGCCCTGGAACAATTCTGATCTGCGTATAACTAGACAGGAGGGTTTGCAGTATTTGCAAGATTAAATTTAAACACCATCTTTGCAAAATAGTCGCTTACAACGCTGTCGCAATTATCTCGAGCAGACGGTGCAAGAAGGATGTGCAATGTATACGCAGATCGAGTGTGTTCCGGGGCTGCCCGGCAGACGGCGCCGGTGTGTCCTCTCATTGCAAGCGGTCACAAGCAGTTTCAACGCAGTCGACTACACTCGGACACAACAGTCTGGAACCAGATTTTACGGTCGAAGTCAGATCATCTTCGACATAATGCGATTCCATAACGTTTGCCTAGATAGAAGTGGAGCTTAGTGATTGGTTGACCGCAGGCATGCTCCGACAACAACTAAGCCAGACGAGTGAAGTATGGGCATGTTTACATCGACGCAAATGTTTAAAATAAAAAAGGCCTGGCTTGGGTGTTCCATCAAACGCAACGAAAGTGCAGTGTCATGCGACGTGACGTCATGTGATGCCAGGTCACGTGACCATGTCATATAACCTCGGGTCACGTGACGTCACAACCTGAAACTATGACATTGACTTCCCCGCTAAGTTTAACGGGAGAGCTGATGTCAACGTGACATAGTTACGTCATTCGCTCAAACCGACTGGAGCAAGAGAGGTCCGCGAAGGGTTTCCATGCAAAGCCATCACTTTAAGGTGTGCATGAAATGTATACTATAACAAACGGTCGATTAGCGTTAGAACATGCGGCCCTCAAAAATATGCAAGTGCCTGTCTCGTATAAAAAAACAACAAAAGAAAACAGAGTGCGTGAAACCTGAGCAGCAAACAAACAAATGAGCACAGAAACATGGAAAGAGAAAGATTTGGATCAACTTTGAGTCTATCAATACAAAATAAAGGTGCATGTATAGATGGCTGCAATTAAAAGGAAACTGGATTTGCTTTGTAGGAACTAGGGAGAAAATTCTTGATTTTCTTGCTTGGCCTCAATGATTATGAACTATCCTAATTGTGAAAATCGCGATAATTAATATCCCAATTGTGAAACTGCGGCAGATTAGCGTTCATAATCTTATTTGTGCGTGTCACACTTTTGACAATTAAAATAACACGGTTTTCTCTTTGCTTCACTTTAAGTCCTTGTACGCAACAAAAGCCTACAATTCACCAAAAAAGAAAATGAAAGCCGTTTACAACACCCTGTAACGCCGAATTGGAGCGCAGCTCTTGAGAAGGAGGAGGGAAGGGTACTGAGGGGAGGGTATACCCCTCCTCACCTCATCCTACCTGCTACTCTTCCTCCCTCCTCTTCTTCCTCTCCCCCTATTCCTCATCCCCTCTTCCCTTCTCGCTCCTCCTTCCTTCTTTCCCTCCTCCTCCCCTTCCCCCTCCTCTCCCACGTCCTCGTTCCTCCTCCTCCTCCCCGCACGATGCATCACGGGTAATTTCCCATAATCCACCATGCAGGCGTGAGCACAAGACCCTTGTGACGTCACGAGTGACGTCACAAAAGTTCCCGCGCGGCGCATTATGGGATATTTCTCATAATGCACCACGCGACGGTGACCGCCGCTCAAGTTCGAAACGGGCGCCTAAGAGGTGCACTCTAAAAATGCAAGCTCTCTAAATGGACCATTTTTGTGAGATCGGCAAGCTGTAATCAGATCCTTTTACAAATGCTAGTGTAGCCCAAGTAGAGGTATAAATGTTTTTTTCATCTATGCAATGAACTGATTAGGAAACAGAAGTGAATGGAGAGCTAGCATTCTAGACTATGAAACAAGATGAAAGCAAAACTCACCGGTCCCGAAGCAATGACCCGGCTATCCACGAAAATGGAGACGTCCCCACTTTTGGTTTCCTCCTGGAGAAAAGGAAACAATATAAAGGAAAACCTTGACTGTGTGCTTCTGGGTAAGGACATTGTTGAGAAAAAAAGTCATGCCACTAAAAGCCAGTTGGCAGAAACGCAACTCTGGGTAACGCCGCTCTGATCCGTCAGAGGTCGGACTCTGTGGGCAGTTTCAGAGCTTATTTAGGAAGCAACGCCTGTAGGAGCTCAGACTTTTGTCTCATGCATGTCAAGAAAGCAGGGCTGTGCAGAGATACTCAAAAAAGTATTCTGGACACTACTGAGATACTCACAAGTACAAATACTGAGATATATATGTATTTTAAGGCTAAAATAAGATACTGAGATATATTTGTCTTTGATGTAACAGGATATCTTCGAGATATATCTGCAAAAATGACAGAAAGGTATCCCGGAATACAGGTACAGGATCCGTGGTAAGCATGGAGGGAGCAGTTTGTGGCGAATCGAAATGGTAATGCTCGCGTTTGGTGACTGTTGGTGATAAATCGGGCTTTCGTTTCAGGTTTTTCTTCAGTAGAGACGGTTATTCGAGACCTCTCGTCATAAAAAGGTGGTTTTCAGTTCAGCGTAAAAACCCAATGGTTAATTTGTCAGACTAAGTCTGACAAAGTATCGCGATACAAGCAATAAAGAGAACATTTCTTTCACCTAAATGATGCTGCATGGTCCCACAGTGACATTTCTTGTTTTAACGACATTAGGCATAGGTGGACGTCAGCTCGCAGATAAATTTCATTTTTCCCAATTATCTTTCGATTCATGTGACGTCATGTTCTCAAACTTTTGCGTTCTATCCCAACCACCAGCATCAAATTCTCACGGAGTTGGAGCTTTCTGCGATGCACAGTTTATTTACCCGGGCCGAAAAACACGGTTCAAATTACTCACAAATTTTCTGTGCATGTATTTCTTTACCGAGGTACAGACCCATTTTTCAAATGTATCTCAAGGTACAAAGGTACAGGCTGAAAGTATTTCCAAAATACCATCGCGATACTGCCCAGCCCTGCTAAAAAGCAATATGCACTAAGGCATATGGGTTTATGGGGCCCCAGGAGAGAAATAAATTGATTGATTGATTGACCAACGGGGGGGAGGGTTGCTGGCAGCCATGTCAGAGGGATTTTTTTGCCTTCTTTCGCTGCAGCATCCCAGACACATGCATGACACATGTATGTCTGAAATAAACTATTCTATTCTATAAATGTGCAATAGTCACCGTAGTACATGCACAGCGACGACGATACGCAGCAATCGTCCTGTGACAATACATGGCACTCGTCACAGGACGATTCATCACATAGGAACATTCGTCACAGGATGACTCGTCACGCAGGCAACTGGTCTCATCGAGTGCGGAGGGGACAATAGTAAAATGTAAATTTCTACAAATGCCCACATTCCGTGATGAGGAGTTTCACGACTTCCCACTGTGACATGAACCAATGGTTAGAAAAGCAAATTTTACGGTACTCAACATAGGAAAGTTTTTTGGCACTCAACAGCTTTTCTTTTCATGATATGATGAGTCTTCAGCAGGTTCATCTCACTTGGGCCCCCCATGCCCTTGCTGGCTTGAACAACCAATTATGCTGGCTTGAACAACCAATAAGACGAAGTGTTGACCGAGACATGGCTCTCTAGCAAAATACGTAACGATGAACTTTTTTTTTGTGATAAGCAGTACAAAGTTTATCGGCATGATAGGGATTCGCGGACGGGCGGAGGCGTGCTGGTTGCAGTTGCTGATTACATTGAGTCATCCCATATTAACTTAGCATCTAGCTTAGAAATTGTGTGTGTACGTTTCCAACTAAGTCACAGAAACATTGTTGTCTGTGCATGTTACCGCCCACCTACCTTTGCTAAGAATTTTGTGGAGTTATTACATGACACACTTAGCGGGATTGTTTCAAGGTTTCCTAACTCGCAGCTATTTATTTTTGGCGATTTTAACTACCCAAATATTAACTGGTCACAAGATATTCCTATTTGCGTGCCTTATTCTTCTGAAAGCAACGATTTCCTAAATCTCTGTGCAGATTTTAATCTTTCGCAATTAGTAACCGAGCCCACGAGAATTACGTCCTCAGCATCCAACGTTCTTGATCTTATTTTAACTACGTCTAAGGACCTCGTAGAGCCGATCTCTTATCTTCCAGGTCTTAGCGACCATTTAGCCTTGCATTTTTTCCTGAAAAGTCCTAAGAACAATCCTGCTGTTTGTGTCAAACACATCCGTGATTACGCCAGAGCCGACTTTGAATCCATAAACCGCGAGCTATGTACATTCATGGGCTCTTATATGCAGAATTTTTCAGAACGATCGGTTGAAGGCAATTGGTGTCTGTTCAAAGATAAAATTACTTCATTGATCACCAACTACATTCCCTGTCGTGTTGTCAAATCAAACTCGAAATCACCTTGGTATAATACGACTTTAAAAAGACTGTCTAATAAGAAAAAGCGCTTGTTTCGAGCAGCTAAATCATCAATGTCTCCCGATCGCTGGGCCGCGTACCATTCGGCAGCTGAAGTATACAAATTGGCCGTCGATGAAACTAAATATAACTTCTTCAGCATAAAATTACCCTCAATGCTCACTAACAATCCAAAACAGTTTTGGAACTTAGTCAACCCTGCCGACAAACATTTAATACAACTTAAAAATTCAGGCGGAGAGGTGATTTCTGGTGAAGATTGCGCTATGACTTTCAACGAAAGTTTCATCAGTGTCTTTAGTGATTTCTTAGGTGCCAACCATCCCGTACTACCATCTTCTCATTTTTTGCCCATGTTACCAATTGTGTTTGATCCACCCGGTATTGTTAAAATTATTGAAAACCTCAAGCTGTCGTCGGCATCAGGTGTCGACGAGATAAACGCGAAATTTCTAAAAAATACCAAAATGTACTCCTCAATCATCTTGTCATCTTTGTTTCAACAATCACTTGATCATGGCGTCTTACCCGAGGACTGGAAGGTAGGGAAGGTTGTTCCAATTCACAAAGCTGGTGACCGTTTCTCCCCTTTCAATTACAGGCCAATATCTCTTACTAGCGTACCCTGCAAAATCATGGAGCACATAATTTCTTCACAGCTCTCGCGTTTCCTGGAGTGCAACTCCTTCTTTAGCCCTTTTCAACATGGATTCCGCAAATCTTTCTCGTGCGATACTCAGCTTTTAGTTTTCACCCACAACCTCCACTCGGCTCTGGACCGTGGATCTCAGACTGACTGCATCTTTCTGGACTTTGCAAAGGCTTTCGATAAGGTAACACATAAACTACTACTATACAAGCTTAGCCTACTCAGTATTGATCCATATATCTTATCTTGGTTAGAGTGTTTCCTCACTAACAGATCGCAATTTGTAACTATCAATAACAAAAACTCGTCATCGTCCCTCGTTAAGTCCGGTGTACCACAGGGTTCTGTCCTAGGCCCCCTCTTATTCTTAGTATATATAAATGACCTACCTACTAGCATTTCCTCCTCCATAAGCGTATTTGCGGATGATTGCGTTGTTTACCGTGAAATTACTAATGACTCTGACGTACACATAATTCAATCTGATTTGAATGCAATTTCTTCCTGGTGTGATGCTTGGCACATGAAACTAAACACTATGAAGTGTAAGACAATTAGGATTTCTCGCAAAGCAGCACTCTGTCCTAACTACTTCCTATCAAATAACATCCTTGAAAACGTATCAACTTACAAATATCTAGGTGTTCATATCTCTTCTGACCTATCATGGAAAACTCACACCGAATATATCGTTAATAACAGTAACCGCATGCTTGGATATTTAAGACGTAACTTTTCTCTAGCTCCATCATCATTAAAATTACTACTTTATAAAACACTGGTGCGACCAAAACTTGAATATGCATGCTCGGTCTGGGATCCCGGTACAGAAAGCCTCATATCAGCGCTTGAAGCCATCCAAAACCGGTCAGCACGTTTTATATTATCAAACTACCATCGTACATCAAGCGTCACATCCATGAAAGCTAGTCTCTCACTGCCCCCTCTTTCCACTCGTCGCACTATCTCCCGTCTCTGTCTATTCCATAAAATTTACTATGCCAATTCACTCTTGAAAGAACAACTAATCAGTGCTCCCATCTACGTATCCTCTCGCCTCGATCACTGCTGCAAAGTTGGTATACCCACTTCCAGTTCAAATTCTTTTTTCAAATCTTTCATCCCAAAAACATCTCGTGATTGGAACGACCTTCCCTCACCCATTGCGTCCATTGGCGATTTTGTCCTCTTTAAAGAAGCTTTAACAAGTTACTATTCATGATCTGTGCCGGACTAACCATTTTCAGCGTTTTTTGTACTTCCGTTGCCCACCCCCTCTGTAATGCTTCGGCCCTGAGGGTATAATAAATAAATAAATAAATAAATACGACTGGCAGCCAAATCAATTGTTACTTCTGCCTTGCATATACCTCTTCTGTGACAAATCCAAAAACAAGTATCATTATTTTTTCTGCTGCATGTGTACGAGGACCCCTCGTGAAACAGCAGAGCTCCACCTCTCTCTATTGCGATCACCTCCATCCTTTCGAATGCAGTCCGAGTTAAAAAGATAGTCGCTCTTTAATGGCATCCGCATTCACCGTTGGGGACGGAACCAGAAGCTAAAACGTTTGCTACAAATTCTTTGTCATTGAGAAGCGAAAGACATGCTAAGTTAAGATGATAATGCAATTATTGCAAAGGTGCAAGCGAGCTGGAAAAGAATGATGATAATAATCCCCTTCTCCAGGGGTTATTACCATCTAAGATAAGAGGTGACCCACTTTGTAAACCGACCCAAATAGAACAATATATTTTCTTGGGGACGAACTATTGTGGGACCAGTTGCTCGCGTGACGAGTCATCCTATGACGAATGTCCCTCTCTGACCAGTCGTCCTGTGACCAATCGTCCAGTGACGAGTGCACATGTGACGAATGGACCGTATCCCAGAATTTTTTACATACGGGCCAGGCTCCAAGCGTGGACTATGCACGTGGTCTAGAATTGTCCAAGAAAAAGCTTTATTCTTTTTCCCCATTCTAAATTTGCTTCTGCGGACTGTACACCGGTACGGTACCTCAACCCCAGCTACTCCCGTGCCAGATAATTTGGGAATTCCACAACTTCCCCAGTACCACGACCCCCACACAGCCCCGGAATTTCTGCCCTAAAACATTGTTGAGAAACATAAACAAAACCGATTGAGGCCTCCTCAAAAGAAGCAACAACAAACAAGGGCTCACCACACGCTCTGAGACAGACGACGTGCTGCCCGTCGGCAACCTTTCCAGACGTGCGCTGGTGCTGGATGTTTCGCCCTTCCGCAAGGACTGCTCCTTCAGGTGCTTCTGACGAAATTCGTCTTGCTTGAGCCTCTGTAAGTTGAGGCGTCGCTCCCTGCTGATCGTCGCCGAGTCGTGCGCAAGATCCGACGACCTCGACGACTGCCCCGCATTGGCAGACGCCCTTGGCGATTCTGGATGTCGAATCCTCGATGGTAGAATAGCGTCCTCGCTTTGTAGCCTGTCGTCTGCTGGCGTCGGTCTTGCGATGTGGCAGTCCGAGGTGTCGATCATGGAGCTCGTATTCACTTTTGTCCCAAAAACAGACGCCTCGTCCTCGTCGTCCTCGTCGCTGATTGAAACGTGTTTCTGCCTCTTTTGGCGCTTCGTCTTCTTTTCCTTGCGTCTTCGTGTTATACAACGTTCCTCGACCTTTATTGTGGAGAGAAACAAGTGTCGAGATAAATAATCATATACAAATTGCCTACAATAAAGTTAAGGTATAAGCCAGTGGTTCTCAACCATTGATGTTTTGCGGACCCCTTGTGGATCGGCGGCGATTATAGAGAACCCCGTTTGTGGTGAGGGGTGAAAAAGGGATAGGTTTATTACGATAATGATTTAATAAATGGGTATAACTAAGGGCTAGTGTAAAGTAGACTTCTCTCATTGACATACACACGGGAAAACCCGCCCGAAAATTGGAATGTTTCTCCTCAATTTGAAAAGAAAATACTTTTATTGCCAGACTTGACTGATGAGGCAGGGCTTCGAGGACCCTTAGAATGCCTTCGCGGACTAGAAAAAGTCCACGGACCCCCATTTGAGAACCACTGGTATAAGCAATCTCAGATCGCTACCACAAATGAAAATTTTTTGCTTGTCCAACGGAAACTTAAAGTTGCATTGGCATGTCCTGACCTCAGCAGCCATGTGAAAAGTGTTAGAGAAATGTTTAAATGCTAATTTAGACCATTTGCAACATAAAATCCTGAATAAAATTGCGCTCGTCAACGTTGAAGAAATCAATGACAAAAAATAAGGTGAGGCCGAGTCATCCTTTTGGTGCAACGCCAAAAGTTTACAGACAACGAGAAATGAACACCTACTAAACTCGTATGATGTGGGAATCACAACCGCAGGCCAGACATTATAAACTAGCATTCCACGGTGAATCTAAATGTGCGGAAAGATGTCCGCATAAAGCGTTTATAAAAGGGTTTTTCCTTCCCCTACTATATTTTGCTATTTTTAAAACATTTTGAGCCTATTGCACCATTTAATTAAACTTGAGGAAGAAAACAAAAAGGGACGGACAAACACAAACTTCCAGAAGTTTGTGTTTGTCCGTCCCTTCTCGTTTTCTTCCTCAAGTTTAATTATCCATACCAACCCGCTCGTTCTGTCCTTCCACTGCAGCGTGTTTCTTTGGTTTTGCAAGTACAGAAAAACCCCATCACGGGCATCCAAAAGATGTTTTTCAGGGGGGGGGAAGAGAGGGGGCAAATTTGATTAATGCAAAAGCATTAACTGTGTCTTATGGAGCGAACCGACGTCATCAGCTTTGAAGCTGTGCCAAACGGCAACTTCCCCTGTCCCAATGGAGCGAAGTCTGTTGTCGGTAGCAGAAATCTGATGATAGGCTCCCATTGGCTGGCGCGCGTTAATAGTGAACAAGGCTCCCATTGGCTCTCGCGCAGCGCAGTTCCAAGGGACGCCACCAGAGAAGCCCTCTCCATGGCGGCGCAGCGCACACAGCAGCGCAGCCGCAGGTAAGAGGTGCGGCGGTGCGAGCAATCTTTGGAGAGGCAGCACGCTTGAGTTTAGCGCAGCGCGGCCACTTCACCAGAGAGCATGCTCGTCCAACTACACCACTACGCCGCAGACAAACTAAGGGAGCAGAAGAATGACATTCATGCTTTCGCATTCACAACTAATAAGAAGTGCATCGGTGTCCTCGGACTTTTTTTCCAGAGCTATGAAGTCAAGAGTAAGACCGTTCCGTGAGCGCTGATGTCTGTTCTTGTGGCTCATCGTGTGAATGCTCCCTGCAGCCAGACGATCTGCTGACTTCTCATCACACGACCAATCAGTTCGCAAACTGGATCCACTGTGTGAATACATTTTTACAAGCTCCATATATACTTACGTTGTCTTCCGGTTCAGAGAGGCAGTCTGGGTCGGAGTTACGAACGCAGAAACTGTCGCAGATGTAATCTGCCTCGTCCTCCGAAACGGCCTGGGAGTAGACGTTGATTTCGTGCGCCTCGGCGCGGTGACTTAGCTTGAACCGGCCAACGCCAATGGGGCTCCGCATGGCGTGCAGGTACAGGCTCTTGTTTGGAGCTGCCACAGGGATGAATGGACATCACGGCTGGTGACGGCATTGAAAAGATTGAAGGGGGGACACTACCCAAAAGGGTCAACTTTTGAACCTTTGGCTTAATATGAATGATATTTACAGTATATACCGTCAGTTGCGAGGCAGACTGCAGTGCAAAGTTTCATTTGCGTACATGAATAGTAAAAGAAATTATAGTCATTTTTGTCAGGATCACACTGACTTTGTTTAGGAAAACTATCATTAGAAAACTAACATAATACCCAAACTTTTTTTCTTCACTAGATATGCAGCAGAACGTCTGAACAGCACAACCGTGAAAACAAAATTTCCAAAAAGTACTTTATTTTATACTAACATTGCAGTGAAAAATCAAATAATATTTTAGCCTTTTATGTTTTCGACAATAACTTATTCAAAAATAACTATGCAGTGTAAACTAATGAACTTTCTGGGAATACTCTCTAGTGTTGACGGATGTACATACGGCATTTTTCAAAATCAACCTCTTTTGCAGAAGATTTTTTTTTTTTTCTGGGTAGTGTCCCCCCCTTAACGTGTCTTGATCATTTCTGATAAAATCGGAGACGCAAGAATGTATTTCACAATTGGTTATGGCATTGAAAAATTTTAAGCATGTATCATATCTGATAAACTCAGAGACGCACGAATGTGTTGCAAATGAGGTGGGCATAACATGCTCTGTGTGTGACGTCACATGACACCCTGACATCAAGTGACTCAATGATGTCACATGACCTCAAGTTGTCACAGTCACATAACGTCACGGCATCACGTGACATTGTTTAGCACAACGGCTTTAGCAAACGGCATTCGAAAAATGGCGTCGGCAGTTGCTGGATTCGGACTCTGTGTTCGCATGTGCATCCATTCAGTGTAAACTTCGTTTCCATGGTGACGGTGGTGACCATACCAGACGGACTTTACCGTGCGGAAGGACACGGCGGTGCGGCGAGATCAGGAGCGTGCTTGGGCCCTTTCGCCGTGCTCTTCAATGGGCAGAACGTGAACAAAAAGAGTTTGAAATAAGGACAAAAACCAAGTGGTGGATTTTCTCTAGCACTTAACAGTATTTTGACGAGTCTTATATGAAAAGCATGTTTTTTTTTTGGTGATCTGGTGGCAGTTCTTTTCCTGGAACATGAGTAAGTATCAAACTGCCATTTTTCATTTATCAACAAGTGCTCATGAGATTCCGTGTAAATGGCAATGTAGACTCCGAAAGAGGGAGGAGTGACCACCATCAAACCTTGAGTCTGGTCGTCAATGAAGCTATCGTCCAAGGCGTCCAGACTGCTGTTCTCAGACTCGTCGCTGGAGTGAACGACGTCCGCCGACACGTCCGCCTCCCGTTCTATAAACTGATTGACATTGTTCTGCTGGAAGATAAAAGAGAAACTTGTAACATCTCTCATAACTGTCTTCACTCTAATGACTGGTTCACGCATTTGCCTTCGAGTGCAACCGGCCGTATTGGAGCCGTTTGCGTCAGCTTTCGACGAGTAGAGAGAGTTTCCAACCGCTCGATCGGGGTCCCGTGGTTTATGGGCCGCGTTTGCAATACGAGTTGCGAGAAGGTGTTGAAGGCATGGGTCCCTGCGAACGCCTCCGCCTTTCCGCTCGCTTTCTTCCTTGGCGCAAGAACGCGGCGCACGCGATAAATCTTTGTAGGGTGCGTTCACCGTTAATGCAGACGCTCCCCGTGTTCCGAGATGGGCCCCCTCTTCAACCTAGGCTCTCCGTCGACGAGAAAACGCACTGGCGCCGTCTGTCAACTAGTCCCGGATCGCTTCCGACCTGCGCACAATCTACGAGGAATGGTGTCTTACGGCATTGTCAGAAGCACGTTAAGCCCGGGGTGATGGAGCAATGCACGAACGATTGTAAAATATGTGCACAAGTCGGAAGTGTTCTGGGGCTGTCCGACATATAGCGCCAGTATGTCGGTGCGTCCTTTCACCGTGAGCGGGCCCAACATACTCGGTAACACTCAAATGCAGGTGTGTGAACTAAAGTCACTGACAACCTAAGAAACACAGGGTGTGGCTTGTCATGTTCATGTTTATCACTTCATCCTGAAAGGCCGACCTACAGAATCGTCCCCTGCCGGGCAGAAACCCTGTTCCCAGTTTCCTTCTCTCCTTTCCCCCTCACACCCTTCTCTCCTCCTCTTCCCAAAGGAGCAGATATCTGAGCTGCTCCCCGCAGAGAGGAGGAGGGTCTCCCTCTTTCCCGAATAGGAAAGGGGGAATCGAAGGAGAGTTTGCTCCTTTCTGCTTGACGGTCGGCCTTTAAGCTGTCAGTGACCTATTAAAGGTCGACCTCGCTCTTTTCCATCACTTTCGCAAGCCGTACTCGCAGGCACGTAACTGATCCCGATGACAGGGGTGAAGAGGTGATCCTCAGAACCCTCACCTCCTTTCTTGCCGCCGGTTCCTTCGACCTTCCTTTCTCTTTCCTCCTCGACGGATCTTTCCTCTGCTTCTCTCCAGAGCACTGCGGGTCTGTTGAGGCGAAAGCAAACACTGCAGGCAGTTCCAGATTTTTTTTTTCTTTTTTAGGGCATGAAATGTTTTTGAATTCCACTCCCCAAACCCAAAATTTTGGCCGTACGTTTGTTTGTGCACTTTCCGCTAAATTTAGTGATGAAAGTGGCATCGCGTGACGTCGCGTGATCCATTTACTTTAGGGTAATCGACAACACGTGACCTATACGTCAACTCAGTTTTCCCGCTAAATTTAGCGGGAAAATATATGTTACGTGACACACCAATTCCCTGACCTCGTCCCCCTCCCCATCCCCCCTCCCTCCTATCAACACCCAGATAACCCTACCGTAAAATGCCGGGCAAGTGCCCACTGAATCTTTTGATAATCGCGAAAAAATGGGGAATGGGCGCTCGTTCGGTCAACAAATTTACATGTAAATGTATTGTGCATATTTTCTCAGACCTTACAAGTTTTGGGAATGGGCACTTAGTGTAGAATGGGAGGATGCGCGGTGTTCTACGGTAGGTGACGTTGCTCCCGGGATGTTCTCATTGCATGCATTATAGTACTTTAAAGGTAAAGGTCGCTTCAAATCTTTTTCTAAATCACGGTTTCTGTTTAGGAGACTCCAGATGCTCCAAACATTTAGACATATTCTCCACAAAGCATGGCAGTCGAAAGTAGGTGAAAATTGTTGAAACCGAATCTTTTGCTGTGAATTCAAGGGAGTGAAGATGTAGTACCAGTCAACATTAGTGAGGACTACAGATAAGTGCAGACTTGTACGGCACTTGTTACAAGTAATCAAATTACTTGTAATCGATTACATTTTAGAGTAATTTTGCAATCATTTTGTTACTCTTATTGGGAAGTAATTGCAAGAGTAATTAATTACTTTTGGAATTACTAAAATTACTTGTAACCATTACTATCTTTCCTTCCCCCCTCAAATGGCACAATTTGTTTGTACAAGTTTTCTACCAAGAAATCCTCGAACCGAGCCTCCGGCAGGAGGACGGTTTATTGAAATTTTAAAAAGATAAGCAGTGTATAATTCGGCGATCCTAATCCATTAATGGACAGTACACATAACCCGCTTTCAAACCAGCAGAAAGAATCTGGCATTTTGAAAATCTGGGCTAATCGGAAAAGTAGCGGTTACTTCTTCAGGTAACGTCCAATCACTTTTGTTCTCGAGTAATTGAGCAATCTAATTGAATACTTTTTAACCGAGAGTAATTGTAATCGCAATTGATTACATCTTTTTCAAGTAACGTGTACAAGACTGGATGTACGTCGTATGTGCATCAAACGTCACGCCTGACATCACGCGTGTATCCACTAGTAAGGCTGCTTCACACAATTGTGTTCGAGTGTGAAAAAGTGCAGTGCTACCACGCAGGACTTGCTTACGACAAGAAGACAAACTGGCACGCTCGCACCATTAATCTGACTAGACCAAAGGTTTTGCAGTATTTGCAAGATAAAGTCTACATGCTGTCTATGAGAAACATTGTTGAAATTATTTGAGCCCCCGACGATAAAATGATGCATAAAAAATTAGGAAACATACACTGATAGGAAGTGCTCCAGGGCTCCCCGATATATGGCGCCATTGCATTCTCTCGTCATAAGCGGTCACCGAGTGTTGCAAAGTACTCAGTCATCTCCAAAAGCAAACATGTGAACTAGCTATCGGTTCACCAACTCTTGAATTGATTTATGGAATGAATTGCGTGTCTGGATCGTCACGTGAGCAGTTGTTTTCATAGAGCAGAGGAACCCTCTGCCATGTGCCTAAAACCCTAAAACAAAACTAAAACTCACTTCGCCTCTTCGAGAATCCTTCCTTCAACGTCGACCTTAAACACGATTTCAAGGTCGTGGAAATTTAGACACTTCGCGTTGAAGTAGAGCTACTGTGCGAGCACAGTGCGAGGAGTTGTTGTGGCACGGGAGATGAGATAGAGACTGGAACACGACCACCCAGCTTGTGGCAGCGCAAGCCGCCGAACGTCGGCTCTTGATAGACGGCACCGTCGTGACTTCAAACGAGCGGCGAATGAGAGCTCCGCAGATTGACGACTTAGGAGTACTCACCCCTCTGGACGGTGGAGCTCAGCGAAAGACTGCGCTGCGCTCGTCCCTTGACCTCGTGTCCTTGAAAGTCGTCATCACTGCTTTCGAGCCCTCGCTTTGGCGCCTTGTGCTTCCGTGCTTTGCTGCTCACCTAAGTTGGAAATATTTACGGCGATTGTGGGGCACGAATGGAGGGCCATCTCAAGTCGGCAAGCTGCGCTAAACATCAAAAGTCCAGCAAGAAACATTGCTCAAGGTCTCAAGGATAAATGTTGTAATGGTTGCGAGCGTTTCTATACCCAATCTGGTAATCTATACAGTATAGACCACTTACAACGTAACCGCTTATAGTGAAGGACCGGGTATAACACGGCTTTTTTAAACCACCGGTTCGCCTCCCATAAAACTCCATGTAATTACATACCGCTTAAAATGCAGGCACGCGAAGGGAGATACCGGTTATAGCGCGGTTTTCGGAACAGCCCGGCGACCGCGCCGACTCACCGACGCAGAGAGCATGCTTCCCTGTGCGACACTAGATAACGGCGCGAGCCGCAAGCGGCACTCGCGGGGCAAGGAGGTTGCTCGAAGAAGTGGGGAGAAGAGAAGAGAGAGGCTTCAGTTGCCATAGCGACGGAGGGACGCACGCATGTGTCGTTCACGTGCGTGCGTCCCTCCGCTGCGTTGGAAACAACCGCAACGACAGACCAATCGCAGGTCGAGGAGAAGTGTTCGCGCACGTTGCATGCCGGTCGCGGGCCGGCCAGCCGGCTGCTTCTATCCGCAAACATGGCGTTGGTTTTGATCGTCGACGTAGACGATCAAAGAAGCTCCTCGTTCCGCGTAAAAGCGCTATCCTAGACTGTGAATTTTCGTTGTGTGTCGCTATGATAACCCAGCACATACTAGAAGGGAAAACCCACCTACTCGTGCGGCGATGTTGTGGCGGCACTCTCAAGACAGCAGAAACGCCCGTGTCGTCGTGTTTGTTTACTTCGACTACAGTGGTGCTTTCTAAGCATTTGTGTTTTCGAACATCGCTCGGATTTCTTATTTGGAGCATTTCATGCCTGTGCTCAAGTTGAAGGTATTACTGGCACGTACCGTATAAAGGATGCGAATTTTCACGCGTATTCATTGCTGGAGAAAAGTGATTAGGGTTAGCAATCCTGAACGCTCGCAACGTCCGTCCGCAACCCGCGACGCCGTTAAAAGGCTGCGCCAGGCAAAAGTCGCTCATTTCTTTCAGAATGTGTGACACACTTGAGAAAGAAGTGTACTAGTCTGGTGAAATAAAGACTTCCCTCAAACTAAGCTTTATTTTTCATCTAACATAAAATAAATTCTTTTACAAAGGTAAGTTTGGCCTGAAAAATTGATGTTTTGGTTATAGCGCGGTACCCCTTATAAAGCGGATTTTCGCGACTCCCGCGACATACGTTATATGCGGTCTACACTGTACTAGATTTTCACTATTCTTCATTTCAACATCAGGAAAAGTGTAGTCAATCAAGCAAGGCCAAAAACACAGCTTCACCATATTCAGTCTTTCTCTAAATGATTATCTCAAGCAAATCTAATCAAGTGCATGCTGTGACCTTGTGCTTTCAGTCTGTATGTCTTCCCACCCCTGACTGCAATTGAACCTATGGAAAAATAAAGTATATAATACTCTGTACTGACGTGTTGATAGGCACCATTAGGACCTCTATCATCAGTATGGACCTCTCTACGCTTTGGATCCGGATCTTTCATTCCACACTCCAAGTGATATGCCACGGCGGACAGAAGCAGTGATACATAGAATGAAACTCGGTGTAGCGTACACACACAAGTTCCTTCATCGGATTGGACAGGTCACAACACCTAAGTGCCCAAGTTGTGACTCCATTGAAACAATTCATCACATCTTATGTGAATGTGTCATCTACGACGCAGAAAGGACACAACTCAAAAACACGCTAGCATGCCTAGACAACCGACCCTTCTCCGTGACTACAGTGCTTGGTGCTTGGGACAATCCACACAAAGAAGCCAAGGCCACAAAAGCACTAGTTAGATTCCTAAATACAACACGCCTGAACTTCTGCTTATAGAAGATGACCTTCATTGTTAGTGAATAGCGCAGTGTTAGTGTTCAAACTTTGTAATTCTTAATTTTTTTTATTTTTTTTTTAACTTTCTGTTTTTTCTTTTCTCTTTTAATCCTCAAACCCCTCTCCCCCAAAACAAAGTAGCAAACCGGGGCAAAATACCCCAGGTTAACTTCTTTGTCTTCCTTTCTGCCCTTTTTTCCTTCCTTCTTCTTTGATATAAAAGTAAAACATCCTTTGTCCTCATAATTCCAATGAAAATGAACCAACATTATCCCTCCATACCAAACCTTCTTGCAAAATTTTACAACCTTCAAAAATCAATCAAATCCCCCAAAACATTCACACCCCTATAAACCTTCTATAACTTTAAGTTTGCATCTGAACAGAACTCAGAAAAAGCCCCTCTTTGCTTTTCCGCAACAAGCCTGCATTAAACGCGAATGCAACTTCGATGCAAACATTTCTCGTTTCCTCTCGTGAGTCAAAGAGGGCCGTACCTTCTTTGACGGTGACGGTACGTCGGAGTCCGGCGATGACGTATCCGACAGAACAGCCCTCCGTCGTGCCACTTTCCGTCTCACTCGAACGGGGCTCTCTTCTTCTGTCGGTTGAGAGAAATTGTAAATCACAATTTGAATGGCCCCAAGGAAAACTTCCGAAAGATTTAAGGTTGTCCTAGGCAAAGCTGCAAATTTCTGGCAGAGCCAAAAAACTTCATTTGGAGGTTGCATCAGTTTTGCTGTCCTGTGCAGCTGCATTGGGGAAAAGTTGTTGTAATGAAGGTTTGATCTCTCCACAATTCGCCACTTCTGTCAAGCATAATGTCATGCTCTCTACATGACCCAAATGCTTCAGTGCAGAAAGTGGGTGTTATCCTATATTGCTGTAATCACTCAAAAAGCATGAAAAGAAAAAAGATACGATTAAAAAGGAATCTTTGTTTCCAGACGCAGTCGCCCCATTAATCCCTTTACTCGTGCTTGCATCTTTGCAAGGCACAAACAGTAGGTAACATGGTCAGCAAGCACTTTCGAGAGGGACCAGCACACATTGAAACTAGAAAGCAATTATTATTTCCCTGAAAATACTGCTTGTTGTGTCTTTCTGAGCTGCCGTCTTAAATTTGTGTAACTATAATAATTTGTTTAGCTCATCCTTCAAGTCTAGAAGGTGTTAAAAGCTCAACTGCTTCTGAAACTGCTCATTTTCTAGCATTTTGCTGAAGTCAAGGAGAACCTATCAAAAAGGAACCGTTCCCCTGCTAGAGATTCATTAAGACCTTCAGCTACAAAGTACTAACTAGTACTAATTACAAATTTCCACATAAGACTATAAGTAGAGACAGTAGAGAAGACATAAAAACTGTCACTAGTAGTTTGCTCATGGGTCTGCACACATTTATCTGTCAGAGCATCAAGCCTTATAGTGTTCTGTCACAAAAAAAAGTTTTTGTCTGTTGCACCTGAGGAAACACTTTCCTCAGATGGTTCTGTGTTCTGCCTACTGGAGCTTTGTCAACAAGCTTGGATAAAAAGTATTGTGCCTGGGTTGCTTAGAAAGGTACTCTTTTGTAACGGTACCCAAAAATCTCCTAACTGGAAAGTCATAGACTGGAAGAAGCAACCACAATCCCCAATAAACTTGGCTTCTGCAAGACTGAGAGGTGGGGATGACAGTCTGTTTCCAAGGAATTTTTGCGAACGAACAATACAACATGCATATTTCGAGGTGGAAGTTCAAACTTCATTAACCACAAATTGTCAAAGATCCCTTACTAGACACAAAGCCTCAATGAAAATGCTGTAGAGTGCAACATAAGAATGTCTTGGACTGTTATATATATGTTACCATGAAATTATTTATCTGATTAGGACCATGTGCTTCCTGATGGGCATTAACATGTCCAAAAGTTGTTTGTCTTGTACTAATTTCCGACACTTTCTGTTCTTGTAACAAGACACGGAACAGTCAAAAAAAAAAAAAGAAAGCAGACACCAATCCTCACTACTAAAATTGACTGCTACCACTTAATTGCGATAATTCTCAACAATAAGTCAAATTTATAAATAAAAGAATGTCTTTCAATCACTCACCGGAGCTGACAATGACAACAGGTCCCCTCTCTTGTGTTGCCACCATCGGCTTGACTAAAGCCACAGGTATTTGTTTCGATGACAGCCGTCCTCTTGATGGCGGCAACTCGCGGCTCAATCCCACGGCCAACACGGGCGGGCGATCGTGGTCGGTCTCCTTCTTGGAGATGGCAGAAGTGGACTCGTCTGAACTAAAGCCGAGATCCTCCAAATCGACCAGCAGCTCGAACGATGGACGACTGCGCACTGAAGTCTCACCGGTACGGTTCGCCACGGGCAAGGTGGCAAACGTTGAGGACAGACTTCTCCGAGGGCGGGCCTCTTTTGTTGGGTCCCTTTGCCCAATTGGTGATTGGCATGGATGAGCGACTCTGGACGAAACCGGCTTCGAGTCCTTGGGTGGTGCCACCTTGGTCGGGAGTGATGGAACTCGTGATTGGCACCGATCGCGAACCCCGGACGAAACCGGCTTCAAGATTTCACGTGGCACCACCTTGGGCGCAAGTGGCTGGACTCGGGATTGGCACTGAGCAGCAACTACAGATGAAACAGTCTTTGAGATCTCGGGTGGTGCTGCCTGGGTCGGGAATGATTGGACCTGTGATTGACACCAATCGGCAACTCCGGACGAAACTGGCCTCAAGATCTTGGGTGCAGGTGCCGTTTCGGTTGGGAGTGATTGGACTTGTGATTGGCACGGATCGGCAACTCCGGACAAAATTGAGTTTAAGCGTTTGGTTGGCACCACTTCGGCTGGGAATGATTGGACTCGTGACTGGCACAGATTGGCAACATTAGAAGAAACCGACTTCGAGATTTTGGGCAGTGCCACCTCGTTCGGGAGAGTGGATTCCTGGTCGAGGAGGGCGCAGAGTTCGGTCATTCCCAGGTTTTCAGGGTCGTCGTCTTCGTCTTCTGCCTTGTCAGTCTCGACGTCGTCCTGGCCGTCCGAAAGGTCCTGGAACAATTCAGCGTCGCTGTCATCTAGAAGGTCCCAGGTGTCAGTTTTGCTCTGCACTTCGACGTTCCGGATGGGGGACGGGCCGCAGAAGACTTCGGGCGAAGCGATGAAGGCCATGCTACGTGGTTTAACATTGCTCCCAGAAGGGCCTGGCATGGGCTTGCAGGGAGTGGAGTGTGAAACTGCGTCCAAGAGCCGTGGAAGAGCCGTCACGGGAATTTCCGGTTCAACTTCTCGGCTGTTCACCTGCGCAATCGAGAAACCCCATCCCGGGAGCCTCATGATATGGTCCGATTCATTTCAAGTTTAAATCGCTTCGCATTCCTCTCTACAGCTAACTTTCACAAATCAACTGTCACTAAAAAATATCTGTGGCAATGAAACTTGATTATATGCAAAATAAACACACTCAATATGTTGCGAGAGATTGCATAGAACTTTAAGAAACCATTTGACAGGAGTGTTACTGATGTGTAGGCCAAAGAAGCATGTCGCAGCACAACACGGTCATCGCAAACACCTGGCAGTCACTTTTTCCCCTTTATCGCCTGACACTAGAAGTTGACTATCAAAACTACAAGCGTGACAAGATAGGCGTATCTGAGGCACCAAGTCTTTACTCTGTTTCAATGAAAATCGGAAAAACACCAATGCCGTGTCTGCGTTAACTCTGTCATGCAGTGAATGTGACACACTTCTCAACTCCTACAAAAAAAATGCTGAGGCAAGGGAATTGAAGTTATGGAATAAAATATACTATTTCCACTAAACAGATGCTTGCAAGCCATATTTTTTCACAATTGCTATGGCGCAATGCTGCGAGCTAGAGCATAAGTTGAGTAATTCACAAAGAAAATCAGCAGAAAATATATATATATATATATATATTTTTTTTTTTTTTTTGGGGGGGGGGTTTATTTTTTATTTGAACTTACAAAATGCCTTTGCTTTAAAAAAAAAAAAAGAAGACCTTTCACAACCTTTTTATATTAGAGAGCCTACTTTATATCTCACAACTGCACCTCACCAAAAATCATCATTGGTAGCGATATTAGACGCAATTCTCCACATTTCAAAACATTTTTCGATTTCATTCATTTGACATTTGAAAGAGACGCCCTGTCGCTCCCATCCTGTCAATGACTGTATAGTACAGAGTGTCCTAAAAAACATTTACAAAATTGGTTTCACAAAAAATAAAATATAAATACTATGCATCGTTGAACGCTTATTTTTCGCCCTAATGTAGCCCTAACAATCAAACCAGACGGCAAAAAAAAAAAAAGCATCATCTCATTTAAAAGTTATAAGCGATTTGCTGAAATTTTTAATGGGAAAAAAGTGGCCAACGGAGCTCTTGTATACATGGAGCTGAATGGCATCAGCTCCATGTATTTTCGCACTGAAATTTTCTGAAAATCACTTATAACTTTTGAAAGAGATAACGGTTAGCTCTGTAACTTTGGCATCCAGTTCAAACCGCTACCGCTACTACATTTGTGCAGAGAATGAGCGTTCGGCGATGCACAGTTTATTTTTGTGGCGAAAAAGACTTCGTAGAGTTTTTGGGGGGGACACGCTGTAATCGCCGAGCGGAAGCCAAAGAACGCAAGAAAGGTTCACGGTACCTTTGAGCCTGCAACGTCTTCTGCAACACTTTCCCCAGCGGGTTCAGCATCGCCACCGATATCATCCGTCCTGTTGCACGACCAGCTCATGTCTTCGAAACAGTCCTCGCCCAACATGTCCTCAAGGTCACTATCCAGCTCCAGCTTCGAACTCCAGGTCCTGGAGCCCCTAGTTGTACCAGCAACCAGAGCACGATCGGTTCTGGCGCTTCGACCCGCTTTCTCGCACACGTCGAAAAGCTCCCTGTCAACCGATCTTGCTAACACCGACCCGACTCCAGCGTCAATCCGGGACGGACTTCCCAGATTCAAGTCGTCTGCAACGTCGAGGAAAAACAACGAACGCTCGCAGCTCGAAAGCACGGCGTCGCTCTCATGCGGCGCATCGTGGCCCAACGCTTTCCCAATGTCGACCGGCGACCAAGGACCTTCGGTGGCTGGAAGCACGTCGGCCTCCAAGGTGGGCGGCGTCCGCACTTCAACTCTCGGCGCATCCGCGGTCCGCCCGAGCCAGTCCTCACACTCTCGCGCTGGAGAAAGCCGGAAGAGTTCCTCCAAAGTGACAATGCTGCACCGACCGTCGTCCCGACTTTCAACAACCTTGACGAAATCCGTCTCCTCCGCTGAAGCTCTCAGCAACAAATCGTCCGGTTCCGGCTTCTCCTTGAAGAAGTCCGTGATTGTTTTCTTCTTCTTCGTCTTGTGCATGCCCGAAGCAGCTCCGTCGCTTCCGAGCGAACTGGATGGCAAGTCCGAGCCGACGCCTGAGACATCGCAGTCCTTTCGTTTTTTTGACGGAACTTTTCCCTTCTTCGAAACGCCACATCGCTCCGACGGATCATCGCTTCCCAAGCCGACCCGCTTCTTCCCGCCCTTCTTTCTCGGAGCTACGTCTCCATCGTCTTCGTCGTCGAGATGGTTGTCGGCTTCCGAGTCGGACGTCACGTCCTCCATCCGCAAGAAGGTCTTCATTTCAAGGCCGTACGCGTCCATGCGGTCGTCAGTTAGACGTAGGTTCTCAATGAACTGCATCACATGTACATAGTCGTCGGTCTTCCGTGAGTGAGACACGCGCAGTGTTGGCTGGAAGCTGTTCTGCCACGGAGTCCAGCTGGATAGGGAGAGGGCGGGACGTCTCGGAGCTGTTTTGTCCTGAAAAAAGGGACAAACGTTGGAAGAGGGTGTCGAGAACAAAGCAAAAACAAGCCGTCCACCATAAATATTGGGGGATCGGTGGCCAAGTGTGCTAACAAGCTGCAGCTCGAAGCACGAGGAGCGAAAGCTCGCGCTGCAGAACCGAGGGATCCTGATTTCGATCCTTATCCCAGCCCGTTTCGATCTGGACAAGCATCATACCGCCGTACAGTGATGCACGTTAAAGACACCAGGTCAGCAGTGCTACTTCACTGGCAAAATTTCTCATCTACAGTAAAGACAAGAGACGCGCATTGGGGCTGACTAACTTCCTGCTGTCTGAATACACATGCGAAACAATTACCCAAATGATTTAGCTAGGGTCGTGCTTGTGGTGCCGTCTCCCAATAGGCGTGGCAGGCAGATGACAATGTCATCTCCCCACTGCACCTATCGAGAAATGTGGATATTCTTTAAAACACTCGTGTCCATACTAACGGGGTAAAGTGCATCTGTTTAACCAATACATTCTTAAACGACCATAAAATACCGAGCGTCCGCCCACATCCTAGCACCCACCCTGAACTCCCGAACCCAGATGGCGAACTGAAATAATCCTCCACATTTCTCCAAAACGCCGGTGCAATGCGATGGAACTTGATGCGCACATGTGGGTTCTAAGTGGCAAAGCCCACCCCTTCCCCTTCTGCATTCCCCCCTTCTGCATTTTTGCTTTTGGACCGAAGAATCGCCTATCCCCCAGTTTTACAGCGACATCTCTTATTGAGAATGTCCCCCGAGAAATTGCATGGGCGACAGTTGCGAAAACGCCCAGTGATCGCTCCCAGCCACAGTACCCGAGGCTCCAAGTTGCGCCCACAACTGCTGCTTTGAATTCGTAAGAACAAAAATTCCGTCTGTCGAGCCGAATTCGAACTAGCGACCTATGGATGACAGCAATTGTTTTTGCCAGAGATAACCGCTCTACTAACTGAGCTATCGAAACTTTTTTTTTCTTTGTTCACCAACTGACCTATTGAAGGAACAAATTGTAGTGAGTCAAAAGTGGTATACATTCAATGTTTGTCTCCCTTCGATAATGCTTCAATGTCTCGCGTGCCTCAAGCTTGCACATGCAGTCCAATCCCGGCGAAAGCCAGTGCGTGCATGCTAGAGGACGGGGTTAGAAAGAGACGCAGCGAGAAATTGAGGGAGAGAAGGAGACGAGAGCGCGTGGGGACGTCGGAACACCGAAACAAAATGTCTGCGCACGTGCCGTGTCCATAACAGAGTCACCGCGGCGGCGTGACGTCACAGTCGCATCTTGGTCTATAGGAGGTCTAAGCTGTAGCAACAGCACCTACAAGAAACAAAATTTATAACAAACTGCTCGGCAGTTGCGTTGCAAGAGAAAGGATCTGGTATTTTGCTACTCCGGCAATGCTTGCTTCGTACGTCCAGTGCATTCGGTCCCGACTGTTGCGCGTGGGTCTTCGTCGTCGTGTGCGTCTAGTTCAATATTGTCGCTTGCGGTCACGTCTCCAGGTGTTAGTTGCGATCGTTTAGCAGCCTGCCTGGCCCGTTGAGCTACCGTAGAATACCACACAACCGCCCATACCACACTAACTGCCCATACCCAAATTTGTAAGATCTGAGAAAATATACAGAGTACATTGATATGTAAAATTGATGACCGGACAAGCGCCCATCCCCCATTTTTTCGCAATTATCTCTATATCTTGGGTGGGCGCTTGCCCGGTATTTTACGATAGTTGTCTTTGTTCAGCCCTATTCTTCTGGGACCGGCACCTACGCTCTCAGCACTCTTCATCGGTTTGTTTGGCTGTTAACATAACGAGTGGCATCTACACTTGGTAGCAGTTCCTGGAAGAATGATATTGACAATAATTGTTGTTTAAAAAAGTGAAAGCCGTTTACAACTCCCTGTAACACCGAATTAGAGCGCAGCTCTTGAGGAGGAGGAGGGAAGAGTACTGGGGGGTGATGTGACCTGGGGGGGGGGGGGGGGGTCACGTGACCTTGGAGGGTCACGTGACGATGCCAGTGATGTCATAACGTCACTGATGACGTCACCGACATCCACATCGTCATCGTCATCATCGCTGATGACGTCATCGGAGTCCGCATCGTCATCGTCACTGATGACGTCATCAGTGACGTCACCGATGACCTCACCGGCATCCACATCGTCATCGTCATCATCACTGATGACGTCATCAGTGACGTCACTGATGACGTCACCGGCATCCGCATCGTCATCGTCATCATCACGGATGACGTCATCAGTGACGTCACTGATGACGTAATCCGTGATGATGACGATGACGATGCGGATGCCGGTGACGTCATCAGTGATGATGACGATGACGATGCGGATGCCGGTGAGGTCATCAGTGACGTCACTGATGACGTCATCAGTGATGATGACGATGATGATGCGGATGCCGGTGACGTCATCAGTGACGATGACGTCATCGGGGAGGTCACGTGACCCTGGGGTTGGTCACGTGACCTCCCCGATGACGTCATCGTCAAGGTCACGTGGCCCCCAAGGTCACGTGACCTGGGGGTCACGTGACCTTGGGGGCCACGTGACCTTGGGATGACCTTGAGGGTCGCGTGACCTTGGGGTGACCTTGGTTACGCCGACGGCGACGCCGCTCAAGCCGGGAACGGGCCCCTAAGAGCTGCGCTCTAAAAAGAAAAATCAACCAATCGGCGTCGAGCTTGGGTGTGACGTCAAATGTGACGTCGAACCTGGCTCAGCCAATCTGCATCGAAATAATCGGCAGCTTCACAAAGCTTTTGGACCCCCCCCGCCCTCTCTAACAAGGCAAAGATCACGCAGCGCCGCATAGTCGGCATCAGCGTCGACACCAAGACAGAGGCGTTTGCCGCTTTGCAGCGTCTTCGGTCGAGGTTCTGAGCTTTTGCCGCATGGGGCGCTTTGAAGGACCACTTACTAGGACGTCATGTGCAGGACTTGTCTTCTAGGTGGTACTGAGTCAACATCCCAATGTGCCAACGTATGCGCACGACCACTCGAGCAGACGAACTTGCTCGCCATATGGCTAGACCTCGGGAAGTTTGTAGTTGGCCTGAACAACGCTGCTATCAGTTACGGTGCGACGAGCAGGCTTGTCGTAGATACAGTATGGACGAGGCATGAGAGCGGAATCGAAAGCAGAAGCAAAAATGGCATGATAATTTTAAGAATCGTACTCGGGAGGCGGCACAGAAATGACAACTAAGTCACACTGATAGAAAATTACGCAAGCACCAAGCTGCTGCCGCTGTGACACACGGCACGCGACAGCGTAAATGCTCTCGGATTTTTTCGAGGTTACATACAGTGAAATCTTTTAAACTCACGGAGAATTCAAACTAACACGCAGGTCCGATTTTATGTGTTTCTAGGGAGGAAACTCCCGGTAATTCAAACTTTGCATTATTCAAACAAAGGTTTTGTCCCCCTCCGGTTCAAATTAATGAGACTCCACTGTATCTAACTTCTGGCTGGGCGTTTGCTCGGTATTTTACGGTAGCTGTCCATGGTCCAAACTGTGAATTTCTGTACGAACAGGCACAGAATTGTATAGGGACATTTGTTGACCCCAACCCAAACGTCTCTACGCCGCTGAAACGGTGAGGGCCTGGGCGTTGCTCACCGATTCGGGCGTCGTGGCTCCACGAAGCGTGACGAAGCTCGTCGAAACGGTCGGCACAGTCGGAATTGCCGACTCGGCGACTTCGAAGTGAGCCTCGTAGTAAAGCTGCTCCTGCCTCGTGAGCACGCCGCCCTCCTTGCCCCGTTTGCCTGCGAGCGAAGTCGCAGACGAGAAACGTGTCGAACCCAATGTCCAAAAAGACACCGAAAAAAATTTACAGTAGGCATCCGACGGCGAATATTTGGACGGCTTGAAAAGAATGCAGTCAATCGTTTCATTGAGCGCATAGCTCCATCGCACCGTCAGCTGGGAAGAAGACGAGAGCAGAAAGGTAAAACAGAGAGTTTAAGCAAGGCAGCCCAGCTCTGATCGGCTACTCTGACCAGCAGCTTAGGCGTGAATGGAGAAACAACCAGCTCCCACGAAGTACCTCCTTGTTACTCAGGGACCACTTTCAATGCATGGGCCGGATAGGATGCTCAACACACCGGTCGAAGACACGTAGCAGACACCGTAGTTACAGCGTCCCATCCCGTAACTTACCGGCCAAGAGAAGGCTCGTGATGGGAAGTTGCCCTCCGTGCAAGGCAGTCTTGGAGCCACCGGCAGGGCGATACTCGGGCACTGTCATGAACATGCGGTGGCAGGAGGGAGTGATCCCCCGCGGCACCATGGTCGGGGCACCCTGGTACAGGCCGCCCAGCCGCCCACCATTCAGGATGGCACGGTGGACGGTCTGCTTCTTGGAGTTGCTCTCCCGATAAGCCTGCAAAAGCATAGATGGGGGACCGGTGGACGAGCGTATTAACGTATTGCACCTCGAAGCACCCGGAGCGAAAGCTCATGCTACATTTCTTTAAAATCATGCTGGCAATCAAATCAAATTCGATCAGTTTATTTTTACCATGTACAACTACAGATGAAGGAGCTGTGGAAAATGAAAAAATGAAATGGAGACACTTAAGACTGCTTACGCATAAGAATGCAAAAGCATTCCTACATGCAGCGCATTCCTACTAGCAGCACGCCACGTCTGCCTTTTTCACACGTCACACCGACGGTGGCATCACACTCCCCCATTGCGCAGCCCGCCGGCTCCACAGCTTCCGTGATGATGCATATGCGTTGCTGTGCTTTTCTGTGCGTTTTATTTTTTCTGAGGCGCGTCCGCCTTGCAGCCAATCAAAGTTTATGTGCTGTTTCACTCAGCCAATGGGAATTTATGTGCAGTTTCACTCAGCCAAAATGGAAATTTAGGTGCCATTTCGCTCAGTTAAAATGGGAATTTAGGTGCCATTTTGCTCAGCCAATGGGTATTTAGGTGCCGTTTTTTGCTGCCACAAACATCGGATAACACTGGCTTTGCTCCATGGGACAGGTAATGTTTTCGCATTAAAAAAGCTGCAGGACTGCAGCTTGATAAGTCCACACACCCTTAATATTGGCAGCTAAGCACATCATGCTAAAATATTTACGGAAAATACAAGTATTACTACAATAAAGTAGTTATAGTACTCGTATTCACCTCAAGAACCGTAGTAAAACAACCTGGCTCCTAGCAAAGTACTACTCATTTTCCCCTTTATGTGGGCAATTACACTGTATGTAGGTGCTTTCTAGATTAATCATGCATTATTTTATCGAGACATGTACAGACGTATACGTTTTAAGCGTCAAAAGCATAATTTCTTCCCCCACCACCGAATCATGCAATGTGATAACCTTGCTTTATTTTCTAGATGTGGCGAGTACAGCTTTCGCCTCCCAAAGCTGTTCAGCTGCAAGAGGCTTTCCGAATATGACAGTCGGAGAGTTTTGTGAGCTCTCTCTGCGTTCGCTCAGAAGCACGTCATAAGTGCAAGGCAGACTTCATTTCATAGACTGCCTGCTTGAGCAGCAGGTCTGCCTGCCAGCGACGTTTTTCCATAGGGAAGCACGAAGACAAAAGCCATCCGGCAAGCCCCACAAAGGAATGAGGATCAATTTCAACTACCTGTGTATCGTGACGTGCAACCAAAATCTCGGTTACCCAGCCGGTGTCGTCTCCGCAATCTTCACGATAAGCCTCCGTCAGATTACAGGCACCTCCGCAGGGATTCGAACCCGCCAACTGGGAATCTGTAGGCTGGCGCTTTCCCTTGGAGCCACAGAGGTGGCTTAAAGGGGTACTCCAGAAATTGTTTTTAGTATATTTTCTAACTATACTTGTTTAATCCCCGGCCTTTAGCCTTTCCGGTACAATACTTAGGTGTATCGCGAAATTCTGAATTTTTTCTAATCCCTGGCCTTTAGCCTTTCCAGTATGCTAGTTACTATCGCGAAATTCACAATAGTTGTGAAATCGGCAAATGAGAATGATGCCAAAATCAACTTTCTATTATACCCACCCTTTTCAGTGCCGTGACGTCGGGTGCAGGCAGGCATGCAGTCGAGCGGGCAGTCTACAAATGAACTATGCCGAGCACTTGTTTTCTGCTGCTGCAGGGGCGATAAAGCAAGCTTCAAAGGCATTCATTTGACGCCATGAAACTGCTTGTAATCAGTTGGAAACAAATTCTACAGTCCAAAGAGTGAACCCCTGCCTTCCACTGACGTTACGTTTTCATTGTTGCCAGTACAAACCTGTTTGAAAAAAGGGTAAGGACCATAATTGCAAATTCAATAACTTAGAAAAAAAAATATTAATTTGGCCTAATGTTCAGGATACCATCTCAGCTATGTTTATTGGTGTGTTTAGCAAATTTGCAGGCAAATCGGGGACCGTGAAGAAAACGCCGGAGTACCCCTTTAAAGTTGGATTTGGTATCGACTATTTTAACATAAGAGATTCTATGCGGCATGCTGGGAAGAGCAAAACCCGGGTATTTGGAAAATGTAGTTAAGTTGGGAGGCCCATTGTGGATTTCATAAAGCATGAAATGACAGTGATGCACCTGCTCCTCTTTTCCCTCGGAGAGCAGCACCACAATGCGTCCGGCGCGCTTGCGCCCTGTGCGTCCCATGCGCTGCACCAGGCGGATGGGGCTCTTGGGCGCGTCGTAGCAGACGATCAGGTCGATCTCCCCAATGTCCAGGCCCTCTTCGCCCACGCACGTCGACACCAGCACGTTGTAGCCGCCGTCACGAAACCTCTTCACCACCTGGAAAGAGAACCGATGAGACAGATACAACGAGAAAGGTCGCCCCTCTGCCGTACCAGCGTGGCAGAGGCAGTCGTAACGCAGAACATGATGTGTCAGCGCGGAGAAGCTGCTTGCGTGTGTAGAGACTGGATGGGGCGTAAGCGGTCTGGCATTGTACAAGGTTAACACGCGAGCGCTCCGTGGAAGACTTACTTGTGGGCGCCATCTAATGCAATTGCAGAGTAAATGTGACCTTCTCAGAGTCCATTGGAGTGCGAGACGAGGTAGGCGGAGCGTGCAGAAAACAGAACAACCGAAACGCGGCAGCACCAAGCAGAGCCCTGGCACCACCTTGCGGCAAAAGAGAGCCAAACGCTCGAAACCGCCTCAACCCGTTGCAACAAAGTGAGCGTCTGCTTCCTTTTCTCTTCTTTTCTGTTGCCCTGTCTCGTGCTTTTTCTGGGCAAGCCTGGGGTGAGCTCATTTTGCAGAGAAGAGCGCCGCTGTATATCTGAACACGCGATCTTTTACCCTCGCCCGAAGTAGCACAGAAGCACTCAGGGAAGAGGTTCGGTTGGTATCCAACCGGTGAGGAGACGAGCGCTGCATCGGTGTTCGGCTGGCAGTCGGCCCGTCAAATTCTGTTGCTGGCACTTAACCGGACATGGTTAGCTGCCAGCCATACGACACATTGCGAGTTAAAAAGCGACGAAGTACAAAACCACTCGCGAAATCTATTGCCTGTAAAACCCTAATTGGGTGCGGTAAGCGTGTTTGCCATTACCGAAGTCTCAAAGTTCTAGTGAGTTTCTATGCTCTTTTCCTTAAACAATACACTTTTGTCCCTCTAAAAAAACGCTTCATTTTTATCCATATCACTATGATTACTATGTTAAGATTTGTGTGTTACCCTAATCAACTAGAAGACAGTGTCTGCTTTGCCGTCCCACTTCTATGCAAGCATTAGCATCAGTCGCACGGCTGGTTCAATTCTCTCAAACACAGAACTAGCTGTTTAGTTGCTTGTAGAAACGCCAGGCACGACAAGGTGTGGCTTGATGAACGATAAGTTGAACTACTGGGAATTATTATTTTAGGTATGGAATAAAAGAGAAACCAAATAATAGATTCCACTAAAATTAAGTTAACAAATGAATTTCAGAACACAGTCGTCTAACAACTCACTAAAAAAAAGGAAATACTACTCTTGTTAAACATTGGGTCATCGTTAGAAACGTCGTCAGATGAGTCTAGGTGGCAAAAAAAATAAAACTGCAATTGTTAATTAAGATAAAAAAAACAAAGCTTTTCTTATTATATTATAAAAGTTAATGACATTTTATATGCAAAACTTCATGATAACGAAAAAAGGCATGTGAACAATACATGCTTTCTTTAAAAAAATCCAGCCAAATGCGTTAAGCTAATTGCCAAGATTCTATTCACTGCTCCAGCTAATCTAGATTTAAAAAACTCTATTGATCTTGTCATTGAACAGATTAAATCTATTTAAAGGCTATATCTATATAAAGGAGCCGAGATAAAAAATAAACCTATAAAGCAATTCATATAAATCTTCTCAATACCCAAGTATCCTCGCTAAATCTCGAATCTGAAAAACATGTTGTCAGAGTAGCGCATACAATTGCGGCTAAATGCTAGCCGCAATTTTATTCAGAAATTTTTCCTTCAAGGTATACAGTTATTATATCAACACTTACCAGGTTTTTTCTTTTATTTTATGTATGTTTGATGTCAACATGTTCAATGTTCCGCCCAGGAAGGCTGTTTTCTCCCCAGCTCTAAGGAGAAAGCAAGCTATGAAAAATCGCAATGCCTACTCCCCAGTTGTTGCTACATTGCAGTACATCGGTGCGCGATGCACTGCATTAGTCAATGAAACTAACAAACCCGCCAAAACAGACTATCAGTTTGACTGACAGGCTTCTGAGTACTCTCAGCGTTGATTGCTGCAATAAAACCGAATAGTATGTTATATAAGACGATCAACAAAAGTTCTGAAATTTCGCACAAGTCTACCGTAACGATTTGGCTGTGTAGCAGGACCTGTGCTATTACAGTCGAGCCCGATTACATCACACTCGGGTATTTCAAATTATTGTTTATATCAAACAGTCCAAACATCCCCCTGAAAATCACATGTAAAACTATAGGAGTGTTGTCTTTTTGTATCGAACTCCCGCGGAACTCCCATGGCGGGGACACTCGACAGAGCGAACGAAGAAGCCTAGCCACCCGTTGCTTTTCCCGTGATCCCATTGCGCCGGTGGCGAGCACATCTCTTGCGTTGCGGGGCTGGCTGACCGCCAAGCCAGCATACCCGCGGTAAATAAAAAGAATGAAACATAAAAAAAAAAAGTGGAGGATGACAAAAGCAAGGGGAAGGGCACGCGCACACGCGTAGAGAGAGAGCAGGGAGTGCCCGCTGTTGGAACGGTACCGTGCGCCCTTTTCCGGAACACTGCTGATGCTGCGAAATTCCCTAACCTCAAAATAAGCAACAACAAAAAAAAAATCTTCGGCAAGTCTAGTGTTCTGACAACAACGGTTGTGCAATCGCACTTCCAATGCCTTATCTTTGTTTACCTTTTTCTTTTGGTGTTATTGCTTTCCCCAGTTTTTTTTTCTCTTTTCTTTTATTGTCCTTTTTTTGCAGCCTGAATTTAGTGAGCTTTCTTTTTTGTTGCTTGCTTTACTTTTTTATGATTTTTTTATGCGTCGTTTTTCCTTTTTTTTTATTATTGTTTTTGTGTTTTGCCGCTTATGCTGTGTGGAGGTCCCAGCCAGGTGCGCGTGTAAGCGCGGCGGTGCTTGCGGTCCCTACCAACTATGCTCTGCTGTATTTAGCAACTCTTGGATGCTTTATTTTGGAAGCTCCCGTTTGTTGCGACCTTCGGTATTAAGAGGGACGCCCGGAAATTTCAACTCTAACTTAATTTAACATATTTTTGTATATCAAATTATTGATATATCGAACTATTTTACATTCTTTCTTGAATTTGATCTATCCGGGTTCGACTGTAGATTTTTAGTATAAATAAAGTGAAATTGAGATTTGGCGCAATGTTGACTCAATATCCTTACAATTTGACGAAATATAGCAGGATGTAGCATGGCAAGCACTTTGGCACAGCAATCACATCGCTGCATTGTCCAAAGAGCACTTTCCGCAAACGAAAAATCTAGTGCAACATTTGGGTTGCGAGACTCGTTTTGAGTCTCACAAGATGCTTTTATTTCAAAATAATGTACCAAAATAAAAGCATGTTCTAGAATCAGTTCTCACCCAAGATGAGTCTTACTTATTTAAATATTGCACTGAAATGTTTTTCTTTTGTTTCGGAAAATGTTGATTGTGTAACAATATGTTTCCAGTCCAGACACTTCACACAATATTTCTCCGGGAATTGGGCCCCTCTAGAACCAAAATCAAAACAAGTTCCTAATTCGAGTCCCCCAGATCGCAGAGCTGCAGGTGACGGCCTTCCGTCACTCCTCATCTCGAAAAGGCGCAAATGCGCGCCCCGAGAGCAAGAAGAACAAATGTGAGCCATGCCAGGAGTTGTTCCTTTTGAGTGAAGCCCCTGGCAGTTCCAGTCTTCTGGTTCTGACCCATGAAGTTCATGGCCTTGATGAGGGGCCTGTGCCGGTTCAGGTACGACGAGATCTCCTTGACGCTGTCACGGTATTGGGAGAAGATCATGACCCTCGTCTCTGCACCTTCGCCTGCGCAGCACGAGAGATGCGTCACCGCTGAAGAGATTGGTTCGCTGAGAGCTGAACGGAATTAGGCCATAGATATTTTTGTGTTTATTATTAAGAGAAATCGGCAGACGTCTTTCGGGGTTAATTTATATTTAAGATATCGACGTATTTCAATGATCTGCTTTTGATGGATGTCAAAACGGTGGTTATCGGTAAAATAAATCTGGCAAGAAACTAAGAATTCTAGTCCAAAAGGAGGGGTTTCGACATAAACAGTCCTAGCTGAGGCAAACATTTAAAGAAATCTTTCTTTTCTCTCGGTTTGAATTGATTTTGTATTTTTGACACCAACAGATGTTTATTAATGTTCGTCGGTTTTAAATTATTTTGTATTTCTGACACCAACGGATGTTTAGCGGAGTTCTTCGGTTCTAATCAATTTGTACTTTCAACACCAACGGATGTTTATCTGTGTTTTCACAGTCTGAACAGATTTTTGTATTTTCGACACTGACGGACATTTATTGATGTTTTTCGGTTCGACGTTTACGGCCTACCTATAAATGCGTTCGTCTCAGCTCGACAGTGCGGTGGGAGCTACAGATTCAGTGGAACAATCAGCCACCTCCCTTTCATCACCTAGCGAGCTCTCTGCACGTGGGTATGGGCGAGAGTGTGACTGCGCAGTAAAAGACGGACGTATGGCCGGTCCAACGAGCACACGGCTTTCATCGCACTGTCATCTTAGGGGTGAATGAAGTCGCCCGGAAGTCACTGAAAACTAAAGAACAAGGGACAGCATACCGTCATTCCTTGCTACGCAAGCCACCTCCTCGCAGCTCAAGAGAAAAAAGAAACAATAACTTGTAGGACAGTTCAGCTCCAAGCACTTTGAGGATAGTTGCTAAATGTCACAGTCCTTCGACGGCAACGGTGCTAGCGCATTTGTTTGCTTTTTGCTTTGAGAGATCCTTTTTGGGGTGTTCCACAAAATGCTTACTATAAGTTGCTTCTGCAAAGTGTATGTGTCAAACAAAGGAAGAGTTGATGTCATTTTGGTCTCCGCCAAAAGGCCTATTAAGGAACATTAATAATGCCCGCCATAATTATGCCCTTAATTTATTTCGAGTAATTAGCTCTTTACTAAGTAAATTTATATGTAGGGTTTCAATTAGAAACTTTCTGGGCATCATCGAAACCCGCTAAATTAGCACTTTGTAAAACTATAAGGCAAAAAAAGAAAAGGGGGGGGGGGAGTTTGGTGGGTGTTTTTAAATATGCATAACAAAGGTAAACAATGCCATTCGAAGAAGTGAAGCATGTTACGCAACATTGTTACAAGAGACATCGGTAAAGAATGCGAAGCAGTAAAGAAGCTGATTTTAAAATACAATTTTTTTTTATCAAGTTAGAAATAAATTTTAAAATGGCAAATGTGTTTTTTTTTTCTTTGTTCTGTACACAACGCTCTTGGAAACACAAAAAAATTGAGTTACATGAACGAAAATTATGAGTTCTACTTCTTTTTCTCACAAGTTTAAAAAAAACTGGTTAGGAGAAACAAACTTTGGAAAGATTAGTTGTGGAGTCAAGACAAAACGAGCGCCACACTTGCCGCTTTTTCCAAAATTTTGGAAGTGGTCCAGGACAATCTCCTCCAGCTTAATCAGTTTCGGGTGGCCCACCACCGAAGATACCTGGTCCTCCTCTTTCCGATTAAATGAAGTCTGAAATGGGCAAACCATTCACCCCCCCATCACTCATCACTGCCTGGCTCGAGATGTGAATAATCGCAGACAGAAAAAAATAATTAAAATTTGTAGGACGCTTAGGCTTTGCCTTTAAGAGTGGAACGCAATAGTGTTATTGGGCCCTGTCTGCATCACCTTCTCATTCGCTTCTCATGCTCTTTCTGCCAGTGAGCAGAAAGTGCGGCGGAGATGGCCTAGTAAGTAGCCTGTCTGGCTCGCAACCAAACGGTCGTGGGTTTGAATCCCGCTTAAAATTCTTCAAATTTTTCTTCAAGACGAATGAATTACTTTATAAAGTGAAATCATCTTATACATGCGGCAACCTTTCATTCACATTACATGTCATGTTTTTTAATTACGTTCATTCCACGTGTGATGTCACGTTTCACGTGAGCGTTGCGGGTCGTTTGGAATTCCAGCGCGAGGTCATGTGGCTGCGACATCATGACCCTATCGACCAATCAAGATTTTCCCATCACAATGCCACTGACGCCGACGCCGGCTTTTCTACGACACGAGCTCCTTATTGCTATTGCACTAAAATTCGGACTATCAGGTAGAGAACGAAGACAAGAACGGAGTTGAACCATGTTCATACTGGTAATCGAGAAGATGTCGGAAAGAAGTTTAGATGCACCTTAAAGGCCGACCTGCCAAATAATTCCTGGTACAAAAATCCTCTTTGCCACCCTTCCCATTTCCCCCACTCCCAGTGGCATCTTGACTCAAAGGACTCCTTTTGTTGTTAACCAGGATGCTGGATAAACCAGGAGCTTATCCCAGCTTATTTAGCCCTAACCCAAAATGCAGCAACAAAAAGAGTCCCCCCCTACACCGTCAAGATTGCATAGCGAGAGGGGGAAATGAGAAGGGTGGCGAGAAGATTTCCGTACCTTGTGGAAAACCTTTTTGTTGGTCGGGCTTTAATTAAGGAAGGACACTACCCAAATGGGTCAATCTTGTACCTATAGCTTAATATGAATAAAATTTACAGTATATACTTGCAGTTACAAGGCAGAATGCACTGCAAAGTTTCATCTGTGTACATGAAATGTACAATAAATTATAGTTGTTTTTATGAGGAACACACTGACATTGTTTAGGAAACCTTTCGTTAGAAAACTAATCTAAAACCCAACGTTTTTCTCCACTAGTAGATACGCAGCAGAACACTTGGAGAGCGCAACCATAAAAACAAAAAGTTCCAAAAAGTAATCTATTTTATGGTAACATTGCGCTGAAAAATCAAATAAACATTTTGTGTTTTATGTAGTCGACAGAATCTTAACATATTTTATAAAAGACGTCCACAAAGTAAAAAAACAATGCCACAGTTGCACTGGCGATTAAATTCCAGTCAGGAAAAACAAAAAGTGAGCCAAGTTTTCCTCAGGTGAAATTTATGTCGAGAACTGGAACGTAGAAAATGCGTTGAAAGTGCTCGAACCTCTACCTTTCTTTAGCATCAGTGAACCGAAAATAATTTATAAAAAAATAACTATGCAGTGTAAACAAATAAAGCCTTCTGGGAATACTCTAGATGTTGATAGATGTAAATAAATCATGTAAAAAAAAATCACTTTTCTTGCAGAATTTTTTTTTTTGGGGGTAGATGTCCCCCTTTACTCCTACTCCGCTAATGCAATAAAAGGGGAATCAAATTACCAAGCGAGAGACCAACGGTCTGATTCCCACCGAGGGACAGTCTTTTGGAAAGACTACGAGCTGTGTTATTGTTTCTCTGTTATGACATTTTGTGATGCTAAAGGCTTGCAAGCCAACCACACTCTACATATAAATTTAAAGAAAGCAATGTTTTTGTTTAGTTTCTTCACCCCACATTGGCAAAAATTAAGACTGACACATCTGTAATCCTTTAAAAATTTGAATTAAACTTGCCAGTGTCACTTTCATCTCTGCGTTTTCTAATAAACTAAGAGTAATTTTCCATGAAAGCTTAGCAACGAATCGCAACTTTCATGATCAATTATCGGTTGTTAGATTATTATTTTTATCTGCACTGCAGCAAGCTCAAACCAATAACAAAACTTTCTCTTCTGAAAAAAAAAAAAAAGGAATAAAAACCTTGGTTTTGGAAAAGATTTCATTGCACCGTGCAAGACCATTTCAGCACATGCAGGTACTGAAGCACCTACAAAAAATGACGGAGACAGTCATGCAGATTCCTTTAACGCTGCTGGCTTCACAACCACTCCAAATGCCAGCGAGACAGTGGTATAAAAAAAGGTGCTAAGAAAAGCAACAAGCTTAATACTGAGAGAAGAGTAAAGGTACAGGCAAGTTGGTGAATCGCAGACAAAACTAAACCTCAGACACCGGAAGAAGGAAAAGGAGGACACGAAAAAGAGGATGACACACACGACGTCTTGAACACAGCCTTTCCCTTTGTTCGAGTTGCAGGTCGGCTTTTACACGGGAGCTCCGGCGTTTTTTTAGGTCCCAAAATACCTACAAACTGAACACTTTTTCGGAATACCCGGGCTTTACTCTTGCCGGCATGCTATTTACTACCTCTAAATTGAAAGCAGCTATTGAGAAAATGGAAAATTAATGCTATGCCTAACGAAACGTTTGAATTTTCCCGCACTTTCCCGTGGGGCGACGTCGCATGTCTAGCTCGCAAGTCGAGCGGGCAGGCTTAAAAATGGAGCGTTTTGCTCCTTTTTTTGTGACTGGCATGAACTTCTTTAGCGTTTATTTGACATCATTAAACTTCTTCTAACCCATAGTGAACGAGCTGCAGTAGAGCCTCTCAGCCTCCAAGACCAAATTTGAATACCCAACAAAACAAATTATGGCGACTCGTAACTCGGGTTACTAGTAATAGTTCACATCTGTCTATTAATGTGCAGAACCTACTTGAAGGCAAAGTAGTGACTACCGAACTTTCGCTAGAGCTCCCCTTTAACATGATGCTAATCTACCCAAACGGTGGGAGTCTAAAAGTGACGGGTACCAAGTTTGAAGCGTCGGAAGGGAAACAAGGAATCGGAACTCGGACTCACCTCAAAGAGGGAGCTGGTAGTCGAGGACGGGCGCAGGGTCTCGTTCGCCGCGTTGTTGGAGATGCCCAGTCTCTCCTTCAGGTCCGTGTAGAGTTCGTTGAAGCCAGGGTGGTGCATGAGTTCGTAGCGCACCCTTGGCTGACTTTTCTCTCCATCCACGATGCCTACGAGATAAAAAAAAGGGCAGGACACAAAGTATGATACTGTGCCCACTTCAAAGTTTCGGCGATACTTCGGTCGCACTGACAAAGTCGTTGTACGTAGAATATGTTTTTGCGTCAGTAAAGCTCGGTGCGATCGGTTATGTACCGGAACTCGTGCCGCATCTTCCAACAGGAATGCCGTTGACTGTCGCTAAAGTCGGAAGATGGTTTCTAGATCCTCGCATTCGTTTTCTTTTTTGTGGCAATCTTTTAGGGACAAAGCTCCTTAGGGTCTAGCCTTGTCCGTCCGGCGTCCGTGCTCACATCGATCTTGCTGGTGCTCGTGAGCTCACGTGCTCACGAGCACGTGCTCATGTAAAACAAAAAAAAAATGATGAAAAAAAAAATATTTGTGCAGTCGACAGGATTCGGACCTGTGCGGGGAGACCCCAATGGATTTATAGTCCATCGCCTTAACGACGCAGCCACGAATGCGAGACGAGTAGGGGGCTCTGAGATGTGGTAGTAACTCGAGAGCTGGCGATGTCATGAATGAAACGTTGCATGTAGCCGCTCAACGTCTATACAGGAGAGGGCGCTGCGGTCAAATGCGTATATAATTGCGTTAAACTTTGCATGCATTGGCTCAACAATTATAGGCGAGAGGGCGCTGCGGTCAAATGCTCAAATGCGTGTATAACCACGTTTCATACCACAAGTTCTCTTTCCAACATGGATGAAAACGAACGAAAGGCTCGGCATGCTGCAGCTCAGCGTCTACGCAGACAAGCACCACCAGAGGTTCGCCCCAATCAACATCATTCACCACGTGGAGACGCGGTCATTTATTTAGTTACGTCTTGTTGCGGCTCGCACGGCAATTGCCTGTTTTGCTGTAGGCCGCTCTGTAGGTTGCTGTAGGCTTGACGGCAGACGGAAGCTTTGACGGCTACTTGGGGTGCCGCGATAGACGGCAGCACACACGCCTACTCTTAACCTTTTGCAGGAACTTCCACGACCAACTGCCACAAGAAAAATCGTCTGAAAGAATGACCCACCAGTTCCAGCAATTTAATTTGTTGCCATTTTGGGGCCGAAAGCAAGAACAAAAACTAGGAGTTGAAAGCGTAGGGCCGCTCTGCCTGAGGTACGGCGACGCCGGTTTACGCCGTACCTCGGAATTTTAGTGGTGTAATATCACCGAGAGTTTAGGATCTTTACCTCGTGTCGCGCGGTGGCGGTTACGAGACCGTTCCCCGGTAAAACGCTCATCAAAACAGGCAAGGGTGGGCGGCTGCGTCTGGGGTCCCGGGGTTCCGTGGGGCGAGCTTTCGCTCCCCGTGCTGCAAGCCGCAAAGCGTTGATGCACTCAGCCACCGAACCCCCCCCCCAGTCCGGGACCGCTTTTGACGCACAGGCAGTGTAGAACGCTAACTAACCGCACCGGTCAAACAAGCGTTCCATGCACCGTACTGGAAGTGACGGCGACAAAGCTATGGTCGCTGTCCGACGTCGCGATCCTGGCAGTCGGTCGTAGAAATGCCAACGCAAAAAGCAAGCAGACGCGAGCGGTCGCCGTTGTCGCAGGGTCCCATTTCGTGTCCGGTTTCGTTTCCGTCGAGTGTCTGCCTACGGAGCAACCCACGGCAGAACGGGCGTCTGCCACATGCACCTCCGTTGCTGCGCCCCCGCCAAGACCGCGGCGGGCAACAAGGCAATACTTGCGCAACGTTAGACGGAAGTCGGGAAACCGCTTTTGAAAATGCAGTAAATACGCAGGTCGGAGACACGCGGCGGTCATCGCGGCGGAGTTCACCCTTGAGGAAGTGGAAGAAGGGGCGCAGCCCATGCGCCAGCAGCAGCTCGTAGGCGTGGTAGAGGCTGATGAGCAGCGAGAAGTCCCCCTGCAGCTGCCCGACCAGGCGGGGCGCCATGCCCTGGGGCGGGCTCTGCAGGAACGTCTCCTTTAGCTTCAGCAGCCGGAACTTGCCCAAAGACTCCGGGTTGAGCCGGGGGAGCGCCCCGTGCCGCTCCAGCCGTTCCAGGTACATGCACACCACCTGCCGAGAGAAAGCAGAAGTCTGAGCTTAAGGCATCATCTACGAGGTGGCCCTAGGGAACCGCATTTCATTAGAGCGAAGGTTTTGCAGCATTTCCGAGATCAAGTGCACACACTGTGTATGAAAAACGGCCGTTTATAACATTGCCAAAAACGTGCGCTTACTTGCAGGAACTTGCGCTTGACCTCGACGATCTCGTGTCCGAGCGGGACGACCACCTTGTCTATGGTCCTCCTCTGAGTGTACTTCTGGATGTCGATGGACTCCTCCGACCTCAGCTCCACGTGCGAGATCATCAAGTTTGAAAGAACCTGCCGCACGGCCTGCACAAGAAAAGCGCGCACAAGGTCGTGAGACTCCCCGACGAAACGTCGGTGGACGGCACGAGCAAGAGCCTCGATTGGGTACAACCCACGCTCGCAGCAGCTGGAGCATGCACCATACTCCGTCGCGTGTTTTAGTGCACAGCGCTCTCAAAACTACTGGCATAAACACATGGCTTCGTCTATAGTTTATAGCGGGGCGAGCCTCTCCCAGAAACCTCTCTGCTCATCACAAATGGTGGTTTCCCCCTCTCCAGCATTTGCCCTGCTAATCTGGAAAGAGTGGAGTGCTTTGTAAAAGGAGCCTGTCCTGCTTTTTAAACCTCGTAGCGCCTGATTTGCACGAGACCATGTCTGAATCAAACGCAAGATGAAGCCACGCACTTTTACAGGCACCTTTGACAGTGTTGTATGCCAAGTATGGAACGGGGCATAAGTCTCGGTGAATCGAGTAATGGTGAATAAAAACCTGAAGTCTGAACCTTCATTCCAGACTGCAATATGCACCTGAGGAACTTCGGAATGTCATTTTCGTCGCCGGGTTGCGTGTGCTGTGTATATGTGCGTATTACTCGCGTGCGTGCAAATAAAAACATTAAAAATAACCAGCTACACGAGGAAACTTCAAATTCCAAACTCAAAAAAACTCACATTGACGTCGGAACCAGGAGTGGCACTCAGAGCAACGACTCGGAACTGGTTGGTGTATTTCATAATTTCCTGGACCACCTGGTAATTCAAAACAGAGAAACACTGTCACAATGCCGTCGGACACGTTTGTCGCTTTCAGAAGATGGGGAAGATTTGTAAATCGCTGCTTTACTTCCGGCATGCCGTCTGCAGCCATGCTGGGTAACCTTTTCCGCCAGTTTCCCGATTTGCTCGCGTGAGACAGATTCTTCGTATCGTTTTTGGGTGTTGGCCAAACAATAACAAAGTCTATCGTGAAGAAAGAACGAACCATCCGGTTTCCACACAGGCATCTTTCGTTTCTCAGCAACCGTGGCAGACACAACGAGCAATCTCAGCCAATCCAGCACCATGGAAGCATCACAACATCACGAGTCCTATTTACCGCTGCACCCCTCCCAAAGGTCACGTAGCATCCACACGCCATTGGATTGGCTCCGATGGCTCATAGCGTCTGTGGCGGTTCATCATAAGGTGAAAGCACAGTGCTCTACTGTGTGTACGTCTTCTTTTACTCGTCCTCATTTCTTAGCACTTTTAATCCCGAAATGTACCACCTACTATCCCAAGTGAATACCCTTTTACGAGTACAGCCATTCACTCAGAGAGATAAAAATCGCCCAGATCAGACATTCCTTTAAAGGGACACTGACACCCTCCCCCAAAAAACTGTTTTGAATCTTTTGCCAGGCGATTCAATATGATGTCAGAAGGCTACCCAATCAATATTTTGCTACAGTCACATATTTTTAATAAAGTAAAAAACTGAAAATGCTCAAAACTGAAACATGAGCATGAAGTTAATGGTCACGACTTGTGGACTGGGGACGAGGGAGAAAAGTAGAGGAGAGAGTTGCCGGAAGTCACAAACTACCTACACCCAACCACATTTTTTTTTTTCTCGTTTCTTTGGTTGTGCGAAGAAGACAAAAAAAATGCAAACATCACAGACGAAGAGCTTGACGTTTGCGGATTTTTTTGCTCTCTTGCGCGTTTCTTAAGCTCTTACCAATTCGTGTTTGTAAGACAAGCTATGTCTTCAGCCAAGAGAAGGGGCGACAACTCGGCGACGTCTTTGCGCAAATGAGCTTGATGGTCGACCGTGTCGTATAGAATAAATCCTGATTGTTTTGATCGGTAAAACATTTCTCTTTCAAAGCTAGACAGATTCGCCTGTACCGCGAATGACTCTTCTGAAGCAGAGGTCTCATGTCCATCGTCTGCCGCCATCGCTTAGTCCGCTCGTCCAGCCGTCCAGCTTGCAACTCCAGAGATACAACGCCATGTTGAGAATTGTGCAGCACATGTACTTCCAGTACTTTGAGCAACTTATTTTTTAATCAACGTATTAGCAGCTTTTTAGAAGCCACAAAAAATGGGTTTTATATTTTTCTTTCTATTTTTAATATTGAGTGTGTGCCTTCAATGACCCATGACTTTGATTATATTCTCGTATGTGTGTCTGAACAGCGTGACCACAAAGAAGAGAGTGAGCGCGGCTCAAACGGTCAGTTCTCGATCGGCGGTTTTCAAAAGGAAAAAGCAGAATTTTGAGCCGCAAATTGTGTTTTGGGTAGCAGTATTTTCACATGTCATGTACAAATAAAAACTTTGGCAAGTACAAATACCCTGTCAGTGACTCCATAAATGCAACAAAGACGCAATAGCACTTAATGTTTTTTTTTTGTTTTTTTAATGAGCATGGGGCAAACGAGTTGCAAATGTATAAAGGACTCCTTTTCTTCATCGACACACCCCTTCTTCAAGGGCATTGCATGGTTTTCTCTGAGACGCCGCCGTGTGTACGACCTGACCGTGAATTGCCTCTGCACCTACTAGATTACTCTACTGCTAAGATGCAGTCCCTATCCTACCCTACTTTGCCAGCTTCGTTCATATGCAGCACAGGAAGGAAGGGAGAGAGAGGGGAAGTGTTAGCAGACTGCTTACCCCTCACCCTCCCCTCCCCACCCCGCTATGATGTCAAACCACCAGCTACGCCCCATTGACGACACTTTCTCCCAGAACCTCGCTACGGTGTAGCCAACACCAATACGAGTAAGAAAGGTCCCTGCAGAATTCCCATGCAAGGCCATCGCTTTAAAAGGGTACGCACCTGGCAGTAGGCGTAGTTTCCGAGCGCCTTGTGCGCTTCGTCAATCACGAGACACTTGACGTCCTGGGGCTTCAAAGCATTCCGCAGGAGGTCATTCATCATCACCTGAGGTGTGAGGAAGAAGACACGCTTCTCGCGCCACGCCGTGGCCCTCCGAGGGGCGGGAACGTTTCCTGCAACGTGATTGGTTCATTGGAAGGAGACTCGTTAAACGCTAGTCTGCACTCGGCAGCTCACAGTCGAATCGCCTTGCTCCTGCCAGACCATGAGGCACGCTTTAACTTGCTTCACATATGACGACGTGGAACGCTACACATGAGACATGGGTAGTATCTATGCTTCATTGGAGTGCGGCCAATGCTGCGCTCCAATGAAGGTTGATGGTCAACAAGACCCATCAAACAGCGTAAAGAACTGCAACATCATGGCATCTGTCATCTTTTTGTATGTGTTCCATCATTGGCTAGGCCAACCCAGTGCGGCGAATTCTCCGTTACTTACGATTTTAGTATGTGTTGTGGGAAACCTGGAGATTCAAAGCATTGGGCCAGGTTGCCCTTCCGACAATCGTCAGTGGTCATCTGCACCACGAGGGAGCCAAGGGCAACTGACCACGCGAGCGGCGCTTTGCCGTTGATAAAGGGCCGTCGCAGCGTATGAGGGGGGCTTTTGGAGATTGTGGCACGGGCGATAGCGGTCATTAAATGTTTATCTGTTGTTGAATCGGTGTGCTGTGTCATTCTCCGAGACGGGTAGCACCAAGGGAAATCCCACAGTGTTCAAGCCTTCAACTGCACTCAGACTTACGAAAAACGAAGTATGGCATATGTTATAAAACAGCTATGAAGTAGGTTTAGTTCCCAAGCAAGAAATGGGGATCTGGGATACTTGAGGAACTTTAGTGAGCATACCAAATCTTAGTTGTACAGCACCTACATCGCAAGAAAGCTTGTGTGGGATTGTAGGCAGCTTTAGCTATAATTTGAGCTTATGAAACAGGCATTCAAAGGTTCGCCCTTTTCTCAGAGCCACTGATCATGACACCTACTCGCTTTGGCTCGCAACGAAACTGTTTCTAAAAATATGCTTGCTTGACCAGTTACCTGGATTTCAGGATGCAACTGGAAGCCCATATGAACGTAAACATATGACCTAAGTGAACAAATACCTGTTTTCTTCTTTTTTTTTTAAAGCCATTACATTTGTAGTTAAGCACACACACAAAAAAAAAAAAAAAAATCTTGCCTTTTCTTTTTTTTTATAAGCGATGAAGGGTTGTGGGTGTTTATTAACACCTCCCTAGAAGAACACCCTGTCGCGTCCACATTTTTAGTCTGATTCGTTCTCTTTAGCGCGAACTTACCTGTCATTTCGAGGGTGTCTTCCAAGGGGATGCCCATGATCTTGTAGCACGCCTCTATCTGCTGAGCAACCAGCGGTTTCGTGGGCGCGGTGAAGACAATCTTGCCCGTCGGGTACCACCGGTAGAAGTTGTACATGACCACGGCGGCGATGAAGGTCTTTCCCAGGCCCGTGGGCAGGATCACCATAGTGTTCTTGAAGAGACACGACTGCACGATGTTGAACTGGTAGTCGCGCACGGGATAGTTGGTTGGGTAAATCCACGTCTGCCCGGCCACAACGTCGAAGCCGGGAAGATCTTCCGACGCTTTCTGAGGCGGAGGCGCGGGCGGGGGCATCGCGGACGCCAAAGTTTGGTCCATAGCTTGGACGAGAAACTCGTCATCGTCGTCGCTGAGGACCACGACGTCTTCGCCGGAGGTGTCGGGTGGCTTGACTTTGTGCCTGGGCGCCGTGCCCGAAGTCGACGGCTTGGGGTTCCACGCTCGGAACAGTGTCGCTTGTTTCATGGCGCCGACTCACATTCGGGGTGGCAGCTTAAACGCCGCATATGGAAAACAATAGCATGGCGGCATGGCCAGCATGGCAGCAAATGAACACAAATGCATAGATGTATGGGGCGAAATATGCTATCAAGGCCGTGTCACAGCATGCTCCAGTCAATTTTGATGCTTTCGTACACAGAGATCATTCGTACCGCCAAACGGAAACCGCCATTTTTTTTATTTTTTTTGCTCGGGATGAATGATGTTGATGACGGTTGAGTTGGAAGTAAGCTACAGAGTTCTGGCTGCTGTTCGAAGATACCCATTTTTAAAAAAAAAACTGGTTCTAATTTTAATAGAACCATGAAATAGCAATTAACTATAATTTAGACATTTGTTGTCCGGTAGTGATTAAATCACATGCATGTTGCAACAGTACGACAACGACGACAACGGACCGGGTGGCCGACGGACCACTATTTCCGCACCACAGCGCCACCCTTATTTCTCGTTACTTTTGTTTTTAAAGCTACTGACAACGTAGCGTTAGGTTTCGTACAATGTACGCATTTGCGGATGCGTTCCCGAATCCAAGAGCCCAGAAACCCAAGTGTAGGAGTGTAAAAATCTTTTATTGACGATTCACGGGCGAAGCAAAACACATACAACAGCTCAAAACCGTACTGCACCGAATGAAACAGTTTGTTTGGTGGCCGCCATCTTGAGATGTGCACAATGCTATGAAGTCACGCAGGGAAACACGACAACACTGGACCACTGGACGATGAAGGTGTGCAATACAACATGAGTGGCGCTTAGAAGGGCCGTTTTTTTTCTCGTAGGGGTGTTCTGGGAGGGAGTGTTGTGTGCCAGGCCCGAAGACTGCTAGCCGCCGAACCCGTACAGGGTACGTCCTTGTCTCTTCAGCGCGTAGACGACGTCCATGGCGGTGACCGTTTTTCTCTTGGCGTGTTCCGTGTAGGTGACGGCGTCGCGGATCACGTTCTCCAGGAAGACTTTGAGCACGCCTCGGGTCTCCTCGTAGATCAGACCCGAGATACGCTTGACGCCACCACGGCGAGCCAGACGACGAATGGCGGGCTTTGTGATCCCCTGGATGTTGTCTCGGAGCACCTTGCGATGACGCTTGGCGCCTCCTTTTCCGAGCCCCTTGCCACCTTTGCCACGGCCAGACATCTTTCAAATCAACCGGCAAAGTCTATAAAAATTCAACGTACGGAGCCCACGGCGACAGAACCAGCAATGACGCAACGCCGCAATGGCGGTTCTTTATATAACCGCGTTTCGGACGTGCGGGAGACGGCGCTTTTGATTGGTTAGTCGCAAAATGCGACAAGGATGTACAAGAAACATGTCGGTGCATAATATTTGTGTACCGTAATTTTCGCGTAATAAGCCGCGCCTCTGTTTTGACAGCGAGCGCTGCGTGTATGGCTTTCCTTGTACGTTTCTTGTATGCTTCTTGTATGCTTTCTGGTATCGTTTTGTTTCCGTGCGGTAGCGGTCGCGTTGCTTGGTAACAGTCTTTTTGGTGTTACGATTTATAATCTCTGCTGTATTTCAGCGTGCGATGGGATCGGATAAATTCAAACCACCCGGAAGCCAGCGTTGGAAATAACGTGTTTCAACTAACGTCAATGTTTTCGAGTCGTTAGTTTCTCGTTAGACCCGTTCTAAAGAGCAGCGTATTTTCGCTGGTCTTTTACGGGATTTTCAACCAATGGAGTTACCTGGCCGTCGCGTTGTACTGAAATTACCGCATTGTCGCTCAAAACAACTGATTCTCATGTTGTATGTAACGTCGCTATACAAGCAATCTCGTGGTTGTTGTAAGCGTTGGAGTGAAATTATGGGGGGGAAATAGTCGATATTGTACGCGCGCTAGGCGCATGTGTCACTATTGTCGTGGCCGGTGGCGCGTTTTGACATGCTTGCCGGAATCACAAATGGCGAGAGTGGCGCGTGTATTTTCGTCGCGCTCAGAATCGATGAAATATGTTACCCGTTCCTCGGCCTGGCCATTACCTTATATCTGAAATAAATGAAATTCTTCCAGATGTGTGGAACAGTAAACGCCACTTCAATATAGTGCAATTGGGAACTGTGCAGTATACTTTTGAGAGTTGTAATATCCCTTCGCCTAAGCCCGGAGCAGGAGGGTGCAAGATATGCCCAGCAGGGCAAACCATCGTTGCATGAGTCAAAACGAGCTGTTAGGCTAGTTGGTTTTGCATATGTACAATGTAACGCAAAGACAACACAGGAAGACAGGTCTCCTTCCTGTAGAACTTGTAGCTGCGCTAGTTAGTGAACGTTTCTGTTTTCACTCTTGTGTCCGTTGTTTTTTGCGCCTCACCATGATTTCCAAAGGTCTCCTTCGTGTGTTGCCTTTGCGCTGCACTGTAAACATCGTTGCATGAGGTCGATTTGAGCTCTTCGCCCCCACCTAAAGCGTGCTTGTCGAAGCCTTTCCGATCTAAGTAGCACGACCGTGTTTGAACGGGGCTCTATAGAAACGCTATAGAAATGCAGTTTCGCCTTATACTTGTCAGAGGCTTTCGGAACAGCATACCGCAGTGTCGTATTTCAATCGAAACGAGCTCATGGCGTGACTTAAGATCCAGTACCGCAGTCATCGAATCAAAAGTGGAACTCTCCGAATGGCGAAGGACCACAAAGATTACGCAAAAATAAGGAAAGAGGAACGTTTATTATGCCACGTAAGCACAGGTCGCGATACCGTACATATAAAACGGTGGGTGATACATATTTACAAGGCAAACACCACGAACCGAAAAAGAGGGAATTATGAGACAGCAATGTTCCATACTATGTACACAAAGGTGACAATAAAATTGAGACTATGCCGGCCAGCTTGGGGGTGGAACCGCAGGCGACAGGAGTTCTCGGGATTCGGAGGCGACGATTCTGAAGCAGCCTTTCTTCTGTTGCTTCGTTTACGACTTCTTTTCGGTCTTTTTGGGCAGCAACACAGCCTGGATGTTGGGCAGGACGCCACCTTGCGCGATGGTGACGCCGGACAGCAGCTTGTTGAGTTCCTCGTCGTTGCGAATGGCCAACTGCAGGTGTCTCGGAATGATACGAGTCTTCTTGTTGTCCCTGGCAGCGTTCCCTGCCAGCTCGAGCACTTCGGCGGCAAGGTACTCGAGCACGGCGGCCAGGTAGACGGGAGCGCCCGCGCCGACACGCTCGGCGTAGTTGCCCTTGCGCAGGAGTCTGTGAATTCGGCCCACTGGAAACTGCAGTCCAGCTCGGCTTGACCGGGTCTTGCTCTTTCCCTTCACTTTGCCTCCCTTGCCACGTCCGGACATGTTGCTTCGGGAATGGGAGTAGTCAGCGAACTCACGAAGTCGTTCACAATTTCACGAGCAGACCGGACGGTGGTTACGGCAAGACCGTCTGCCAACGCAGCAAGGGGAAAACAAGAGCAGAAGGTAGGCGTGGAATTTAAAATGGGAATTAGAGGATTCTGATAGCACAGTGGCCCAAAAATGGACCAATGGCGAAACTTAAAGTCGTCTGATTGGTTAAATTTAGTCCAATGAGCATGCAGAATGCTAGTATCTAGAATTGTTATTTTGAATGGTGGTAGAATAAAACTAAGCGGTTCTACTTCGATTTTTCCTGGTGGAGGGTGTAAGAACCAGTCTAAATAAAATATTTTTGGTTTATAAAGGCTATAATTTTATTTTATTAACTTTGATTACACTATTTTGCATCATAAATTTGGTCGTACGTTGTTTTTTAATAACATTACTTTCGTCATTTGGTTTTTAATGTCTTATTGCAATATCTGTCCGCTAGGTGTTGCACCGAAATACGTAATTGAGGACGGCATTACCATTTGAAACCACGCTTTTGCAGAACCCGTCACTTGCTATAAAAAAGGGCCAGTTCCGCGCGTTGACGTGTTTCCCTGTCGTTCTAACCGGCAGGGCTGAGTGAAGACAGCTGAAAAAATGCCACCCCAGCCGAGCGGAAAAGCCATCAAGAAGGCCGGCAAGGCCCAAAAAGCCGTCCGCACGTCCGACAAGAAGAAGAAAAAGCGCAGGAGGAAGGAAAGCTTCAGTATTTACATCTATAAGGTCCTGAAGCAAGTGCATCCGGACACCGGCGTCTCCAGCAAAGCCATGTCCATCATGAACAGCTTTGTCAACGACATCTTCGAGAGGATCGCAGCCGAGGCGTCGCGCCTGGCGCACTACAACAAGCGTTCCACCATCACCAGCCGGGAGGTCCAGACCGCTGTTCGTCTGCTGCTGCCAGGTGAACTTGCCAAGCACGCAGTCTCCGAGGGGACCAAGGCGGTCACGAAGTACACCTCTTCAAAGTGATCTGCTGTGGAACTTTTTTTTTTTTTTTTCCTCTTCTCATTGCTAGTTTTGCCCTGCGTCTGTCATCATGCACTGTCTTTTTAAAATTCCATTTGTCGTGCTCTGTCGGACGTGCTTGCCGCTTCCCCGGCAACAATCTGTGTCCACTCCTGGGAGAACATTCCGCTGTTTCAAGAACCAAAGGATGAAGAAAAGAAAGTCATTAGCTTTGTGACCTACCATCGTCATGTATCTTGTATGTGCTGTCTACACGTTCCCAGGTTTCAAATAAAGTGATTTGGTTCTTGCAATTCTTTGCTGCTTGTCTCAGTGCTATCGCATCGTTGCACACCCTTCTTTACTTACCGTGGCGAAAGAGTAGGCTCCCATGCATTCAGTACACAACGAGCATGTTGGTAAGGGTTGGAGAAGGTAGCCCAGAGAAGGGGTGTCCGTCCTCTTGGTTACTCTCCCCCTCGCGACCGGAGTAAAAAAGGTGACAATAATCGCTCCACGATGCCCGGAAGTGCGTGGGAGCCAGCACCGCGTTGCATTCGACATTCGACCTCTGAGTAATATCTTATTTTATGGTTTATGTAGATAAATATACAGGAGGGAAACAAGCACCATAAGGAGTACTGCCGCTACCTCTTATGCCGGATATTTAATTCTTGCCGTGGAAAGGCCTCAGGCGACAAGGGCAAGGTAGTTCACGTCTGTCTGTCGGTCTTCTACGCGACGTGCGTGCTTATGCAGCCAGAAAAATACTCGTAGTTACGAGCTTGTCTTTCCAACCTTACTCTGTTACGTCTGTCGCCAGGGTAATTGGCGTTTACGTCGATTTCCGATAATCATGTGCGTCGTAGAGGCAGCGTTGCATCTATTGTTTGCCGCTTTGGCATGACACAAACAAGATGTTTGTAAGCATACAAGCAGAACCATTTCCCTAATATCTGTAGTATAATTTCTGCTGTTCCCAAGATTCAGTGCACGTTTTTTTTTTTCGTTTTTCTTTTTATTTATTTTATTATTGTTGAGCCGACACAAAGCAGCAAACGTTCCAACTTGCTCGCTGGGCCAACGTTGGCTGGGTTTGCTTGAAAAGCGACGGTCGAACCGTTTGAACTAGTTGAAGGTTGAGCAGCAGCACCACAAGTGTTCGTTGATTTTAACGATATTAAAGCAGAATAACGAGGATTAAAACAAGTTTCCCCATGCATTTATTATCATACGAAAAAACCGCAGAGCAACGACGGTCTCCCTCCGCCAGGTGGCCAAGGTGTCCAAGACGGCCAAACATGGCGGCGCCCAGGTACCATGTGCTTGTCGGCGCTGAAACTGGGCTTTTAAAAGGTACTATCGCTTTTTCTCCTTTAAGTCAATGTTACAGGTGTCGTGAACCTCAGTTAAAAGAAACGTTCCATCATACGTTACTGTTCGTGTTGTTATTCTGGTTCTGTTTTGGACTTTTGGTGAAACCTTCCCAGTGAAACGTCCATCTGACTCGGGAGGATGTGCAACTCTGCCGACTTCTTGTTACAGGTGTCAACACAGAAAAGAGAACGTTTTCCAATCTGAACAGTGTCCAGGAAGTCAGCAAGGAATCGGAGATCACATGTCTACGTTGGAAGGACGAATCAGAGTGCGAAGTAAGATCTCGGCTCCATGCCTGTGGTCGTAATGTCAAAACTTTTCGCAACGTTACGACAATGTCGATGTCGAAGCATACCATGTTTACCAGTCATTTACATCATGGTTTGAAGTGGCGTTCACCCATCTGTCATACAGGTGGATTGGTCGTTTCGTGTGTACCTTTCACTGCGATACTTCTACTTTCCGATTTCACGAGAGCTCCAAGTAGCGGAAAGTAGCAGATGACAACCATTAGTTAGATGTAACCATCAAATGACACCAAAATGCAAGCCATGTTTAACGATAGTGCAAGCAAGCATCTACCTTTTTCAGAGTTTGGCCACGATCGTGGCGTATTGAACAGTATTGAAGGCTCGGGTACCGTCACTCCGTAGTCAGCGCCAGGCCAGTCATCGCTTCGCGTGCATCTTTACTTCGAAATGGCTGAGGACGACCCTCGAGGATTAACGAAAGCTACTGTCTACAATACAGACGACCTTGTTCGTTTTTATAACTTCAAAGATGGATAGACCGCCGACACCACATCGGTTCCAACCGTCGACTCAAAGTCACTTAATCGTCACTTCGGCGTGGCACCGTGCGAGCAACTGAAAAAGGGTTCAGCTTTCAAATCGGAGTTAAGGAAAGTGATGATGACGAGTTTCGATACCAACTCAATTATTCACCTCATGCGGAGCTTGGGAGCTCCATTTATGAAATCCGGCCACTACATACAGCTGATTTCGCACTCATTGAGCGCCTAACTTATTCAAGCTTATTGCCGTTCCGTCACTTCGCCGTCCTTTGTACCGCGCAAGCTTAGGGGGCATCGCTGTACCCGGGAACGGGTAAACAAATCCTCACGGGGTGAAATCCGGGTAGTATCGATATCGCAAATGCTCGCTTGAACCGTCAAAAAGAACAATCTCGCTTCGAATTCAGCACGTTTACGAACCTCCAACGAAGTGGGCCCTGCAAACAGGGGAGTTCGCGGTTGGTTGCCGAGGCGTTTCGTCAGGTTTTAGTTTCCTTAGGGCACGTACGCTTTAAATGTTTCGCCAATGACATTTTTTTTTTTTTTAATTTAATGTGGTTTGTTGCGGGTGTGTTCCAACGCCTGAAGAACGGAAAGCTTTATCAATTTATTCTTTACTCGAGTATCGGGTACGTTATGTTTACATTGCACAACCAATCGTGAACATTTACTGTATTTTAGTTAAAAGCAGAGCGCCCCGCCGCCGCATTGAGGACTTGGCCACCTGACACAGGATTCGCATCATAGGCTTCTGAAAATGGGGGGGCTTTTGAAAGCGAGGCAGAAAGGGAAGTGTGTTGGACATCAGATGCTTTCGTGCACCACCCGCAAAAGGCTGCTGGAACTCTATAAAATGTTACATTTCAATCAGTAGCAGATCCAAGGGTGGCTGCCCCCCCAAACAAAGTCGACCCCTCCCCCTCCCCCCTTCGTGGAGGGCTATTTGATATGGGTGGACCCCCCGATGCACACGAAAGAATGGGAGAATAGTATACTTACAAATTTTCTGCCCCCCCCCCCCCCCCCCCCTCCCAAAACAGAGCTCTGGATCCGCCCCTGATTTCAATAATTTTTGGTGCTATTTGTGCAACTAAACAGCTGTGCAGTGGTGAGGCATGACGACTATGAACCCAAGCCACGAGAATAGCGTAGGAAGTGAAGCCGAACCAGCGCTGTTTGAACGACTGAGCAGACGAGAGAGCCACCAAAAATGGCGCCTTTCCCTTTCCTCTCTCTCAGAGTTGGTGCATGCGCCCAGCGATCTCCGAAAAATGTCAATTGCAGTTTGTGTTACATCATTTTACCTTACAATGAACCGTAGAGGGCACCATGGGTCATTGACGCCAGTCCACTGCCGTGCGAGTTTCACGTGACCTCCACGAAAGGCGCAGTGATACATCTACAGCACTGGTTTGGCTGGGACGACTCGTAGCGTCCGCCGCTGTCCATCGTTGGGCGAAACGAAGTATGGCATGCAGGAGTGTTTGCTTAATGTTTCTCTTCTCGTACGTCCCAGGTGTATGCCGGACTGAGGTCTCAGGTTGTCAAGACCTACTGCCCCAACAGTGGAGTTTGCAAGGACACTCTCGATGTCAAGGGAGGAACGGGCCCGATAAAAGGATTGGGTGTCGTAAATTCGTAAGTATATTAGTTGTGCCACTTATTCACATACTACAGTCCAATACTACAGCAAAGGGGGGGGGGGGGGGCCAAGCTGCGGCTTTTCGCGTGTTAAAGTGCGGCTCGCAGCTCCCTCCACTCCTCTGCCTCCCTCCCGGTCACATGAGCACTTCCCCAAAAAGAGAAATGGAACGCGTTTTAAATCAAAAGGCAGGTTGTGGTTTGGTAGTCTTTTGCTACTGCTACCTTACGTACAGTTGGACTGCTTTTGACTCGGATAGAGTGAAAGTAGTTTGAGTTTCGTTTATTGCTCTAAACAAAAGTTTGTCTCCCCCCCCCCCCTTGCGGCTCTTGGAAGCTTTGTGGTTTTGTTTGCGGCATTTAGGCCAGGTCAGCCTTGCCACCCCTGAACTACAGTCACCGAAGTGTTGTCGAAAGTAGGAAGCTCATGCTGGAGGTGGGGCAATCGAAGCTCCTCCTTGCTATTCTCAGCTTGTCGGCGACTGTAGTTACCTTTAATTTATACAGTTTAGCTCTACGTACGTTTTGTCCTATTGTTGTTGTTTTTCCGCAGGAACCTCTTGACGTGCGTCAGCTCGGGGCTGCTGAAAGTTTGGGCGAAAGACGAAGGAAGCCGAGTAAGTTTGTGCTTGATTTTCCTGACGCACAGCACTGGGTGTCTTAGATTTGGAGGGAAAGGGTATAAATTTTTCTAGGCTAGGTGGCGGAAGCCATTGCCCAATATGAGGCCTGTACCATCCATCGATCCATCCATTCATCCAAGCTAAAAAGGAAAAAAAAAATGTTCTGTCTACAAATGTAACTTTGTCTCGAATTTGTGACTTTCATTCATTGCGACACTCGTTTAACATTGTTACGAATGCCGGTGGTAGTAGCGGGGGCCGCAGGGAGGGGTTCAAACGTCTGCTGTATTACAGGGTGTGGGCTCGGGATGCGGGGGACAGACACGAGCACTGGGGCGAACATGATGATAAACCCATTTAATACCAAAATATTTGTTATGATAACAATATAAGATTTATAGATCACCAGAACAACAGCCCTTGCCCAAGCTCCGAGAGTCCCGTCGTAGTCCCGTCGTCCTTCTCTTCTGCTAACCCCTGACCACCTAGCGCCGTTCACGTGCGGCTGTCGCCCTGTCCACTGGACACCCGTAGTCCCCACTGTCGCAGTCCTCCGCACAGAAAACACAATACACACACCAGAAAATAACACAAGGACTTAAACAAATGCCAGATACTAAGGGATGTACTAGTACGGAGGTTTTACAACTAGAGGGCCAGATGCAAAAGTACAAACAGGGGGAGGGGGAGAGACAGTATCGCACAGTGGGGCAGTTTAGCACAACTGGGCTTGCGAGGTGGACCTTACCTGGTCCACCTCGCACCTGGAGCACCGCACCTCGTCGTAGTGCGATGCTCCAGGTGCGGCAAAGGGTGTTAGAGGACGTTGCACTGGGGCAGTCGGGCAGGGGAAGGACTCGCCGGGCTGGCGCACAGAGGTTAGCCACTCGGTGACCAGACTGAGTCCTCCCTGCTGCAGGGGTGCCTGCGTGGTGATGTTCGGAGCTGAATGGTCTTGCGGCTGTTTGCCGCTAGTTCTCCGAGTCGACTCCTGGCGACGGCACATTGCTGTAGAGCCGTACGGCAGAGGAAGAACTTGCAGGGCTGACGCACAGAGATGAACCACTCGGTGCCCAGACTGAGTTTTTCTCGGTGCCGCTGCAGGTTTGCTCTGCGCTCTAGGCAGGTTTGATGCCAAATGTACAATGTGAACCAAACATCCTTTTGAACAGATACCTTACCAATGGATGACAAGCAGGCCTCTTCCTTTTTCCTTCAATATTCTTTGTGTGCGATGTATTTCACTTAAAATGTGCTAATAACATTGTTATTTTCGACCCAGAAATTTGACGTGGAATATGCCCTCATTACAGGTGGAGGCTTCAGTGGGCAGCGACGTATTCCGCATGAGGCAGCACCCTCAAAAGCAAGGCTTGGTTGCGACGGGGGGCAAGGAGAATGACCTGAAGCTCTGGGACCTCGAAAGCATGCAGAAGCCAGTTTTTCAAGCCAAAAATGTGCGTACCGCGCAAGGCGTTTGACACATTTCTTTGTCATGTCAGATTAGGAGTGCTGGGAGGAAGTACATCGACAATGTTAGCCATCCCCAGCACTTCTGGTTGGGCCTGACATCGTGCCGTCAACTTTCGTAGTTGCTGCACTGGGTTATTTATTTCAATACCATCAAGGCCCGGAGGCATCACTGGGGGGAGGGGCAAAAATGACAACAAAATATAGGATATAATAAAGTACAAAAATGCAGTAAGACATGGGTGCTGAAGGATTTCAACAAAAATGATTGGTTATTCTAAACAAATCAACTGATGATATAGACACTAAAGACGCGGGAAGGCGGTTCCATTCGGATGACGTTTTGGGAACAAAAAGGTCAAGGTGGGCATTGATGCGACAGTGACGAATTCCCACTTTGAATTGATGGTCAGTGCAAAAATAAATATATGGAGGGGTAGGAAGAAGGCAATCTTTTAGAGTAGGTTTAGAGTAATAAATTTTATGAAAAATACTACAATAAGGAGATATTTTGCGACACAACAAAAGAAGGGGAAGAGATAGGTTAGCTTTCATGGACGCCACACTGACTATACAATGATAGTTAGATAGTTAAAAAAAGTAAAATGCACACCGTGATTTTTGGACAGCCTTGAGGTTAGGCACAGGCATAAAGAGACCGGGATCTCAGGTGGATGAGGCGTATTCCAATGTAGAACATACCAGGGTTTTAAGTGCAAGTAGTTTTAATGATACGGGCTAATGTAAAATTTAGTTTTAAGTAACCGAGCATAGAGCTGGGCATTAGCAATTAGCAAGTGGTCCGTGTGAGTTTGCCATGACATGGTGAAAGGGAATGTGGACACCGATATATTTGTAGGATGTAACAAACTGAAGGGAAAGGTACCGAGATAGCTTGACAGTGGCGATGTGTTACGTCAAGATACCCGCATAGTTTTACATTTGTTAGTGTTAAAAGTCATGCAGCATCATTCCATAACTGAGTTTAAATTGGTTTGAAGAAGAAGAGAATCAGATTCGATCTGGGACAAAACCTTTTGGTCCCCGATGGTGGGAATGCAGGTTGTCGCGGAACCATTAGCGGTGGCCTTCAAAAAGTCTTTATTATTTTATTTTGATGATTACAGAGGCACTTATTAGTGCATCCAGATGAAAAATAGATGTATGAAGCACATCTAGCCTTATCAGCTCAAAGTTAGTACGGATGATAACACAATTTTGGGGGTTTTGAGATTAGAACCGTTTGGGTTTGCCTTCTAACTTTCTGCCTGGCCACTTTCCTAGGTACCTCCATAAAAAATATACCTGCATTGAGGTATGCACTAAACTGATGGACAGATGCCAGCTGGTGTGCAAATGAGGGCAGAGAAAAAGAGCAGCACTGTGAAAACAAAGGAAAGAACTGTCACTCACGTTCTGTCTCTACAAAGTGATTACCGTAAAATCCCGAGAGGTGCCCCACTCCCGAAAGGTGGCCCACCCCTACGTTTTGCTTGATTTTATATATTCTTTTAAACACCGAAAGATAGCCCACTTCTAGTAATAGTAGTGCTGGGATCCATGATGGCCTCGGCGCGTAAATGCGGCTAGTTAGCTCCGGCGGGATATACCCAATCATTGATGACTGGGAAGCAGTCATCTTTACTTCGTTTTTCTTGCCACGATAACAAGCTTGGAAGGGAAGCATGACCTAAAAATATAATGGTTTCAACTTTTCTTGATTGTACAGTGAAAGTTAGCCCACCACATATTTTCACCCGATGTTTTCTTGATTTTAGGTGGGCTATCTCTCGGGATTTTATTGTAGTGAAAAGAAAACTCACTGGTTTAGGAGCATTGATTCGTCCAAATGGTGCTCGTTATTCAAAGTCTTAGTGCTAGACAACTATCTTATGCAGGACGTCTAGTGACCGGGAAAACCGGGAATTGTCGGGGAAATTTTAATTACCGGGAAAAATCAGGGAATTTTCAGGGATATTGTCAAAAAGCGAGCCCAGTCAGGGAAAATGAGCTGGAAACGCCATTGAGTGACCTGAGCAAAGACTGGGGGAAGAAATATAGGCAATAAATTCTGCTAAGAGCGAAGCGTGGGCTCTGCTCACTTGATGTAGAGTGTGCTACCTGATGCAAAGAAAACAACCGACAAATCTGGTCCAAGCCTTGTATTGTATTGTATTGAGAGCGCGACACTAGGCTAGATCTAGTTAGAGCTACTAGATTTAGTAACAAATGGGAAAGCCACAGGCTCCAATCCAATCCAAGCACGAAGTCGAAAGTATCCGAAAGTGCATCTGGCGGCCATGTTGCCATTTCGTTATTCGCGACTCACACTAACTATAGGTGGCGCTACTAAATTTCCAAAATGGCGGTTATAGTGAGGGTCGGAGGTGCGTGCTGCTGTTGAACCCAGTTGAACCTGTCTAGTGTGCTGGCTTCACTGAGCGACACAAATTCTTTCTGGTAGTACAAGGAAGCGAGGGTGTTATAAGTGCATGTCACCTCTTTATCCTGAAAACAAAAACGGTGTTTAGCGTAATATTTATGCAAGGATGGGCGCTTTATTTGTGAAGCGAAACCGAAACTAATTTCTATTTTGGATTTAATTTCTCGGTATAGGTCTTAATTTCGGATTCTTTCGTAACTCAAGATGTGTCTCACATCGTCATTATTTAGTTAGAAAAGTTGTCCGCAGAAACTTTATTTTGTGACATACATGTTTGATCCAGGCTGATATCTGTAGTTGTTGAAAAAATCAGTGCTGATATTTGTGCGTTCTTGCTGCCTTTTCATGGATTTTTGGTATTAAATGATTAATTGGTTTAACATTATTCCCAGCACAAGAATAAGAGAATAATTCCAATTTTTACATTATGTCCACAAAACTTATAAAATAATAAAAGCTGTTCTCACTGCAACAACTCGAAGATGGAATCCGAGTGAGACAGCTGAAGTGTGTGCGTGTGTGTTTTATAGGCAACGCGTGACGCATAGGACTTTATATTACATGCAGTGTTTGACTATTTGTCTATCTTGATAACAATGTCCGAGTTTTTCATTTGCTAAAAAGAAAACAAAATTATACCTTTCTGGAAAGACTATTATGATTAAATGGCATATTTTCGTGATCTTGGCCTTAATTGGGGGCATACATTGCCGTGATTTATATTTATAATAATAATAATAATATTAAAATTAAAATATTTTAATACATAATGTTTTAAGCTGTAATATAATTTGTTGCTTATGATCTAATTTCAAATGCGCGAACAAATATGACAATCAAAAGTGTGCTATTTATCACCACTGGTGTCAATTGCAGCATTTTGAATTACCAAGTAACAAAATAAAAATAGTCTAAAATCAATGAAAACATTCTAGCTAATGTGAGAAATCCATGTAAAATTTCAATAATTGCGGGTAAAGTATATTTGGCTATCAAAGTCGCGACTTTTGACAATCGGCAAAACATCCAAAGTCGCCGCCAATATCCTTCACGACCAAGTGCCCATAAGAAAAAAAAAAAAAAAAAAAAAAATTTTCTTAATTATTAATTTTTTCATAAGCCTTACTTTCATTTTTATGCTCCGTTGTTTGGCCAATCTCAGCCTTTCCAGTTTGAAGGGACGCCTACCTGCTTGCACGTCTGCTCACTGCAGCACGTTTTGTTGGCGTTGGAAGCAGGTGAAGCAGTAGTGAGTTTTAGTATTGCATATACGAGGGAACGCAAGCGCTGTGTGCTGGCGTTAGCTTTGCGTGTTCCACTGTGCGTTCGCGGAGCCCAAAATTGCGGTCTTGGATGGCTCATGGCGGTGAGGCGCACACACAATGTGGGGGCGCAACTCTATTCCAAATGCACACCGCTGGCGTTTGCTTCTACGCGCATTCTATGCGCAATACTAAAACTCTCCAGTGAGGTACAATCCCGTACCGGCTGCAGCACTACGTTAGGACCGTGAATAGTGTTGTTTGCATTCGGAAATGACATTTTGCAAGCCATAATCGCGAGCAGTTCCGCCGTGCCCGCTGAGCAGGAGAATCGGGGGACCCTCACTAGAGCGCTTCCCGTTTCTGCCGCGGGAGGGCGATCGTCGAGCTGGAGATGCGAATTGACGTGTGTGGTTCAGCGTCGTGTTTTCATCGTGTTTCCTCTTCTGTGGCGATTAAGGCGGCAAGAAAGTGCTCGTTTAATCTGGTGTGGACGAACCCGAATATTTCGGAATATGCAAGTTAGATTAGGCCCGTGCAAAATGGTCCTCACTGTGCTCAATGCCTTGTGTTGTAATGGTCTTATATATTTAACAGCCTCTAGAGTGGTCAGGGAATTTCACCTGAAATTGTCAGGGAAAAACCTGGAAAAGTCGGGGAATTTCAAAAGAATAATTTGCTAGACGCCATGTTATGTTGCGAGAAAGTGCTCATAGCTCGGAAATCAAAGTTTGTAGATGAAGAAAAAAGAACACGGGGAAAGGTTTAGGTCCTGGCTGACTTCTTCATAAATCGAGGACATCTATAAAACAGAAGTTCATAGAATTAAGTTCATCTGTAGATCAGCTTCCACATGTTTGTGGCTGAAGTGAATCAAAGTGAACCGTTTGAATAACCGGGAGGTTCACTTTCTCCCTTAAGACATCCCGTGTTCTTTTATCGTAAAGCTTCGAGGGTGTCTGCCAGACCTTCAACCAGTGTAGAATGCAAATCCTTACTCGTTTACAGGTCAGAAACGACTTTCTGGACCTGCGAGTTCCGGTATGGGTGACAGACATGCAGTTCTTGAGCGATTCTGACAAGGTTGTCGCCATCACGGGCCATCATCAGGTGGGTCAGCTCAGCGCGGCATCTTAGTTCTTTGCAGCAGTGGCGGGTCAAAAGCATGTGCGAATACAAATGTGACCGGCGGATGGCTTGCAGGTTCGAGTCTACGACCCCGGCTCCCGCCAGCGAAGACCAGTGGTAGAGTTTGAGTTTGACGAGTATCCACTGACATGCATCTCCCTCACTTCAAAGCCAGAGTGAGTATTTTGATTTAATTTTGACTTATTTTAAACATACTGCCAGCCGCGAGGCCAGAACAGGTAGGCGTGTGACCCCACTGTCTGTGGCCGCAGCAATGTACAACAATGTGCAACAAGGTTGAGTTAAGGCTGAATCACACATTTATTGTCATGTTAGACAATAAATGTGTGATTCTAAGATGACACATTTATTGTCATGTTGGACTTATCTACTGGGCACTGTTCCACAAGCCCTCCCGTAGCTTTGTCAAGCCGGTAATGGTACTTGAAATGTGCCAGAATAAAAATATTGTTATGGAGAAGAACTAATTTTTTTGTGGGGTTCTAAGCAGCACGAGGTGGGGAGGACTCTTGGGATCATGTGGTCAGGAAAGTTCACGGCCAGGGATATAGGCGAGGGAGAAGTACCAGGGTGAAAGAGTGTGTGTTTGTGGATGGGCGGGACAAGCGAGCATGCTAAGGAATCAAGGAGATAAAGAGTGAGGTTAGGCTTAAATACTAGTTTAAACTGTGATATCTAGACCTAACATGTTATGTGCGAGAATAAACATACAGTTGAACCTCGATTTAACGAAATCCGATTTTACGAGTTTCCCGATTTAACGAACAAATTCGGATTCCCCACGCAGCCTATGCACAAGTTCTTTCTTCCTCGATTTTATGAAGTTCCCGATTAAATGAAATAATTAGCGAGTCCCGGTGACTTTGTTAAATCGAGGTTCAACTGTATTGCTGTGTGCAAAAACATGTTATGTGCGAGAACAAACATATTGTTATGTACAAGAACAAATATATTTTTTGTGGGGTTCCAAGCAGCAACAGGTCCCAACAGGATTTGTAGGGAAGACTTTATGGATCATGGTGCCAGGAAAGTTCATGACTAGGGAAATAGGGGAAAGGGAAGTACCAGGATAAAGGAGTGGTGTGTGTGTGGACAGGCAGGACGTTTAGAGTGTGATATTTAGACCAAACATGTTATGTGCAAGAACAAACATACATATTGTTATGTGCAAGAACAAACATGTTGCTTGCAGACAGGTGGTGGTTGGCAACAGCCGCGGCAGAGTGGCTCTGCTCGACCTCCGTCGTAAGGGCATGGTGCACGTGTTCAAGGGCATGGCCGGGAGCGTACGCAGCGTCGTCTGCCATCCGACCCTGCCCTTGGTTGCCAGCTGCGGACTGGACCGGTTCTTCAGGCTCCACGACCTCCAGACGCACATGCTCCTCTCGAAGGTACATCTGACAAGTCTAAAAGCTCATGCATGCTTGGAGCTCTTTACGGTTGTCGCGCAAGTCGGAAACATAAGGCACGATCGGCTGCAATCTCCTTTCTCATATTGCTTGCGGATTGTATCGAAGATCATAGCTACGGTACATGAAGTGTGTCTCAGACTGGTGTATTTAACGTGTCCTGGAGGTGGTGGCACAGCAATGGAAATAGACAAAAGCTGGCACAAAATAAAACTGTAGATAAAGATTTATTTCCACAAAGATAGAGGTCTTTAGTATATTTAAAGGCCGACACAACTGCGCTTTCCACTCTAGCCCGCCTCCTCCTTTCCTATATCCTCTCCACTTTTAACCTTGCCCCAACCTGGCTCCTTTTGCAGTTTAGGAGAGGGGAGCGTTAAGAGGATTATGTTCCCCGCAGAAAACCAAGGTTGCACGTTGCCCTTTAAAGGCCGACCAACAAGCGGAAAGAAGGAAACTCTCCCTCAATTCCTCCATTCCATTTGAGAAAGAGGGAGACCCTCCTCCTCTCTACCGGGAGTAGTTCAGGGATCCGCTCCGGTGTGGAGAGGAGGGGAAAAGTGGGCGAGTGGTAATGGAGGGAAGGAAACTGGGAACCGGTTTCTTCCCCGGTAGAAGACAATTCTGTAGGTCAAACTTAAAAAAAAAAAAATCCGGTCATAAAAAAAAAAAAAGAAAAAAATTACTGGTTTCGCTTTAGTGGCACGAAATATGATCATAGCCGAAATATTACGTCAAAGTGAAGCCGCATACTCCACTAAAACCGACTTTAAAGATGGGACCAGCTGCTCTTTAGCAGGCGGCAAGCGGGTTGGCTTTTAGTCAAGGAGCACTGGCAGAGTACCCCCGTGACATCACATTGCGGCCGTACATCTGATGATCAGTGTTGCCATCCCTCTAGCAGATAGTTTCAGTTTCGCCGTAGATGCCCGAAACCAAACTTTTAGCTGTAATATTTATAAGATTAGGTACACTCAATATAGAAAAAAGAATTATACCTTGCAATTCAGGGACACTGCCTTAGCTGAAAACAGTTGTAATACCAAATGAAAAAAATATTGACCTTCATTCAGGGTTTTTCGGACTTCGCCGATTTTGATAAAACCGGCCCGGGGAATACTTTTTGGAGTTTATTTACCGAAAACACGGAACCCCGCGTGTAACCGACACTTGAGCTTGCATTCCCCTGCACAACAATTTAAGCAGCAGATCTCGTGCGTTCTCTCGTAGCGAGTCGTCACTATTTTCACCTTCCAAACGTCCTTCCCTGCAGATGTACCTCAAGTCGAGGCTCAACTGCTTGCTGCTACGCACGGACTTTAACGTTTCTGAGGAAGCGGAGAAGCAAGAAGACGCCGAGGCGGAGCCAGCAGACGATGAGATCTGGCAGGACATGGAAGAAGTCGAAGAGGTAGCGGAGGAGCCGCAGACGGTGCAGAAGAGGTCGAAGAAAAAGAAGCCCTCGGCAGAAAGCGGGAAGCGGAAGAGAGTGTGCATAAGCAAGTGAGCCAGATGGAGCGGAATTAAAACTAGGAGATGCGATGAAAACGAAAGCCATCTCATTGCTTCGTTTTAACACCGAGTGTGTTTCATGGCTGGATTTTATACAAAACGGAACGAAAAAACGTTACACACAGGCCAAGGCAACTGAGGCTTACAAAGCGCATAGAAGGCACACTTAGACACAATCACACTTAAAGAGGCCCTGCAAAGCGTTTCTGGGCTTTTTTAATTTGCATCACATTCGATCAAACTAGCAATGCATTAAAATTAAAGTAAAGAAATTATGTATTTTGAAATAATAGGTGAAAGAAGTTCGAGATTTTGAGCATATTTTTTATTGTTGATGACGCCATTGGTCTGAAGAGAACCGAAATGACACGAACATGCAACAACCATGCGAAATCTTCCCAGTTGTTGGAATTAACATCCAGCTATGAAGATGTGAATGCCCCACCGACTTACGGGCGTTCCAAGCAAAAGTTTAAGTGAATGATCACGCGCTTGAAAGGATCAGAAGGGGTCATGTGCACCTATTCAGCCAGTCCTACCTCTAGTATTTTACATCATCATTATCCGAAGCTCTAGACCAATTTTGTCACTGAGCAATGCCATTTTAATTATAATCAAGCACAATTGTTGAAATTAGCGAGATTTACCGGGCGGTGCAGTGGGAATCGAACCCTGGGTCATCTGATCTGCAGCCAGACGCCCTTGCTCAGCGCCTCGAGGAGGAGGCAAACTAAGTACATATGATAGATTCTAAAGTTAAGGGCAATTTTCAATGAGAAGATGGGGTACATTCCCGGCATTGTTCGTCATTCGTCTTCGTATATTTGCGGGCTCCCTTGATCACCGTTTCCCATTGAAAATCTCCAGAAATCGCCGAGTAACTTTCAGATAACGGTAAGTTGTGAAACTTTGGTATCTGGTTTAGACCACCAGCACTACATTTGGGCGGAGACTGAGCTTTTGGCGGTGTGGATTATTTCTGCGGCAAGACCAGGGGTCTCTTTTCTCGCAAACGCGCCGCAGATCTAAATCACAGACTTTCCGGTCTCAACCGAAAAAAACAAAACAATAATCATCTGCTTGTGAAAAAAAAAAAGGGGGTTCAAGCCAAAAAACACTGGTACACATCTGCCGGTGGCAAAGATACAAAAGGAGCTAAACTCCCAAAGAACACAGATAAAACATCCATTGGCGTCAAAATATAAAATTGGTTCAAAGACCAAAAAAATATTTGTTTCACTATGACTGTTTTTGTTGAAATCATCCCCTCTAAGACTTGAACTCTTCGGTTTTTATGAGATTTATTTCACCAATCATCACTATTTATAGCATCTGTCCAAAACAGAGCAACGAAATACACCGCTGCTTGAAAAATAAGTAATCGCCAAAAAGCATTAGCATATTTTCTGTATAAATAAACACCGAAAAATCTCCAGCTTACTATATTTAAAAAACACGGTGGTGCACCACAGTTTGAACACGAAAGCTCCATGCCAACGCCGTGACCCGAAAATTAATTTTTATTTACAAGTACACAATCCTACTTTGAGTTAGCGGGCGTGCCAGAGCTAGGAACGCGTGCCGACGTCGAGACCATCCGCTTGCGCTTCTTCTCGATTGTCCGTTGACGGCGGCGGCACGGAGAAGTCGACGCCCTTCACTTCCAAGCCCGGGATTGCGTCTTCGAGCATCAGAGCCACCAACTGGAGGTGTTCCACGTGAGACAGGTAACGCAGTGTCAGCGTCTTCAGATTCCTGCAGCCGCCGCGGGGTCAGCAAAAACGGTGAGTGGGCAATTTGAAGGCGCCGAGCGGTCGGCACCAAGATCAAAGCTATATTTTCGTAGTTTAATCAAGGGCCTTGCAACAATGTTTGGATTTCGATCAAATAATTGTGGTAGTTGTTCCCCCCGTCATATCTGGTTAATGAGCTGAAAAAAGATTTGCCTACGCGCATTGATTTTTAGAGAAAAAAAAAGTCAAATAACTGACGTTTTGGGCGCCTCAAAATGACTCGACTCATACACCGTCCTCCGAGTCGTGTATTAGGGATAGGGAGGATTCAATTAGGTTCTCTTTCCAGCGTGCGCGGCATCTGCTTGCGATTCACGTGGCGACCTTGAAGGTGATCTGAGCGATGTGGAGAGGGGGAGAGCAAAGAGCTGGCCTTTTCGTAAGGAAGTTCAACTGATGCAGTAGCACAACGGGGTAAGGCTGAAGAGGAATAGGTTTTTTTCCACTTCAGGCAGCCGGCGCCACTAAAACTGAATATGTATAGTACAACTTTTTCGATGATGTGAGGTTTTTTACACATCTACTCGTGTTGAAACTACAATATTTATCAAATATAGGATTAGGTTGAGCACATAATGGCACATCTTACCAACTTGTTACATTGTACCCATTGTGTGTCACGCCTTACTCTGGTGCAAATGTATGAGCCAGCCTTCATGTGCCACCGGGTCTGAACTCAACCAATACCTAAATAACAAACCTGTAGTGCCGAAGTTTCAGCATCACCTAAAGGGGTATTCACACGAGGGAGAAATCCCGGGGATTTCTCCCCGGCACGCGCATTCCACGACGAAAACGTCAGGCTTTGCGATGTGCAAAAGCCTCGCGTTTTCATCTCGTGATGCGCGCGTGCCGGGGAGAAATCCCCGGGATTTCTCCCTCGTGTGAATACCCCTTTAAGAAGACCGACTTGGACACGATCGCTGCGTCAGTGTTCGGCTGAAACTTGTTGAATGAGAGTCTCGCCTGATTGCCGACGCAGCACCCGTGTCCGATCTGCCCCGTGCTGGCCTTTTTTTTAGGCAATGCCCAAAGTTCGGCACTCGGTCTTTGTTACCGTATTTACTCGCGTATAGGTCGACCTGTTTTTCAAAAATCGCCTCATCAAAACTGGGGGGTCGACCAATACGCGAATCCCAATATTATATTTTTCAACTTTTTTTTTTTTCGGGGGTCCCGAAGTTAGGGGGTCGACCTATACGACGTATCGACCAATATGCGAGTAAATACGGTACCTAAAACTGGGTTCCTAGCTCCTGAAGTTCCCCGCATGTTCCCCGAGCTCCTAAATTTCCTCGACTGTCCCTGCCACCAGGTGGAAGGCAGTTCTTTGAGATGGGAACTATGTCAGAAGACCTGAGTCCTCCACCGACGCACGACTACTGTAAAGTACCGATCAAGCACCCACTCAAAATTTGGAGATAATCGCAAGAAAGTTGGGGGTGGGTGCTTGTTAAATCACAAATTTTATCTATATTTGTACTGCACATATTATTTCAGATGTTGTGACATTTAGGGATGGGCGCTTAGTGTGGAATGGGCGGATGCTCGGTATTTTACGGTATATGCCAAACAGTCCACACCCCAGTCACCCCTAAGCTGACTCTGCGACCAAAGCTACGTGCTTGCTGGACCAATCGACCGCCTTCCTTTCGTCACCTGACCCTGCTCTCTGCACGTGGGTATGGCGCAGGAGAGACCACGTTGCATGAGATGGACATATGACTGGTTCGACGAGCACGTATGCCTTCCCCCACACAGTCAGCTTACGGGTGAACGGAGTACACACTGTGTTCACCCTTAAGCTGAAAGTGCAGCCAATGCCACATGCACGAGAGCTCAAGGTCGCTGCTTTGAAGCGCTCTTCCGCAGAACGAGCGCTTGCGCTAAAAGTGCACGTCTCGAAGCCAGGAGCGTGGGTTAGCCAGCACCTATAGTTCTGGCTGCAGTCTTAGCATAAGGGTGAACAGAGCATAGCATGTGCATGAATGTTTACAAGGCATGAAGGTTTGTGCACTGCATTACTGCGTCAATGTCGAGGCAGAAAGAGGTTCCTTGGCTGTCAATTAAGAGAAATACAGTAGGCTCGCAATAGTTCAAACTCGGATCTTTCATACTTCCGGTTAAGGGGGGAGGCTGGTCTTTAACTTTTGTTTTTTTATTTTTCATTGATAGTGCTGAAATTTATTGTACTGATGTATTTCTCTGTGGTGATTTCAAATATGCAATTTGTTTTCAGATAGCTCTACTAGATCTTGAGGTATTAATAAATTTGTAATTTTAATTAGGTCCTCCTTACGGGCCGTTACCATAAAACTGTTCAAAATATATCGGAAATTTTTATAGAATTGCATTCACCAAGACATGTTTTGTGCGGTGATGCTATTTTAAGACTGATTTAATGATATTACATCGGTAAAAAACATTTGCAATCAAGTTGCATAAAACGGAAGGCTATATCTTTTTGAGACTAATTAATTAAAATTATTGTATGATATATAAAGCAACAAAAATAGCATCACCGCACAAAACATGTCTTGGTGAATACAATTCTATAAAAATTTCTGATATATTCTGAGAACTCTTACGCTAACGACCCGTAAAGAGGACCTAATTAAAATGATGAACTTATTCGTAACTCAGGATCTAGTAAAGCTATCTGAAAACTAATTGCATATTTGAAATCACCACAGAGAAATACATTAGTACACCAAATTACAGCACTATCAATGAAAAATAAAAAACCAAAAGTTAAAGACCAGCCTCCCCCCTTAAATCAAACAGATTTCAATATTTTGGTTGTCCCGCTTTGTTTTTAATGTATTCATGAACCGATTAATTTGAACGGCATGTTTGTGTAATTCACACTTTTTGTTCTCTCGTCCCCGTTGAGTGGGCTTCTTTCCGAGCACCGGTGCACTGCAGAGAGGCAACACCTGCAGAGCTTGCTTCTCTGCAGTGCACCAGTGCTCGCTAAAAAGTGCACTCAACGGGGCTCAAGAAGGGCACCAGCAACTTGTACGGATGCTGTGACGCAGTGGCATGGCATAGGTCCACGTCACAGCATCCGTGCAAATTGCTACGAAAACTGCCGCGTGGTGCCCAGTTTGATCGCTGATGTGCCCCCTGCTTAAAAGGTAACATTAGACAACTTCTTGGCCCAACGAACAAAATTTTGTTTTGAGTCATCACGTGCTGTCTAAACAGACCACGATAAACAACATTTTTGAGGGATAATAAACTTATGTCATACATTTTCTTGTGTGGCATACCTGCTTATGATCACTAAACCTATGTAGAGGAAGTCATAAAATATCTGCTTTGTATGCTGTTCATACGGCAAATCCTAATTTTATCTTGCATCACATTTAGATAAATTTGTGATAATTCAAACTGGGGTTTGCTGGGATTTGCCCAACCTGGGGTTTGCCATAATATAAACTGGGGTTTGCCCCCGACCTGGCCCTGTTTGCCAGGTCGAGGGCAGACAAAATTTTGGCTTGAGGAAGCCAAAATTTGTGGCTTCCTCAAGTATGAGTTAAAAAAAGTCTACTGTAGGTTTTTTTTAAAGCTATGGTGCCAGCAATGCATCTTCCAACTGGTGTGTTCAACGTCCTATCCTGCCCATAGATCAAAAGTGGTCCCGAAGAAGCGGCGGCAAACGACGCCGCAGAAGCCGGCATGTCACGTTGTCCGATGCTGTCTCCCCTGGCTTTTGAAGCCCCCATGCCACATCCACCACAGCAGCCTCGACACTGTCGGGATCACAGCCAGCAACAAAGTAAAGCTTCAACGAGGTCGTTGGACGGGGATCGAGGAACCACTCGGGGTGCACTGAACGTGCCGTTCGGAGACACGTTCCAGACTACATTAACCCCGACCTGGGAGTTACCGACTTGCCTGAGCCTGTAGAGAGCAGACAGCCCTCGATGCGTGATCTGTGGGCACCCTGAGAGGTCTAGCTGTTCCAGGCTGTCCTTGAACTGACTCAGCCGGTCCAGGAACCAGTCGTCCACGAAGGCGCATCCGCCCAGGCGCAGAGCCTTGAGACCCTCAAGGTTAGCTGAATGGATGGGAAGAGGACCCGTAGTTTAACCGGCAGACCAGACGCCCTTGAGTGTTTCGATGACGTCCTATACAGACTCGGTATTTCGAGGAAAGTTGACGTCTATTCCCTCCCTTGTGCCGAGATGATAGATATAAAAAATACAGGCTGTAAGTATTTTCAATGTTTCAAATTATTCATCTTTTTCTAAGTGTTGATCGCGGTGAGTTAGCGCCGTTGAGTGCGCTATTCTTCGAGCGGCTGTGCACTGTGGGGAAGCAATGCTCGCGGGCTCCGTGGATATTGCTTCTTTGCAGTGCACAGGTGCTCGGTGAGAAGCGCACTCAACGGTTGTAGCCTGCCGCAGTTATGCGAGAGTATGTGTTGGGCAGCAATGACTTGACAGCACATGCTCATAATTCATGCTTTTTTTTGTCAAATCAAATCGAAGGAATAAAATTTGCACATAGCAAGCAGACTTATTAAAACCGCCTCGATCAGGATCGCTGCAATAACTTTGTTATTTACATGCCACAGGTAATAAATATAGCTATATTAAAATTAACTGAGCTTAGAAGTGGACAAGTGGAAGGTTGGTTGAGAACAACCTTCATAAGTTCAGCTACGATAGTGAAAGGCGTGGAGAAATTGTTTGATATTCAATTAGAAAATATTTGGCTAAAACCACCATTCGCTTCAAACTCAAAGTTTGCTATTCGCACATGAATAGACACATCTGAACTAGTAACCTAAATGACATGTCGCAATAATTTTTTTTTTTGCAAAGTTATTGAAGTTTTATATTTGGTCTGAAAGGCCGAGAGGCTCTAATGTTAAAACTGAAAATGTGACGTCAGATTTATTATGGGTAAAGTTCCATCTTTTCTGAGTTTATTTTTAGCAAAATTCTAAGGGTGTGTTCCGGAGTTTATTTTTTGCCAAAATTTTGGAGTTTATCAGATTTTACTTTCGTTAGAGTCTCAACACTCCACAATCTCGAGTTTAATTTTGTTCTGCTCCCTATTTTTTCAAAATCCCCTTCTAAATTCATAAGAATTGTCCAGTATCAAATGCTATCAAATCAGTTGGGTTTGGCATATGCACCCTTGACCTCGGTTAGTACCGAGGTCAAGGCTGTCCCACGACAAAACTTACAAACCAGTGGTGCTTTAATGAACGCTCACATTTTAAAATCTATAAACTCACGGACACAGCAGTTGAAAAATTTGTTTTCTTCCGAAAAAATTTTGGCACCCTACCCGGTGGCTGTAAAAACCCGAAGGAGTGGTGAAGGAAATAGAAGTTTCAGCTGCCCACGTCCCGCTCCAACAAAATCCACAGGTTCATAACTCTCACTGTTATAACAACACTACCCCTCTTTCCTCTAAACAGCAAAAATACTACAATCCAAATTAAAAAGAAACAAAAACAGCGGCTTTTGTCGCAACCCAGAGGCAGAACAATCTGTTGTCCCGACTGAACCTTGAAAAGGTAAGCGGTTACACACTCTTTGGCAATGATTTGAGGCTCGAAAGAAAACTGGAGTGGTCATTCCACAGCATCAATGAGCACATGCTCTGAAAAAAACTTCTTTGTAGAATCCCATTTTCTTTTTTTTTTTGTACATTGCGATTCCGAAATTTGGAGTTTATCAGATAAATCCCAATCGACGAAAATTTTACCAAGGAGCGTTTTTCGGATATATCCGAAAACACGGAACCCTAAATATGGGTCGCTGGGTCGATGGGGATGGGGGGGGGGGGGGGGGGGCACAGCTTGTTCCCGATAGGTTACAAGAAGTCTGATGGTGTGAAACGAATGCTTGGTTAAGCTTACGTCGGCAAAACGGAAAAGATGTGCACAAAATACCGTGCTTTTTAGACCGCCCACCCGACTCGCAAATCGTATGACGTGCGACGTCGCACCCGCCGGAGAGCAGATTTTGGTATTTGCATCGGCTTTGTTTGCCATTTTTTTTGATAGCCATTTTGATTTTAGAGATAATAAACGGCATACCCGAAAAAGTAAATTCTAGGTGTTTTGAAAATGCGCTTAGCTCGAGCAGCTCGAAAAGGCGCCGAGGAACCACACGAGAAAGAGAAAGGGAGAGAAGCGTCTCACTTAGGTTGTCGAGACCCTCGTAGAGCAGCTCCACCTCGGAGGCATCGATGGCCTCCACCCTCCAGCCTTCCTCGTAAGACTGGGGCAGGCCAATCGAGCCGTCTTCAGCCTTCCGGTACCAGTCGTCCTTGCCGTGGAACTTGACGGCGGCACCGCGGAACACCAGGAACGACGCCGCCGCCAGGTCGGGGCCCAGGATGCCGTGTCGTTCGGCGTAGAACCTGGACGGGAACACGTTTCCGTCACCCCTGCGGGAGACACCTTGCGACAAGGCTACAGGGTGAAACAAGGAGACGGCAGGCTCTTTAAATCGACCGGAAAATTCGGTTTCTTAACCTATCGCGCTACAACTTTGTGCAGCGTTGCCCACAAATGGTGCATTTTTTTTGTAAAATTTGCAAAGAGCGAACTTACCTAAGGAAAAAGTAAAGAAAGAAAAAGGCTTAGCTCCTATGGAAACGCAGCGGCACCACCGGTCTGCAAAAAACACGGCACCGTTTCGCACGGGAGACAAGAGATGGCGCAAGCGGTTGCGATGCCAACTGCCGCCAACGAACGAGCAGACAACGCCGAGAGCCGGCCCTTTTGCAGACAAGGAACTGCAGTTCCTTGCTGTTACCGCGCCTGTCTTTTTTTTGTTTCTGCGACTGTCGCCACCTGCGGAACGCGCACCGCTTTTGAGTCGAAAAGATTGTCTGCTAAAAAGGCCTGCTCTCGGCGCCGTATGCTCGTTCGTTGGCGGCGTTCGTTGCGCCATCTCTTGTCTCCCAAGCGAAACGGCGCCGTGTTGTTTGCAGACCGGTGGCGTCGCTGCATTTCCATAGGAGCTAAGCCTTTTTCTTTCTTTACTTTTTCCTCAGGTAAGTTCGCTCTTCGCAAATTTTACAAAAAGAATGCACCATCTGTGGGCAACGCTGCACAAGGTCGTAGCGCGATAGGTTAAGAAACCAAATTTTCCGGTCGATTTAAAGAGCCTGGCGTCTCCTTGTTTCACCCTGTAGTAAAACCGCATTGGGCCCCCGGGGGTGCCGAGTTCGTGCCAAGTCGGGCGTTTCTCCGGCGTGCCACCCGGGCCGACCGCAGCTTTGCCTATACTCCGTTTCGCTCCGGGTCTGACCTCAACCAATGCCACGACCCGACGGACAGAATCGAACGTCGTCGCGGTGCTTGTCGTCTCTGTGCATTTGCCGTCACCGTCTGAACCAATTGCGCGCAGAAAAAGTGTGGGATCACGGCGCACTCACTGTGCTCGTTCGGTTTGGCCAGCAACCGGCAAATGCGCAGTCGCGAGTGCCGCAACGATGCGCCTTTGGCAACGACTGATTGGTTCTGTCGAATTGTAACTTTGGCAGCGGTCGAACTCGTTGGCATGAAACGGAGTGTACAAACTTGTCTGGGTTCTCAAAGAAATGCTAGAAAGGATCTACTGGTAATGAAAAGCAAACTCGTGATGCTTCTATGGGGGTTGAGCCCTGCTTTTATGAACGCGTGCGATGGGAAAGCCTTTTTGTCTGTGGTGGAGGACGTTTTCATCAAGAGCTCTCTTGTATGAGGGGCATTCACAGGACGTTAATCCCAGTTTTGTTGTTCAGTGTCGGCGTGACGAGACTTTTGAGCTTCTATATTAATGCTACAGTCTTTCCTCGAAGAAAAAACTGGCCATTCTGGGGGAAGGGGGGGGGGGGGGGTTAATTATGTGAGACGGAACTGGTAAAAAGGAAGACACAGTGTTGACAGTCTTAATTGATACATGAATTCAACTTATTTTGATACGAGGTTCCCACGGTAAAATCAATTAACATAGATCTCTTAATACATCATAGCACATAAGTACACAAATACACAACACTGAACTCAATAACATGCATAAATGCATACCATTTAGTCAAAACTTAAAGTGTCAAAAACCAATCTCGCACCTTTACTCATCCTGTGCAGCAGGTGAAGCCTCAGATATTGCAGTTAACACAAGAATGGGTGCAAATTAAATAGTGCTTCGAGTAAAAATGGTTCTAAGACATTGAGTATCATGCTCAGTGTGCAGAGTTAGAGCGCAAATCTATTATTTGAAAAAATCGCTGGTTCTGGAAGTTTTGGTAGTGAACGCGGGTTAAGACCACGAGCACTGGTATGAGCTCGAGAACTCACGGTCACTGGGGAATTAGTGTAGCACGAGCATGTTTTCATACATGCTCACCCTTTTTGCCCCTTTTTTGTAATCTTATAGCTGACTCCCTCAGTGAAAGGTCCACTGCCATTTATTGTTTTCCTGGTGGATTTCTTTTTTTTGTTTGTGTGTGATTGATGTGTTATTTTTGGTGCCCTCACTTGTTCCGTTAGTTTAACCCCATTGTAAGAGGTCAGGCGTCACATCTTCTGTTGAGAGAAGGGATGTAAAGAAGGGTTCCCTTTCCTTCCTTCTTTTTTGAACCCTATATAAAGGGTTCTGTCCTCAATAAAGGTTTAGCTGTGTTTGAGACGTTCTCTTCCTTGTCGTCGTCTGTCATTACCTCAGTCTCAGGTTTTTTACAATATGTTTACAACATCAATGTGCAACTTGGCTAGGTCCGGTACGTGCCAAAACAAAAGATGAAAAAGAGAAGAGGTTCAACTGTTTCCAAGCTGGGGCCCGTTGAACCCCTAATCGGTGTCCATTGATTCCTACTACTTTGAGTTAGATGAATCCCCAATCGTATACCCAGTTCGAACCACTTGAATAATCCAACTAAGATTCCAAATGTTCCCAGTTTAAACAAATTCAACTGGGCCTCCAACCGGTTGTCCTGTTTGTGCTTCCTTTAGTCCCCGTTTACTGTGCGCTGTTTGCCTTTTCGTCAGTATGAACCAACTAACCCACATCGCCACCCTTACTCCAACCGGCTATGGGGACAACATATTCCTATGTATATACATGGGCAAGACTTACTTTTGGTTCGAAAGTCGCTGATGCAAGGTTTTCTTCTCCTGCCTTTCGCGGCGGGCTTCCTTGGTGAAGTAGAGCGGCATGCGATGCAGGAACGACGCGAAGTCTACCCCGATGCCCTTTCGGGGAACCAGGATCGTGAAGATGTTGCTGATCGTGTCCGGTGGGATCAGATCGGGGTTGTCAATTTTGTCGCCCTTCTTCCCACGTCTCATCAAATGTCGCAGCACCGTAAACTGTGGCATCTTAGGCAGATCCCCAGTGAGATGAGGCGCCAAGAGCAGGTAGGACCGCCGCAGCATTTGGTGACCGTTCCAACGACTGCTTCTATTTCGAGACAGGGAGGGATCGGGGATTGGAATTAAACAGCGTCGAAATTAGAATACGTCGTGAGCCCTCCTCTATATAGAACACTGCGGATGGAACGAGTTATACTTACAAGGAAAAAGAAATGAACACAAACGGTGCCTTGTGAATTTTTTTAGCGCTGAATTTCTCGTTGGAGCACAGCTCGGAAAGCAGACCGACGAAGACCGGCAGAACCAGTGTAGTGAACTTAATTTTGATTTCACGCTGCCACGTCGTGCATATTACTCGTATCTTTTTTTTTTGCTTTAGTCTAAAAATGTTATTCTCAAGTTTAAAATTTATAATTAGTATTATCGCAAATATTTTTTAACTTTTTAGTTTTGTGTGTTTTGATTGAGGAGAATCCATTCAGATCAAACTTTCGCTAAAGTTGGCGCCAACTCTCTTAACTTGAACTTAACGTTGTGTTTAAAGGGGCTGGCCTTTGTTAGTTTTGTTTTGCTGTGGCTTTGCGTTCGATTTTCGCGTTCTTTTTTATTATTTTTACAGTTGTGCGAGTTTAACCGTATGTGAGTGACTATAACCTCCACGAACGGTGACATATTCCAGGAAGGATGCGACCAGCAGGCTACGGATAATCCGAACTCGCCGCCAACAACGTCACAACGTCTCGTACCCGAAGCGGCGTAGCGAAGTAACTATACTTCGTTTCACGTTATGTGCGAGCGAAGTCGAAGCTAGAAGCGCGAGCTCAACACTCTGAGCGTTCCTGCTTCGCACGTGCGCAAGTGCACCACAGGCGCTGTTACAAGCAGCATGCCCGCGCTTGTAGCGTCGGCTTCGCTCGCACACAAGGTGAAACGAACTATAATTCATAGTTCAGTTTATTGACAGGAAAAATGTCACTCGCTCACTTTAACATGTTAGCGTCACACTTTGCATGCGTTGGTTATGTAGAACTTTTATATCTACCTTTTAAGTGTCCACAGACGTCTCGACTGGCCCACTTTGTACGTCGTTGACCCCATTCTTTTCTTTTTTTCTTTTTTTCTCTCCTCTTATTCTCAGAACATGGCCAGCATACCCGACAAAGCCAATCGGCGGGAACTCTGCGAAATCATCTGTACGCAGAAAGAAAAAATACAGCGCTACGAAGCACGACTCGGTGGTACGACAACTTTAGGCCACTCGTAAAGTATATGTACTTCTCAACTGCTGGTTCTGATGTTGCCTAGCTGTGACGTTAGCTGCCCGCTGTTGCATTAATGAGATTGTTTAACTCTAACCACAATGTAAAATGACGTTAAGTACATGCCATTTATGCAGTTTAACTCTAACCACAATGTAAAATGACGTTAAGTACATGCCATTTATGCAGTTACCCTGGTTGTTTGGTTGTTATAGGCAAATTTGATGTACCACTGACGCCATAGATATACCTGCAGGTCTAATGGAAAATTCACCTTTGGTTTTACTGTTGGTGTCTAATATTTCCTTAGATGGAAGCTCTCTTTACAGTTCGGTGTGCTTTAGAAGTCACGAAATTAATTTTTTGTAGAGGCACTTATTCAATGAAGGCATGATTATTGCATATCAGGACGAGAAGGACGGTAATTTCTGAAAGAGCGCAGCTAGCATGCAGCCGCAAGTATGTAATCCATTGCATGCATTTCCAATTTTACAGCGCAGCTGTTAAGGGCTAGTTTTCCCAGGATCGTGTCTGGTACCAAACAAATGTTGACGCAACACTCTGGTTGCCACCGTCGCTCATAGATCGCGGCAATCTTTCTGGCCTCGATAACCAGACAACTGATTGCTGCCGTTGCTCATAGATGGCGGCTACATTTCTTTGGAGGAAGAAGAGCGGGAACGGAACGAGCGGCGATGCGCGCAGCAACGCGAATGGTTCCGCAACCGTCGCGAGGCCGCTATCACCTAAAGTTCTACTGCGTCGAGCGTTTCAGATTCCCTTGCAAAAGAAGAGCAGATCGCTCGCCTGGAAAGCCACCACCGAGAACAGAAGCTACAGCTCTGCTGCTCTTCCTTCTTCACCAGAGTGAAAAAGCTGGAAGCTTTTTATTTGTGTTTTTATCCTTGTAAATATATACTTCAGTTTAAAGGGTAGTGTACAGAATTTCTTACTTTCTTTCTGATAGAGGTGATATGATTTTCCATATTTCACTGCACTCGTGTAAGGCATCGTGACTTATTACTTGGTGTGAAAAACAATCTTCATTAAATATGCAAAAGCTTAATTTCCTCTGCCTCGGTTCGGTTTAATCTACCATTCGCTGGTTAGTGCTGTACTCATTATTAAAAAAGGTCTTCTAGATGTGAAGAAAGCTTCCCAGCTCCTTTTTAAACAGCTTGTTTGACATTATGCGAACCTCTACACTGAGGCAAAATTAGCCGTACAAAGTATAGAGAATAAAAATGCTAAAAACGACAGACCACTACAAAAATGACAAACATCGGAGTGCGCTCTGTGGCATTCGTCATTCTTCTACTATGGTGCCATGAATGCGACGATCCGACTGGTGATTTTACTGCGTCCGAAAGAGTGGTCCTTCGATCTCCGCCCTATGACGTCTCGTAAAAAAGTCACGCTGTCGCCGGTCACCAGTCATGATCCATGGCAGTGTTGCAGGAGTGGCGATAGATGTGGTGTGCGCCTGTTCTGCTGCTGGTCACTCTCCACCTTGACGGTCCATGAAAGCGTCAGCAGCCAGGAGTTCGGACCCCTCGACGACAGCAACACTCGCATTCGCTAAAACTTTCTGCCGGGACTTCTAGCACCAATTACTGCGGGATTGTGACATCCGAAAGCATGACACGCCAGCTTCTGTGACGTCATTTGTTGCCACTTCAGGACCAGCTTTGATGTACACGCAGGATAGGATGCTACAGACACACCAATCAAAGATGTGTGCCAGGGACCATGCTCCTACTTGTCCGTTACTTTTAGCGCTTTTGACTTCTACAACAAATTACCAACTAGCCTACGTACATAACTTTTTTGCAATCTGCAAACATGCATTCATTTTTGGTTTTACAGTGAAACCCGTTTAGAACAAACCCACGTACAGCGAATTATTGTAGATATCGAACTCACGGTAAATTTAAATACAAATCAATGTAAAAAGTACTTTTTATAACGAACAACATATTGGCTATATCAAACTTTCCCCCCCCGGCAATGCTTCCAAAAACGCGCCAACAATTGTCGTATAGCCTGTCCCTTCGCTCCACCTCCAAAAAAGTAGGAAAGGAAGAAATTTCCAAAAGATCAAGTGGCGAATAAAATTGAGCGAAGAGAAGCGAAGCGATTCAGAAGGGGAGAAAGCTCAAAAAATACAATTTGTACGCACGCACAGGAAAAAAAAAACATCCTTGTCATCCCAAAGCGGTTGCCCACGAAGAGAAGCGACTCAGAAAAAAAAATAAGATAAAAAAAAACAAAAAAACTTTGCACACATGCAAAAAAAGCAACATTCCAGCGTGTCGTTACAAGGGGGAAGCGAAGAGAGGAGAAAGAAAGAGAAGAAGCTCTCGCCTTAATCGAACGCATCGGGGAAGTTTGTTGTAAATGTTTTTTTGCTATATCGAATTACTTGCTATATTGAACTGATCGTAGCGTTTCCTGCTGTTCGTAATAAACGGGTTTGACTGTATTCCCATTCTTGCTTCAGACCTGGTCAGGGCCTACAAGGGGCTCCAGAAGGAAAAGGATGCTCTTGAATTGAGCCTCAAGGCACTGACTTCGCAGAAGCCGGCTGAGCCGCAGGTTTCGAGCTCCGACGTCGACGTTCAGAAAACCGTGCCCAAAAGAGCGGATTCCACCCCACAAGCCTCTGGAAATGTAAGTGTCGCCATTTCATTCCACTTGAAGGGAGCGCCCAGTTTTAGAGTAGGTATCGCATAATGACAGCTAATTAAAGAAATTTGTGCGTCTCCTTCGCTTCTTCACAGTTAATTTCTAAAGCTGACTGTGCATATTTTTAATGTGACATATGCCACTTAATTTATTCTTTATTTTTTCTACAAATAGCAGCCGCAAATTCACTCCAGCTCCTCCTCATTCATGCGGGTGATTGTCTGGTATATTCAAAAATCGGGGAGGAAGTTGACCAACGCATATTACTTAAGTGCATCCGTTAGGTCTATTCAAGATTGGCGCTCAAAATGGAAGATGAAAATTAATACATAAAAACAGTGTTTGCCTGAATAACTAACAAAACTAAGAATGTTCTTTCCTTTACTTACAAGTTGGGTGGGAATGCATTGGTTGAAGTTGATAGTCTTAAATACTTGGGTGCAGGGTTGTAAAGGTTACTTCAAAAATGTGCCTAAGATACAGTTAGTTACTCATACAAAAAGGTACCTAGCTATGTACCTAGGTACCTACCGTAAAATACCGGGCAAGCGCCCACCCAAAAATTTAGAGATAATCGTGAAAAAATGGGGAATGGGCACTTGTCCGGTCATCAATTTTGCATATAAATGTACTGTACATATTTTCTCAGATTTTAGAAATTTGGATATGGGCACTTAATTTGAAATGGGCGGATGCGCGGTGTTCTACGGTAGGTACAGGTGCACATGCTTCAAAGATACTTTATTTATTTTCACCAAATTTGTCAGAATATATTGAAAGTAAAGCTTTTTATACGGAGGGTACACACAAAAACTAGTTCGATAAATGTGCTTTATTGGTGTCAATGCGAGAAATAAGGAAAACCGCTTTCACATGCGCATTCCAGGACACATTATCTTTTTCACTTAAGTGCTGTATTTGAATTTAGAATCGGGACCTCTTTGAAGTGTTTATCTGACATCCATGGTAATAAAACCCGAGACTTCTGTGTTCCTGAGTCTCGGGTTTTATTACCATGAATCATCACCAGCTCGCTTGTTTTTTAAGTATTATTGCAGTTATCTGACATCTTAGATCGCAGTTTAGGAGGAGGGAAGAGAATGCGCCACTTGTCCACGCATAATCCACCAGTTCAGTCTCCAGTCACGTCGCGTGGGATGCATACGTGACGTCACGCTTGTGTTCTTTGAGTCTGGTCTCTCTCCTCCATCCGGTTTCACCAATGTAGGACGCTGGGCAGTCACTGCAGGGGACCTTGTAGATAACCCCCCTCTGGACATTCGCCGGGGTTAGGTCCTTTAGTTTGGAAATGGAATTTCCAATAGTTCTGTATGGCTTGAAAGCAGTTTGAATGCCAAGGGGCCTCAAAGCGCGACTGAGAGGTTCGGAGACTCCTTTGACATAGGGGATGCACACTACATTCTTATCTCTTTCCCTTTTGCACGTTTGAACATTTTGTTTTATTTGGTTTTTGACCTCGTCAACAAAACGCTCTGGGTAGTGGCGTTTCATTAAAGCTTCCTGTAAATGAGTCATCTCATTTGCACCATGGAGCTCGTTAGATGGCACGGTATTTGATCTCTGTACAAACGATCGCACTACTGATTTCTTGTGTTGCACTCGGTGATGGGACAAAAAATCCTAAAAATTATCTGTTTCACATGGTTTGCGGCGCAAATGAGATGACTCATTTACAGGAAGCTTTAATGAAATGTCACTACCCAGAGCGTTTTGTTGACGAGGCCAAAAACCAAATAAAACAAAATGTTCAAACGTGCAAAAGGGTAAGAGATAAGAATTTAGTGTGCATCCCCTATGTCAAAGGAGTCTCCGAACCTCTCAGTTGCGCTTTGAGGCCCCTTGGCATTCAAACTGTTTTCAAGCCGTACAGAACTATCGTAAATTCCGTTTCCACTAAAGGACCTAACCGGATGGAGGAGAGAAACCAGACTCAAAGAACACAAGCGTGACGTCACGTACGCATCCCACGCGACGCGACTGGAGACTGAACTGGTGGATTATGCTTGGACAAGTGGCGCATTCTTTTGATTTTTTGGCCGCGACGACCTTGCCGAGGGAGGACAGATGGGGGCCCCGAAAGCTCCTAGAATCGTGGTTTGTTTGCAGGGACACATCCGTGTGTAACAAAAACCGCGGCCCTCTCCACGAAGCTTATACGGACATTCGTGATAAATAGCGTTGACTTGAGGTTGAACCTTGCATTTGCTTTATAACTACTGAAGATGCCTCCCGCATGGGAGGCGAGACGCCTAATGAAATTGTTTTTTCTGTTGTGTCAAGTCGGTGCTCTTATTTTATTTAGTTGGTATATAAATTCATAACGAAGAACAGCATGAAAATACAAAGACACGAAGGACTCTTGGCACTTTCGTGCTGTTTTTTTATAGTGATTCAATGCAGTGTTATCGCACTGACCTAGCAAAGAAGCGCAAGTTATCCAATGGTCACAGCTTAAATACCAAACTTTTTGTTATTAAAACGGTAGTTTATAGGGGGGTGCGACTTAAAGACCGGAAAATATGGTAATTGTTTTTTTTTATTATTTCACACCCCCTCTTTTGTCACATATGAGCTAAGGTGGAGGGCCATCTTTTGCAATAATATGACTTAGAAGAACACACTGAAAATGATGGTATTGTGGGGCGACAGGCAGAAGAGGCGGGCGGCTCTCGAGCGGACAGAGCAGATGGCGGGGACCAACAGCAGCAGGACCAGCTGGCCACACTGTCCCAGGCCCTGTCCACGTTGTCCGAAGAGAAAGCTCGCGTGGAAGCCGCCTTCCAGGGGGACCGACGACGCCTCATTCAGGAGAAAGAGGCCGCCCTCCGCCAGGCGGAAGAGGCCCAGCGGGCAGCATCCGAACTCACTGCGGCACTCGAGACTAAGTTGTCAGAGGTATGCTTCCAGATCCTTGTACTATTTTTTGTTTGGGGGGGGGGGGGGGGGGGGGTTTGATTGTCGTAGAGCAAAGCAGAGCATACTGCATCCATGGGTTCCTCGAGCTTTCAAATTTTCTCGACCATTCCTGACCTTAACTAAGGTGTCCTTTCAGTTTAAGAAGAGATGCAGTTTGAAAAATGGCAAAAATGCAAAAAAAGAAAGTGATTTGTGGTTTTATGCTGGTTTATTAGTTTTGAAACTTCATATTTTATGTATAAAAATAATTGGTGCCAGTTATGATTGTGAAATTAGTCAAAGAAGCATTTGAAGACCTCCTGGCAACCCAGAACGGCATAAATTTGGGTAATTTTTCTGTGCGTGGCCCCTAAATTGTGACAATGCCTGCCATATCATTTACGTTGACAAGTAGGTCTTAACCGTCTCCTCTCCATCGCAGTCTTCTACCGAAAAAGTATTAAAGGACACATGCAAAGGAAAAAAACATTTTTTTAAAACGGCTTAGATGGGAAAAGGACGCCATAAAACGATTTTACAACGAAGAAAAAAATTTTTTAGAGCTATATTTACGGCGCAAAACAAATTTGTAGTTGGCGCCCGCGGGCACCGCGGAAAAGTGGTCCGTATTTATCACGTGACTGGTCCTTATTTATCACGTGGTGCTTGCACTCTTTCGGAAGCTTCCTATGGCCTCTAAAAGTAACTTATTCATCTTTGTTTGAAGTATAACAAAAAATTAAGACGAATAAGTAACTTTTAGAGCCCAAAGGAAACTCCTGAAAAAGCGCAAGCAGATGTGATAGACCTGTGCGCCGGTCAGACGACGGCGGCGGCGCCCCGAAGCAGACGAACTTGTGCGGCGGCGGCGACGGCGGCGTGGAGAAACGCAATGAAGCGGCGTTCGCACAACGCTCAGCGTGCGGCGGCGACGCAGCGCGGCGGCGCGCGGGCCTACCATGTGACCAGCGGCGGCTCCCGCGAGCGCCAACTACAAATTCGTATAGCGCCGTAAATATAGCTCTAAAAATTTTGTTTCTTCGTTGTAAAATCGTTTTATGACATCCTTTTTCCATCTAAGCTGTCTAAAAAAAATATTTTTTTCCTTTGCATGTGTCCTTTAACAAAATATGAATATTTTTTGGCCGCGAAAGAGTATTGCTTTACGTCTATATGGTAGGTAACATTCAAACGCGTAATTCTTTCTGTAAATTTGGGGCATCTTCACAGTTAGTGCACAGGAATATTTGTTCTTTATATTGTCCTATCACAAGCAAATTTGGCATGCATATACTTTAGAATATATGTAGAATGCAACTACCTAGGTTTGGTTAGAAAATGTATGTTTTATATTTATAAAGTTTAAGAAATTTTTGTTAGCCCCTCAAAAGTTTCATTTTGGCAATTTTTATTTGTTTTAAAATGAAATAAGTCTCACACACATTATTTGTGTGGTTCATTGCACTAAAAGGTTTAAAAAAGCTAGTTAGTTTATTTTTCGAGGCCTTTTTAAATCTGTTGCCATGCCCCACAGTGCTCAAGAACATGGTTTTTTGTGCATGTACATTGCATCCAGAACATAAAAAACAAGCTGTATCAAACCCAACACCAGATTTATAAAGAGAACATAAAGCACAAACTGAAAATCTAATTTAGTTATCGCAAATAATAAAAACAAAATGTTTTCCCCTTTTTAAGCACTATTTTAGCAGAACTGAGTTACCCACTGATGCATAACTGTTTCAAGCACTCTAGAATGTGCACTATTCTTTACAGGTTCTGTAAACTTCTGCACTGTATTGCATTAATGCCGAGACTGGGAGGGGTTAATCGGCTATTAAAAAAAAAAAGAAAAGAGAGAAGAGTTTCTATATATAGAAGAGTTTGAGAACTCCTGTTGTAGGGCACTTGTAGGTGAATACCAATGTGACACCATGACCAATGATTTCACATAAGTCATCTCTTCATGGCGCTGCAACCGAGAACATCTGGCAACATCAAGTATGAGTGGGGGAAAGTGACAGAACATGGCCGCCATGTTGCCAGATGCGTGCCAAGCTGAGGGAAGAGCAGACGGGGCGCGAGCGTGAGCAGACGGACCATGCGGCCATGCTGCGGGAGCTGCAGCGTCTGCTGGCCGAGGAACGCACCACCCGCGAGGGCCTCGAGGATAAGCTGGAGGAGGCCACGCGGAGAGCTGCCCAGGTTGGAAAGCTTTCAGTCGAGAGCCGTGAAGAGGGTCGCTGGTGTGGGTCGTCTGGGAGCGGGGACGGGGTTAGCTCAGCTGTAACTCCTGGCAGTCGGTTTGTCCGACACACCGGACGACGAATGCCAAAAGGCTTGAAAAGAATGAGGTGGAGACAGATAATATAAAAAGAAGGGCCAATGAAAAGAGTTGCCACTGAGAAACGGTTAAAGACAATTAAAATGTGGCTGAGAAATTTTTCAATGACAGTTTAACGGCAGTCTCTGTTTCTCATAACTCGTGGATGCACCTGCAGAATTTCATATGCAGTCGCATCTTTTTAATGCTGGTCTCGCAGAGGGGGTTTTCCAGCCTTTGACTTGGAGAAATGGTATCTTAGGTAACTATGTCATTCTCCTCAGGCGGACCTGGCCAAGGAGTACGAGGTGAAGGTGGAGCGTCTGACCCAAGAGCTGGAGGAAGTGCGCAAGCGCTTGCTGCTGTCGGAAGAGAAGCTGCGTCAGCCGTCTCCCCTGCTTCTCCAGCTGCAGCAAGAGCTGGTGCAGGTCAAGGTTAGGATGACTTCCTCAGTCCCATTCAGAAATAGAAACATTAGTTTGAGTGGTAAAAAAACATTTCTGCAGTTAAGGCTGGCTCATATGTTTGTGTCTGATCGCACCTGATTGCGTTACGACAAGGGAATGTGCACTGACGTCAACAGTTGGGTAGCATTGAACTCTTCCGCTCTGCATAAATTTTCTGATTGTTTATGTGTCATCGTTTTACCGTGGGTTTGAAGTAAATTGTGACAATGTCAAAAGTGACCATTTCTCGTAGGTAGCGCATAGGTTCCATATCACAAATACTGCAAAAACCTTTGGTCTAGTTATATTAAAAACGGAAGTGTTCCGGTGTCAGTGCGTTCTCTTGTAATAAGCAGTCACAATCTGTTCTGATGCAGTCGATTACACTGAAAAGCAAATGTTTGAACCAGCCATCAGTGTCCCGCAGTCGCCAAACATGCCTTTTTTATGTGCAGCGGCTATGGGAAGTGTGCGGCAGTTAAAGGGGACGCTCCGCTTTGATGGCGGGACGTCGCCCGCCATCACAGTTACGTTGAAATGGTAGACCTAGCTGTCTCCTCTTCATTCAAGTCTTTCGTAGCTTCAATTTCTCACGGAAATTTATTAACAAAATATTAATTTCCGCACCGCGAAAGACTATTGCTACACATCTATGACAACATTCGAACACGTTTTCTTTTTGGAAGAACAAAGCACATGGCCACCTGTCGCCTCTTCCGCGGTCGGATTGCGCCTGCAGTGAGCACATAGCTCGCGTTGCGGGTGTGTGTGTGTAGGCGTCGGGCTAGCAGACCGCCACGCGGGCATACGTGCACGAGGATGCGCAGCAAAAGCAAGGGGAAGGGCATGTGCGCGTGTAGGGAGTGCAGGGAGTGCCCATGGTTGGAATGGTAGCGTGCGCTCTTTCCCCGAACACTGCTGTCGCTGCGCGACTCTTTAGCCCAAAAATAAAATAAGCAAGGAAAAAAAAAAAAAGTCTTGGTCAATTGTGTCGACAACAACGGTTGAGCAATCACACTTTGAACGCCTTATCCTTGTTTACCTTTTTCTTTCACCGCCTATTTTGCTTTGCTCGTTTTTTTCTTCTTTTTTGCCTTTCTTTTTTTGCTGCCTGAATTTAGTGAGCTCAGTGGAAAGTTGAGCCACTTGGTTCATGGTTCTTTTAATTGCGCTTTTAATTATTTAAAGAATAGTGAGCTCTCTTTTTGTTGCTATCTTAACTTTAGTCTATGGATCGAAAGCTTTTTTTTGTTTTTTACGCAACTCGCTTTTTTCTTTTTTTTTTTCTTTTTTTTTTAATTATTTTTGTTTTCTGGTGCCTCTGCTGTGTGGAGGTTGTGGCTAGGCGCGCACGTAAACGATCGCAAACACCGTCGCGTAAACGCAGTGGTGTTTGCGATCTTCACCAACTACGCTCTACTGTATTGAGCAGCTCTTAGATGCTCTATTTGGTAAGGTCTTGTTTGTCGTGGCCTTCGGTATTAGCAGAGACGTGTCGAAATTTCATTTGGAGCTTAAGTTAACATATTTTTGTATATCAAATTATCAATATATCCAACTTTGTTACGATCCCCTTTGAATTCAATTTATCCGTGTTTGACTGTATATCAAATCTAACATCAGATTTATAAAGAAAGGATTAGGCACCATAAACTGTGAAAACTTCATTTCGGTATTGTGAATAATAAGAAAAATTGTTTCCCTTGGTACACGTCCCATTAATGACGTGATGGCAAACGCCTCCTGAGCAGACTTGTCGCAGGTGCACGTGCTTTGCGTTGCTGCGGGGGGAGGGGGAAAGTGGGCGGAGACTATCAGTGCTTTCATCACCACCTTGCAGCTCGCGTTGGTGATGTTTACGACCAAAAACGTCGCTTCGGTCGGCCTTCCGCGATTGGACAGAACCTTGCTCCGACTTTCTGAGTAGGGCTAATTCTACTTTCAACGACGTGAATAAGATTAATGTCGGATCATCGATTTTGACAGCGTTGGCTTAAGAATGCTACGATGCCAAGCCTTCGCCGTCCTTTTTACACACGGCATCAAAACTGTCCTTTGTATCTCGCAATTCTGGTCTTGACGTCGCAGATGGGAAGCATAGTAATGAGCCACCGAAGCATCTCGTCGCCAATGCTGAGATCAAGTCGTCCGCCTTTTGGGCAGGAGTCGCGATGACGTCAGAACGATGCCAAGTTCTGATTGGCGCTGATTGAAAGCTTGGTGGGTTGACCTGAATGCTAGATGCCTTGAGGTCTACCCACTATTTTTTTCAATTGGCCAATAAGAGCTCAGCTTCGTTCTGACGTCATTGCAACCCCTGTGATAGAAGCAGACGAACTTGCGCTCTGCTTTGCAAACGCTGCCCATGTGACCCCGATCTAGCACTTGGAAACGCTCCGCAGTCTAGGTATGGTGCCTGGAACACGTCTCTGACTGGCGTGTTTACCGCGTCTAAAACCATAGTCCCTCGATTTCTGCCGACGGCGTCATTCAAGTGTCCTGCTGTCGCTAGCCGTGACCCCGGGGGTGTCCCAGCAGCGGCGGTGGAGGTGGCAGATGCCCATTCCACTGCAGGTCGCCTTCAGCGTGACAGTCCATCGAAGCGTCAACAGCCAGGAGTTGGGACGCCGCGACGATAGCGACACTTTTCGCCGCCATTTCTACGACCAACCGCCGGGATCGCGACGTCCGTCATGACACTCTGGCTTCTGCGACGTCATTTGTCGCCACTTAGAAACCGCTTTTGACGTATGAAAGAGATGGGACGCTAAACACATCTGTCAAAAATGCGCTTCAGGCGCCGTATTCTAGGCAGTCTAGCACGCTTCCAGTACTGACCGAGGGACTGGGATGACGTCGTCTGGTGCGATTGGTCAGCGGCGCGGCACCGGCCAATCCTGGCAGACGACGTTGTCCCGGTCCCTTGGTCACGCCGTGTGGCGTAGTGACGCCTTCGGTACTGACTGTCGTCCCTCGCAGTGTCAGCACCAGGCGGCCCTGGAGAAGGAGCAGGACCGTGCGGGGCGCAGCCAGGTGCACCTGCAGCAGCAGACAACCGGCAGCGAGGCGCGGGTGGCGAGCCTCGAGAGCCGGCTGCAGGAGCTGTCCCAGGCCGTGGGCTCGTACGACCGACTGCGCATGCAGGACCGTGCCGCCATACAGCGTCTCAAGGAGCGCCTCTCGCAGCTCGCGCAGGAGAATGCGGCTCTGGCCAGCGCCGCCGGCAACGCTGCAAGGGGCTCCGCGGCTGAGCTGCCCACTCAGGTGGGTTTGTAGTGTTTATAATGCTAATCTTATGTTTATAATGATAATCATATAATGTTTATAATGATGAAAATCTCAGAATATCTATAATTGTGTAATTTTTATGTTGATGACAATGTTACATTTAAAGTGGTGATAATCTCATATTTGTAATTATATAATGATGGTATTTTTGGGATGTTTGTAATTGTGACAATGATATGAAATATAACTGTAATGATATGTTTTTTAATGATGTTTATAATGATACGGTCATGATGATGTGTTTAAACCATAGAGTTATTATAATGTATGCTAGAGGTTCAACTGGCGCTAATGTCTATGGAACTTCCGGGATGCAAATTGATGCAGACAGCAACCAGTCCACTTTTCCAGTGCTCCTGTGCATTCCTATGGGAAAATGCGCGTGCATTCTGTCTCTTCGCTGGGAAATAACATCGATCACTTCTGTCATTTCGGTTGTATGGAATAGTATGTAACTTTAGTATCATTGTAAAAGTGTGATTGCTTTAGTTGCATTATTTTTCTTCACCAGTGAACAATGTTAAACATTGCTATATTTCAGGTCCACACCTCTGTTCCATAGAAGGTGTGTATAAAAAAGTGACGATTTCAAGCAAAATAACAATCGAAAGGAATGTAGACTGTGTTCAAGGTTCACAAGCTTTCCAGTGACTTTTATATATGGCTAATATGCCCGTCCTGTGACTATATGAAAATGACCCCGTTGTGCATCTTGGTTAAAAACATTCAAAATGTAAAAAATAAAGTATGTGGGCTATGAAAGGTGTTTCTTTTTATTATTTCTTATGTTGGGCAGCTTTCTTCAGGCACTTGTTCTCTGGCGTCTTCCTATTTTTGAACGTGCAGGTGATGTTTTGAAAGCAGAACAAGCATCTTTGCACATATTCATGAGCAGAAAGAATAAAGCACTACTTATTTATTGCAAGTCGGACTATATTACACGTCTCAATTTATTTTGATTTTCTGCATGGACAGGGAGTCGCTGATCCAGTGTTACTGCATAGTTCTTGCCATCTCTCTTGGTTTCCCAGATGTCCTTCGTTTGCTTGGCATGTGTATTCACCATGCTGAAAAGCGCCGACACCGTGCTCGCTCTAACAGTGTCTCACAGTGCACATAAATACATCTACGAAGCCGTTTTTGCACCACTTTTAATGCCATGATTTTGAAAAATGACGTAACTGACCAATTATTTAATCTACATGACTGACAACTGTTCCAGTCTGCCTATTACATTTGAATCAGTCCTGATATTTTCTCTTGTAATCAAGCGCGGGGACAAAAGGCACTCACCTTTTCCCGTAGAAATGAATTACTGGGGGTTCATTTCCGACTGGTTGCTGTCTGCTTCAATTTGCGGCAGCACACTAGCACCGTTTGAACCTCTAGCATACATTATAATAACTCTATGGTATAAACCCACAAATAACTCTGCGACCATTCAACTTATACTAATTTCGGTAACTATAATTAAGCTTTGTAAGAAAGCCACGAATTAGACAAAATGACGAAAACTGCTGAATTGTTTAGCACACACCCACTTCGCACTGCTTCAATGGCTGAGCGGTGTTGGCTAATTGCAGAAATGGGGGGCACTTGCCAACTCTGATCATAAAAGCACCCAGAATATCCCTGGATTGTTTGCACACCTCCCTCTAGAGTTTACCTGAAATGGCTTATCACTGTTCTTGCTCTCGGTAAGGATGAAATCGTTCCTGTGCAGGACTCTAATCTGGACGTGAACACCTTGCTCGAGCGTTTCGGCAAACTGCGCTCATTGCTGAAGGAGGCCAATAAGAATGCAGAGAAGCCGGTTGACCTCATTGGTGAGCTCCTGTTCTCTCTGCATTTTGAATGTCGTATTGTGAGGCTTGAACGTACCAGAAATGTGTTGTTTGTTGGTCTGCCAGCTGTTTGTCTACATCCTTTCCATAGAGCCAACGGCATAAATCAACCTTGTGTTCGGGCCGAGTTCTCACTTGTTATCGACCATTTTTGTAATGTTTGGGTAATGTTTAGGATTGCCGGAAAAGAAACACAAAAGATTTGTGTAAATGAAATGTGTGTAAATATCAAATTGTTGACTGCAAATTAAGTATGAATATTAAAAATTGGCTGTGGATAGAATTGAATTTTTTTAATTTAGTAGGAATTGAACATAGATACTTGATTATATTACAGACATTATCTTTTTGTATCGAACATACTTATGAAAAGAAAGTATTATGGCATGAGAAATATTTCACATGCATGTGTTCAGTAAAAGGTTACTGATAAAACGAGTCAGGTAACATAACATGGCAAACAAGGTAATGGCTTCCCTATTTATTTCAATATAGGAGGACATTTCTTTTTTACTGGATTGTCCTTTAAAATCAGACTTTGGACTATAATAATACCCAGTGAAGGTCGACCCACAACAGTGAGCAAAATGTCGGAGCTCATAGAATGAAATGAGACATTCTTCCATATCAGCCGTTTCTCCGCGAACACTGGTGCGAAGCAGTGAAGCTTTACACGTGCAATAGTGTCTAGTGGTGAAGCTTTCACGCGAGAACATGGACGTGAAATGGTGAACCTTGACGTGAGAAATCGTAAAATTCTGATGACATTATTCATACTTATTGAATATCCTAAAAACTCGAATACTTAAAACAGTTGAAGCATGCAGCGATTTGCATAGAAAGTACTATTTGTAAGTTATTTGAATTTTTGAATATTCACATGTCCCTTAGTGTAAATATAGCTAAGTTTCCCAACACTGCATGGCACAGTTTCTTAATAACTCACTTTTTCCATGTCTTCTGGCATTACTCACAATAACAGAAAATCGTCTGGAGTTACTTGTGATAACATCAAATCTTCACAATGTTACGGAACTGTCACTCGCGTGACAGTATAGGGCGGTTTCATGTAGCATACTCACAGCTAAAATCTCGCCGGTTGCCATGTTGACGAATCTTTTACAATATGTATTTACATGCGCGGCGCAATGTTTTCCAGTTCGATTAACTTTTTTGCGTCTGCCAGTGTAGACGGCGACGTAGAGGGGCGTCATCTGATACTCAATTTTTATACGTACCCTTCTTTATTCATACTTAAAACAAGCCGGCGATCGAGAAGTCAACTCGTTGACAGCCAGAAACCCCAGGCTCCCAACAGATGCTGCTTGTGCAACCCTGAAAGAAAATAAATCAGAATAAACTTGGATTTATTCAATTTAAATACGTCCCCAATCATACTACTTGTTGAGTTCTTTTGTCGACAAAGTCGCTCGCTATGCTTCAGCACTTCAACAACACTGACGACAATAACTAGGCGTCTCGACTTAAACAAATAGTGAAAGTGGCAGATAATGTTCATCAACACGGCAGAGCACAACTTACTGGAAGAGAAAAGGCGTTTCTTGGAACTGCTTTATATGAAATAGAAGGAGGGGGGGGGGGGGGCTTAGGTGTTGAATCAACGAGGAGCATTAACAGAACTTTGTACCTTGAATCACCGCCGCACGAGACCTGTGGTGCTCGACCTCCATCTTGTTTCTCTACCCTTTTCCTCATGTCCACGCCCGCCAAGTTGACTAAAAGGAGAGAGAGAGGCAGACTACTAATGAGCGCTTTTCTTTGTCAGCCTACTTCAGGGAGATGGCCGAGGAAGAGGTCCTGGGACTGCACGCCAAGTGCCGTGAGAGCCAGCGCCAGCTCAAGGACGAGTTTGAGCGCTACAAGGTGCATGCCCATTCGGTGCTGACGGGCGGATCGACCTCCCTGCCTCAGGTAGTTCCCTCGTCTCCTGTTTTTGATCCAGTCGGTTCTCTTTTTTAGTAAAGTCATTTACAATAAAAAGAAATTACACTAGCCTGATCATTCTGACGAAGACCGGGGAGCACAGGTTGTGTGTGAATGAACTGGGCACATGCTGTCCATGTTGCAACTTAACCCGAGACTGGGAAATGAAATAGAAACTTAATTGTAGAAGGGACAGAAACAGGGAGAAAGATACCTTCCTATAGAAGAACAGAGAAGAAGAGGCCCTGTTATTCTATGTTTAAGTCTCTATTTCCTACCCCAGTCTCGGGCTAAGTTGCAACATTGTAAACATTCAACAGCTTGCCTGTACTTTAACCGTTTTTTTCACATGCTATGTGTGCGTGACATCATGAGGTCATGTGACTGCAGCGTCGCACGCAGCCATACGCTGTGGCATGACGCCATGGTGTCATGTGATGTCGCGGGAGGCCATGATCGTCATGGAGATTTCATTATAATGTCACGTGACATCATGTTCTGTGACGTCACGGCGACGTCATAATGACGTGGTGTCACGTGATATTGCGGTGTGGCATGACTTCGCGGTGTCACATGGTGTCGTGCGACGCCACAATGGTCGTTGCGATGTCATTACAACTTCACGACATCATAATGATGTAATTAGGATGGTGTGTGACTCACGGCAATGTCATAGTGACATGGTGGCACGTAATATCACGGTGTGGCATGATGTGGTGTCACGTGATGTCATGTGATGCCACGATTGTCATGGCAACAGCACTAAGATGTCGTGTGACATCATAATAATGTAATTATGACGTTCAATGTCACGGCGACGTCATAATGACCTCATTGTGTCGAATGACGTCACAGTAGTTTGTGACATAAAACCAGTGATTCCACTCGTGTGCCATTTTGTGCCAGAAGCAATTTCCTGCGTTATCCTGATAAAGACCCGCCATATTGCTCCAAATTGCGCCAAATTGCGTGGCTGGTTGAATTGGGCGGCGACTTGCGCCAACTATCATAGCCACACGCAACCTGAGCCATGGCAAAGTGAAAGGCTGTGTTGTCAACCGGGGCAGGTGCTTCTTTCTGAGGCAAATGCAAGCCTTTTTGAGAACATGACATTGCTGGTGGGCTTAAGGGATGGGCCTTTGATAGGTTCTTTGTATTCAAAATAAACAATGCACAGGAAGTTGCAGCAGCAATTGTATAAACTCTTTTATATGGGCAATATTTGTTTAGTAATCTCTCTCACTGGATTTTTATGAAAGATGGAAGTTTTCGTAGTTAAGCCTTTGGAGACCAACATTACAAAACGGCTTTACTGTCTACAGAAAAAAAAAAAAAAAAAGAAGTCTTGGTAGAAGATTTTTAAACTTTAAAATTTTCATAACTAAATTTAGGTGATCATAAGATTTCATAACTACATGCTTAAAAGCACCTTGAAAAGTTATATTTAGGTGCTCAAAATGGTTCCAAATTTTATGTTTTTGTGCCCCAAAGTGCTCCAAAAGCCATTTTTAGGTGCTCCAAAGTTATCCAAAATTCGTTTCAGGTGCTCCAAATCACAATTTTGCAGTAGCATCACTGTAAAACACATTCTGTGTAAAAAAAAAAAATCTACCGGGCAGAGGGTGAAGAAGGCTGGAATGAAATTGAACTGTGTTTATTTGCATAGTAATATAGAAGACATTAGAAATAAAGTTAAGTGCATCTCAATCCTATGGAAAAAATCAGGAGACCAGAAGGTGCTTTTGAGCTACTCCTTCCATTGGGGCAACAAATATTTTGTGGCAACACAGGTACATCTACCTACACCAACCATTACCTTGATCAAACTGCTCTGCTAGCACAGGGAACAGGGTTTCGGATTACCGAGCGAGAGGTCGGCGGTTCGACTTCCGCCAAGGGACACGGTTTTCTGTAAAGACCACTGGCCGTGTTACCGTTATTTTCGTTACAACATTTTGTGACACTCTAGACTTAAAAGCCAGCTATATAACATATTCTGCATTAAAACACTGTATACAGTCGACTCTCGTTAATTCAAAATCTCTTAATTCAAACTTTCGGATAATTCAAACTAACGTGCAGGTCCCATCCTATGCGTCTTTATGGGAAGAAACTCCTGATAATTCAAACTTTGCTTTATTGAAACAAATTTTCGTCCCCCCTCGAGTTTGAATTAATGAGAGTCGACTGTATAATACTTCCTTCGGGACCCCGAGACATCGCACTACTAGAAACAAAAGTGCCATTTTGACGTGAAAGTCATGCACAAGAGAGAAGGGTGACTCAAGTCCCTGTCGCGAGCGTCCGTTTCTCGTGGTCCCTTCAAGTCTGGAGTCGAAGCGAGGGACTGCGTGAAATTGCAGGGCCAGGAGTGCACGGCGGAGTTGGACCGCTTGCGCCAGCAGGTGAAGGAGCTCCAGGGCCAGCTGCGATCTCAGCGCGGCCGGCACGAGGCTCAAGAGCAGGCGAGCAGGGAGACGATACTCCAGCTGCAGGTTGGTTGCCCGAACTGCTGTGGCTTTTCGCTCTCAAACAAGCGGGACTCAAAAATGAGAGGCGTGTATGCCGGAGCAGCATGCCTTGGCTCATCGGCTGCTCCGCTCGGCCTCTGCAGGCGTTCTATCTGAGCCTCGGAGCTGCCTTGCGCACTGTGCAAACATAACTTTCTGAGGGAAGCCCCCAGACACGAGGAAATCGTCAACGTATCTGAAGATCTTCACATTGTCATCGTTCGAAATGTTCAAATCAATGTTTTTTCCACAGCTGCCTAGGGAAATGTCACATAAAACAGGTACAACACTGGACACGATGCAAACGCCTTTTCTTTGCACATAAAGACTACCCTCGAATGACACAAACGTATCTTTTAAGTAAAAAAACCAGGAGCTCAAGAAAGCTATCAACATTGATGCCCGAAGAATTCTGGAAGGCGACAACTCCGTTCTGGTCTATGCATTGTCTCGACATTTCATTTAGAACATTTAGAAAGATGACAATGTGAAGTCTCGTCCTCAGCCGCTCGGTGGGGACCCCTTGCAGTGAAGTCTCTCAGTTGCTAGACGTGTTTAAATTGTGTTGCTCCGGGTTGACATTCACGCATGAGTTACAAAAAGAAAGCAAACTGCAATTCTTGGACCTCGAGCTATCGTTTTTGGGGGACCATGTTTGTTGGAAGTACGCGCCTCGATCTAGGAAGGGCATCCTTCCTTTTGATTCCGCCCACTCGAAGGTTGTGGAAAGGGGCATAGCTAGTTCGTGCCTGGGGGCTTCCCTCAGAAAGTCATGTTTGCACAGTGCGCAAGGCAGCTTCGAGGCTCAGATAGAACGCCTGCAGAGGGCTGGTTTTCCATTGAGAGCTTTGGTTGAAGTGGCAGAAAGCTTAATCAAAAAGATTAAAGGTAATCAGAAATTAAACAGCGATAGGCCGACCACGAGGCCTGTTGTCATTCCATATATGCACAATGTCACGCACAATCTAAAAAAGGTAGCCCAGTGCTACAATGTACCGGTAGTTTTTTCAGCGCCCAATAAGATGGCGCGACTTCGTCTCCAGATTAATTCCCCACAGCCATCTTCAGATTCGCGCACTACTAACCATTGAAATAAGTATGTCAAATGCGCCACTGGCGTCGTCTATGAAATCCCCATGACGTGTGGGATGACATACGTGGGTCAGACGGGCAGGTGCGTTAATGATCGCACCCGAGAGCACGCTGCCTCTACAAGAACGACGCCTTCGGGGCACCTTGCAATTCATTGCAATAGATGCTCGTGCACCCCAGCCTTCAATGACACTAAGATTTTGGCCAGGTACAAAGATAAAGTGTCGCGGGAATTACACGAGGCGTTTGAAATTAGGACCAGGGACAAGAATTGTATAAGTGACACGTCCCCATCCTTATCCGCAAATGAGTTTTAATTTTTGAAACACGGGCTGAGTGGATAAGGTAAACAGGGTTTTGTGGCTATATAAGGTGTGAATTTTCAATAAACTTCAGTTTAGAGTGCGCTTTGTCCTGTTTTCCTTCGTCTGTGTCCCTGTATTTTTTCGGCCCTTTTTTGCTTGCAATGAACCAACTGGCCCATATCTCCACTTTACTGCAGCTATCTCAAATTTAGAAATAATAAATAGCATGCTGGAAAGACTGAAGGCAAGGTACTCCGAAAATGTGTTTAGTTTGAGAAGCTTAAAAAAAAATGACCGCATCTCCACGTGGTGAATGATGTGGATGGGGGCAAAGCTCTGGTGGTGCTGATGATACTGATTTTGTTCATAGGTAGTGCTGATGGTGCTGATTTTTTAAAATTTTTATTGCTCATAGGTAGTGCTGAGTTCCGGGTTGCGTTTAGCTAATGCATGCGAAGTTTAACGCGATTATATACGCATTTGACCGCAGCGCCCTCTCCTGTATAGATGTTAAGCGGCTACATGCAACGTTTCACCCATGACATCCCCAGCTCTTGAGTTACTACCACATCTCAGAGCCCCCTACTTGTCCTGCAGTTGTGGCCAAGTGGTTAAGGCGATGGACTAGAAATCCATTGGGGTTTCCCCGCACAGGTTCAAATCCTGTCGGCTGCGCAAACATTTTTTAATTTTTTTAAGAAGACAGATGGGATGTCAATCGATGTGAGCACGGACGCCACACGGGCAAGGCTAGACCCTAAGGAGCTTCGCCCCTAGAAGACACCGGAAGCTCAAAAAACCATTGGAGCTCCCCTTGATTGGTGTTGCTGATTCCTTCCAGCACGCTCTGTCGGAGGCGGAGCTCCGACACCGGCTGGACTGCCAGCGGCTGGAGAGCGCCTGGAGCAACAAGCTGTCGGAGCTGGAATCGCTGATGCACGCACAGCGGGAGCGCTCCCTCGCCCTCGTGGAAGAAAAGGACCGCGAGCTGCAGGCGCTGAGGGCGTCTGGCGGTCGTCGTGTGTCTGATGAGTACTCCTGGCAGCTGCCGCGTAACCTGGATGGTAACCTTGAGGTGGGCATGCCCGCTTCCAAGCGAGGTTTGTCGTTATGGCAAAGCCAGTTTTGTCAAAGCAAATATTCACTGGAATCATGTTTGCTAGATCGGTACCTACCGTGTATCACAACCTATTTTTATAACATTTGTACTAAGCAGAAGGACCTTAAGGACGACTTCTAGGACAACCCCGAGGATGCCGCCTAGAGGACAATGCCTAGGACGACCTCTCGGACGACCTCAAGGACGACTTCTAGGACGACCTCGAGGATGATGCCTAGAGATGATAACAAGGGATCAGGACCTTACTATCTAATAATGCCAAGGAAGGATGACTCACGCTGGTTGACCCCTCTTTTGATTTTTATTTATTTATACTTGCCTCGACCAATGGGGAGTCGTCTGTCAACATCCGCGGACACAGTTTTTCCCAGATCCTAGTGCATAACAGCTTCGCTGTAATGATGTGGTTGCTGCCTATTGGTTCTCTGATCACATGGGGTCACAGTATCACATGACATATCTGCATGTTACATTGTTGTGCCACGGCACGTGGTCAAGTGACACAATGCCAGGTCACATGAAGTTATAGTGTCACGTGACATTTTGGTTTTACATGACGTGACCACGAGGTCAATATTACATGGCTACCTTACGCTGATGAAGGCACGTGACCACTGCCAGCCAAGTTTGGAGAAAAAAATATGGTATGTTGCCCCGTTACAGCCTTTAACTGTTACACGTCTTGCCGCGATGGACAAACTGCGATTTCACTTACGACAGGAGATAACGCTCAGATGTATGAATCTCTATGTGCCGCAATTTTTATTGAAGTGTTCATTATGTCTTTTACATCAAAGCTGTTATGCGCTGGGATCTGTGAAAAAATGCGTCCACAGATGTTGACAGAAAACTCCAGATTGGTCGTGGCAGGTGTGAATAAATAAAAAGGGGCAACCAGCATGATAATACTTAAAAAACAAGCGAGCTGGTGATGATTCATGGTAATAAAACCCGAGACTCAGGAACACAGAATTGGACGAACAAAACACAATGTTTTAAAAGATGTTGTGTTCGTCCCCTTCTGTGTTCCTGAGTCTCGGTATTTATTACCATGAACCAGCGTGAGCCAGCCTTCCTTGGCATTATTAGATAGTGAGGTCCTGATCCCTTGTTATCATCTCTAGGGATCGTCCTCGAGGTCATCCTAGAAGTCGTCCATGAGGTCGTCCGGAAGTTTATCATAGGCGTCGTCCTCGAGGTCGTCTTAGAAGTCGACTTTGAGGCCGTCTTAGAAGTCGACTTTGAGGCCGTCCGAGACATCGTCCTTGAGGTCATCCTAGAAGTTGTCCCTGAGGTCGTCTGAAAGGTCCTCTAGACGTCATCCTTTAGGCACTGCTCTCGCGGTCGTCCTAGAAGTCGTCCTTGGGGTCGTCCGGAAGTTCGTCATAGGCGTCGTCCTTGAGGTCGTCCTAGAAGTCGCCCTTGAGGCCGTCCTAGACGTCCTCCTCGAGGTCATCCTAGAAGTTGTCCTTGAGGCCGTCCGAAAGGTCCTCCTAGACGTCATCCTTTAGGCGTCACTCTCAAGGCCATCCTAGAAGTCGTCCTTGAGGTTGTCCTAGACGTCATCCTCGAGGTCGTTCTAGAAGTCGTCCTTGAAGTCGTCCTAGATATCGTCCTCTAGGCGTCGTCCTCGAGGTCGTTCTAGAAGTCGTCCTTAAGGTTGTCCTTGAGGTCATTTTAGATGTGGTCCTCTAGGCGTCATCATTGAGGTCGTCCCAGAAGTTGACCTTGAAGTCGTCCTAGACGTCAGTCACCCTTGAGGTTGTCCTAGACTTCGTCCTCTAGGCATTGTCTTAGACGTCGTAAAAATAACAGCTCTGCTGGTCCTTCATCTTCACGTGAAGTGGAAGGGCCCTACAATGTTTTTCTAACCCTTTCAGCAACACTGTTTCGACGTATTATGCTGACACTTTTTCATTAATGGACCATGTCATTGCTAATCCCAATGGAGTTACATAACTTTTAGATGGGGCTGTCCTCAGCTACTGGTACAAACAAAATCACCTCTAAATTTCTCAAACAAACTAATCAGTACTCCTCTCTTATTTTTGTGAGGATTTTTCAACAGTCACTCAACACTAGGTCACTATCTAAAAGATTGAAAAATTGGGAAAATAATTCCTTTGCAGAAGGCTAGTGACAAGCACTCCCCCTACAATTACACACCTATCTCACTAACTAGCATTCCTCGTAAAATGTTTGAGCACATCATATACATGCAGCTTATTAATTTCCTTGAATCCAACTCTTTTTTTCTCATCAGCTCAGCACGGGTTTCGAAAAATGTTGTCTTGTGAAACTTAGCTACTCTGCATTACTAATGATTTTCATGTTGCTCTCGACCAGAAATCTCAGGTGGACTGCATTTTTTTTAATTTTTCTAAAGCATTTGATAAAGTATCACATAACTTCTACTTCATAAATTAAGTCAACTTAACATCGGCCCCTACATATTTAATTGGCTGGTAGCATTCTTAACGGATTGTTCGCAGTTTGTAACCTGTAACGGTGTTTACTCTGACATCTGTTTCTTCTAGAGTACCACAAAGGTCTGTCTTAGGTCCTTTACTTTTTCTAATCTACATTAACAATCTGCCCTGTATTGTCTCCTCTTCCATAAGAAATTTTGATGACGACTGCGCTATCTAATGAATAATATCTCACGACTCTGATTCCCAACAATTACAGGACGGTTTGGACTCTACTCTTCAATGGTGTGGGCTTTGGTCAATGTAATTTAACGTAAAAAGTGTAGACTTATGCACGTAACCTGTACGGTAGCTTTTATTGCTACATATATCGTAATTTCCGGGCAACAGTCCGCGGACTATACATGTTTAAAAGTTAAAATTTCTGGCTGTGCAGACTTTCTACGCGTGCGGACTATATACAGTAATTTTGTTTATTCAAGATCGTTCATTGTGACGAGACGTGACAGAATTTGTGAATGAGAGTTTGTTAATGATGATTTATGTATAATACAAGCCTCTTTGTGAGCTAAGAAAGCAGACTTCTGTCAAGGTGTGCCATGTATGAGAAGATTTTCCTGTCACCAAAGCACCAGGTGCAGACTATAGCCTGGAAAGTACGGTAACCTTAGTGACACACCATTAGAACTTGTAGACTCTTATAAGTATCTAGGCGTCATCCTTAACTCTCACCGCTCCTGGAACCTACATGTTACTTACGTCATTAATAACGTTACCTGCATGCTTGGGTATACCTTAAACGCAACTTTTGTTTGGCCCCACCTTTGTTAAAATTATTTCTTTATAAAACATTAGTGCATTCTGAGCTTGAATATGCAGCCTCCATCTGGGATCCCGGTACGACTTGCCTTCCAGACTCTATCGAATCCATACAAAACAAATTTATATGTTTTTATTCGGAGTAATTATAACCGCACCGCAAGTGTCACATCAATGAAAAACTTTTTAGTTCTGCCAGGGTTCTCCCCATGGTGGGTGGCAATGGCTTTGCTGCCCACCGCTCACTCTGACTGACCGCCCATTGCTCTGACTGACCGCCCACCACTCGATTATGCCACAGGATGACGATGCGATTTTGCCTGCGCACATGGCTGCAGACCGTCATACTCAGCAGGCTTGCAGACTGCCACCTTATTGCGTGTTATCGCATCGCCCGCCGCCGCCGCTCTTTCAAACAAGGAGAGCGGAGCCGCAGAGCGCCGCCGGCACTCTGGGGAGGATGAGGGAGGGGGGGGGGTGCTTGGCCAAGGAGAAACACAAAACAAACAGACGCGACGGACGCACACCGCACAGCAGTTCTCTCCGCAAGCAGTTGCTCTGAAGTCAGTTATCAACCCCACCATCGTTCCTTTCAGCTCGACCAAATCACCAGAGCAAAGTGGGGGTTCCTTCGTGCCACTGTAATAAATATTTTAACTCATTTTCATCTCGAGGGTCATGAAAGAATGGAATTGGTTACCTTCATCTCTTACATCAATTGTTGATAGCACTTTGTTTCGATCAAGTGTTAGTGGCCATGCTTTTCCGACTGTTTAACTCTTGCTTTTTTATTGCTTCATGTTGTTTGTTTCCTTTGTATTTTTTACCGCTCCCCTCTGGAATGCCCTAGGGCTCCGAGGGTAAAATAACTAAACATGTTGGATCAAGGCGATTAATTTGTTTCTCCTCAGGATTCGTCCGAGAAGACTGCACAGGACGGCGATTCGGTGAACGTCGATGAGCTGCTCGACCCCCTGCTTTCTCAGCTGTTTGGCAGTGGCCCTGATCGCTCCTTGCAGGGAAGCAGGACCAAGGTTGGCTGCCAGTTGTCATCACTGTGGTGTCACTAGTATCCTCTTCTCACTTACAACTCTATTTCATAAGTTGTATGGGGTGCGGTACTAACACTCTCTCTTTTCACGGTGTAAAAACAAGGGCGGCCATAGTGGGATAGACTCTGCGTATTAGTAGGCTAATCTAGTTGGCATAAAACTACTTCATGGTCAGATTGTATGCGTGGCGGCATTTCAGAGAAAATGGCGCAACGCTTCCAACAGAGAGGTGCAGTAATTAAGAAGTCTTTTATAAATTCGCAGTTCCTTTGCCACATGTCGCATTGCACATCATTCTGACAGAAAGTGCTGGTCGTTCGAAGCCCCATTAAGTTCTGTTGCACCTTCATTGCATTTGACGGAATGTTTACTTTCTTTGTGAATGCAGCGATTAAGAAAAGTGATCTTTGAAACCTGCATTCTTGGGTGCAGGTGGAGTACCAGCTGCTGCACTCTGCCCAGGAGCTTGCTCGCAAGGATGCCCTGCTGCTGCGCGCGCTCCGAGAGAAGAGGGACGCCGAGTCAGCTTTGAGGGACCTCCAGAGGTCGGTGCTGGCCAAAGAGCAGAAGGACCAGCAGGAGAGGGAGGCCCTGAGGTCAGTTTGCTCGATCAATTCACAGTGTCTGCTAGCTTAGGAGGATATTCAGATAAATCAATATTTGGGTTGAGAAATTTGGGTGGTGAAGAAGAATTTCAGAATTTACAAGTGGGACTTGCCTACCCTGGCCTTCCTCGGTAGGGGTACTGCTGAAAAAAAATATTATGACCGTAATATCCCGAGTTATCGTACAATGCGTGATTCTGCGACGTCTACTTTGTACAGGCAACGTCTTTCTCAGTTGGAGAACTTGCCAGGGCCCGACGAAGGAGGTGGCGTGAACCTTCAGTATCTCAAGAACGTGGTCCTGCAGTACCTCCTGTGCGGCGAGGCGCCCGCGCGCAAGCACATGCTTAATGCAATCGCTGTTGGTCTTCGCTTTACACCTCAGGAGGCCCAATTGGCACGGCAGGCCTCCCAGTTCTGGTGGTGAGACCTTTGACCAGTGCTGTCTTTGGTCAGTGCTGTCTTTGGTCAGTGTTGCTTTTGGCCGGTGCTGCTTTTGGCCAGTGCTGTCTTCTGGCTCTAGTCAATGCTAGAACCATTAAATGCTTCCAGAGTGCCGAAAATGGTTCAGCTTTTTTGATCCTGAGATGCTACTAAAGAAAAGAGAAAAGGCCTGGTGCAAGCACAAGTCCCTTTGCAGTGAAATAATAATGAAACTTTCTCCCAGCATTTTCTTCTCTCGTCTGTTTCTGAACTTCAGAGGCTCTGAATGATAGAGTGTAGGCATGAGCGAATGGTGAATTCTGAGTTAGAAGTAAATTCAAAGCGAATAGAGGTTTTTGCCAAACATTTTTCAAATAAATATTGAATAATTTCTCCAAGCCTTTTATTACTCTGCACTATGTTTAAACGAAAACCCAGCTGAACTCGTCAAGCTTGTTCCCAAGCTTCCACTTGTCACTTCTAAGCTAATTTCAGTCTCTATCTATAGACTGTGGCCTCAGAAAGATCAATGCCTACATTGGGATGGCAAGTAAATGACAGATTTGACATAATAAAATTAAACTTGTAGAGAGAGTTTATAAATCTTCTTGCTGTACGCAAACATTTTTCAATCTTGAAAAGATAACCACGGATGATTGATGCAGGTTTTTAAATCATCCATCTTTGCCTAACATATTCTTGTACAGTTTAATTTTGAAAATGTTACTGGAATGTAGGCAATGACATTTTTTTTTCATTTAGTTTATATGTCAGGTTCACGTGCGCATGATGCCGGTTTGAAAATGTGCTTTTTCCTAAGCACACGACTGCAATATTTGTACTGTTTGAAGTGTTCATCGCGGCGGGCTAGCCCATTAAGCGCGCTTTTTACTGAGCACTGGTGCATTGCGGAGAAGCAACACCCTTGAAAACGCACTTCGCAAGTGTTGCTTCTCTGCAGTGCACCAGTGCTCGGTAAGAAGCGCGCTCAACGGGGCTTACCTGCCACGATCAACACTTGGAAAAATATGAATACCGCAGTTCACCTCTATGCGCATATCTAATAGCATATTATTCTAAACTACTATTCAAAAATTTGAATATTTACTCAATCCTAATAAACTGCTTTTCAATTTGTGGTTTAATATTTAGTCGCACAAGAGTGCTGTTACACAAGTCAATGCAACCACGGGGGCACGCATATCAACATGCTTATGAAAACAAAGCTCTCAGGCAATATTGCATTTTGTAAATTGCATGTAATGTCATACTTTTGTTCCTGGCATGGGAAATTGAATCTGGTACTCTGGAATCATTTGGTGGCTTTAGCCTGTGCTGCTAAAGAATGTACTGGCAAGCTGTCCTGTTGAGTCTGTTGAATTCTCGTCTCTAACTGTTGTGTTGATCTCCATGAGCGCACTAACTACCCTGTGCTATGTTCTTCCCTGGTTTTATTTCATCTGCTCCCAACAATCCACGGTTTTACTAGCAAGTACTGTAAAATCATTTTGATTTCCTGGTGCATGAATGTACATACCTGTGGCCTCTGAGGATCCCCATGCTTCAGTGTGCAAAACTTTTGTGTGTCCTATAGGTTTCAGAGATAATGTATATTGGTATGAATCCAACTAAATTAGTCTTCATTAAACTCTGCTTCGAGTTATGGTTGTTAATGTCCAGCCCTGCCTGCAAAGTCCCCGAGGAATGGGGCATTTGGAAAGTCGCCTGTTGCTGCATTTTAAATGATTTGTTTTGTTGAGCTTCATGAATTCACTTTTTTGAAGAAATATGTGCTCGAGAGTATGTATTTTGCTTTCTTTCTCTTTCTCTCCCTGCGCTTGTCTGGGGAAGAGGGAAGAAGGCTTATTTGTACAAACCTTGGGCCTAAGACAATCCACAGTGGGCACAAAAGTGATGCTTGATAGCTTAGTCTAGGTCATTGCAGCTCAGTATGGCCAACAGTACATATAGCTTCATTGCCTCAGAAATGGTAAGGCATGGCTGGATATCTGGTTTTTCGGACCAGTAATTCTGTACATGGTGGATTGTACCGGTGCAGCGGTTGTATCAGGTTTGTAACACCATTTTTTTACGTATTCACAAAGTGTTTATTTCAAAGTGGAGCAAGTGCTCAAAGGTAATCGTTGCTTACTATGACTAACGTTCTCATCGGCCGCGTCTGCAATGGTTTATGAAGTCACCAACTACTGAAGCTTTGCTTTCCAGCGCTGCAGCCGTGTTGCTTCCCTGCGGGGGAAGCCCTCTCAACAGTGTTTTGGTGTCCGTCTCTCCACAAGCTTTGTAATTTGCTCGAAACTACCAGATTCAAAAACACTGTTATTAGAACATACTTGTGCCTTCTCTCCAAATGGCATACAAAGCAAGCCACAGAGTCTTGCTTTGCACATTCCACTTCTCTGGTTGTCACTGTTTCTGACGGCTTTTACAATTGCAGCTAGAGCCACTAAAAAGGCTACGCTTAGGGTAGCGGCACTCAGTTCCCCAAATTTCTCGTCAGCGCCGCTATTTTGGTGCAGACACCGTTGGCAATTTTTACGACTTGGAAATGCAACTTCCTCGGCTTCGGGGTCGGCAAAAACACATCCAGAGGATGGAAAAGTTTCCTGCGACTTCCGGTAACTGCTAAGGATTTCAAAAATCAAGACTGACTAAGTTGGTGTTACTCTGTAGTGTAGCTTGCTTAGTGGTTAGAGTTGCTGCGTTATGGGCAAAAATGCTGCATTTTGTGAGTCGTCATCCATTTGTGAATGACCACGTTGACATTTGAGTCCCGGTGCGCGTGCTTCAGGTTTGCACAGTGCATCTCGGCAGGCTGTCACCTGCATGTATCCTGACTGCAAAGGGAACAAGGCATACTATATAAACATTTTATTTTGTACTTTACAATTAGCAGGTCTGGAATGGAAACATTTCCAATGAGAATTGTATATTTGTGTAATAAAGAAAAACATTGGACAATAAATGTGTACCGAGTAAAACTGTGTGTAGACTGCATCTGGACCATCTCCTCAATCTGATCTACCTAACCCAATACTAAAAACAAGAAAAGCATCCACTGGGAGCTCTGAACGGAATCTTCACCAAAACAAACTGGCCGTCTTTTCACAGGTCACTTCTCGCCTCTTGTCTCGGTCACACTTGGCAAACTTGGTTTTCGATGCTAGAAAACCTAGAGAGCCGCAGTTGCAGACTTAGAAAAAGCGCCGGAGGTGATCGGCAGGTGCACTATCCCAAAATCCTGGCACCAGCGATCTCTGCACCGGTGGATTATAGGCGAATTCCATCAAAATACTTCATAAGCACCAGCCCTATAGAACTACTTTTTTTTTTTTTTTTGCCTCCAAATTAAAGCTTTTCTTGGGGTAAAGCTTAACCTATTATTCCATGGGATTTTAACCGAATGGATCTCGCTATTTTTCCGACTACTTTTGGCACCTTCTTTTTGAGCGAGTGCCCGTAAGCGTAGACACCGTTTCTGTTTGAGCTCGAAACCCTAACCAGCAGAGTTTAGGTCACCAATTAACGAAGGAACCTTTTACACATAACAAAAAAAGCAGTCGTTGACCGTTCCGCAAACAGTCTCCTACTCTTGGAAAAAGCCGTTTTGCCGTAGCTTTCAGACATTGCGAGAAAAACTTCTAACTGACCCCTCCTATAAAAGAAAAATTTTCGAAAAAGTAGGAACGAAACTCGAAGCCTTGTTATCCATTTCGCCTTATGAAGAACCACAGAAATGCAGAGGATGCACAGCGCCATTCAAGCCCTCGGAAAAAGTGCAGCGACACAGTTGCACGGCATTCTCGTGTCACTCGATTTGCTGGAATGGCTCGCAGCATCCGCTGTGGTCCAGTGCAACACAAAACGGAGTACAGGTGGCAGCTGCCACGGCGAGTGGACGCGGCGTCGGCTCTTTCGAGTCGACGAGCGAATCAGGAAGGGGCAAAGAATCCGGCCGGCGGGTGTGTCTCCAGAGGTTTTTGCATGTCCAAGGGGAACACGCCGAAAAACTTGAAGCGCTCGCCCATCTTCTCGGGGTTGGTGAGCATGTCGTAGCCGGAAAGCAGCTCCTGACGGAGGTTGGCGTCCTGGCAGTTGTCCAGCAACTTCTGAAAAGTTTCAACAGAGTAACTCACCATTATAACTAAATATAAAAGATTTAGTAACTAAGCATTATGGCTAAATATAAAAGCTTTACGAATTGTATTCTTTTCCTAGAGATGTCCGACGTGGGCATATTAGGCGTTTGGCACGTTCCGAAAGATGTAGAATGACGAGAAAGATGTTTCCTCGCGCAGTGACGCATGCATCTCTCTAAGTGTCTGAAAAGGAGCAGGCACTGGACTTTGGCAGAAAAGGGGTTAGCAAGGCATTTTAGCGTGGCATTGCCGCCAGACTACTAACCACTACCGCAGTTATTTTCCCGGCAGCGCCATATAACACGTCAGTTGGCTAAAGTCACATTCTCTTTGCCATTTTGTAATGGCAAAGAGAATGTGACGGTAATGTTATGCAAAATTCTACAATGCCTCCATTTCCGAGAGTGACAATAACCTGTTTTGGTTACATCGCATTGCTATAAATGAGGGAGTTATGCCAGGACATGGGAGGAGCTCAAGCATGTAGAGTGGGGTCCATCTTCCAGAGCTATGAGCTTAAGCTAAGGACTGCCAGCTTGTGCTCGGTGCTCTTGTGGAAGGCTCGAGGCAATACAGATCGAGGCTCTTTACGAAACACAGAGTGCCTAGTCAAGTGCCAACAGTGTGCAACTTGAGATGCATCTCGGGACAATAAAACTGACAGCACAGTGCACCCTGTTTTTACATTCGCCGATGTGAAAGGAAAAATAATGCGAGAGAAAATAAGCGTGAGACTGAGTACAACTCTGGTCCCTGAAAGAACCTAATTTATGCTCATCAAGTTTCCTCTACCGAGTGAACGGAGCCACACCTCATCTAAAATCCAATTAACTCGATTACAGGTTTTACTGATACAACATGCAATTCTGTGCCAAATCAAAAGAGGCACGGCAAAGTGAGAGCCAAATCAGTGATGTAGCAACTTCACGCAACCACGGCAAAGTGACATGCTTTACCTGAAGGCGTATGTTGATGCCCATGTTCTTGAGAAACTGTTCTTGCGTCACGGGGCCAAACGTCAGCGCTATTAGAAAAGAAACACAGTCGACTCTGTCGGTTCACCGATATCGAACAGGATGTGGCCACACGTCGAAATGGGCCCTGTTAGCGGAGACGAGCGTTCCTCGCAGCATTGAACAGTGGGCGAAAGCGGGAAGCTCGCGCTGGAAGGCAGGACAACTGAAACAGCTCCCTGCATTCCTCATTCAATCGGTGACTACAACTGACGAAACAGAGCTGAATTACTGTCTTTTCTTTGTTTTAGATGCCTGCAACAGCTGTTTTGTCATTGCACAGTGGTAAGTATAACGAGCCACGTGGTCGTCTTAACGGAAGCTGCTCTACCAAACAGGGCGATGAAATTTGGACCGACTTTAAACCTCATGGCCGGTTGCTTTCAGTCAGATATTGCGGGCCGATAAAAGACAACAGCACCCATTAAAAAAAGTGAAAGCCGTTTACAAATCCCTGTAACGCCGAATTGGAGCGCAGCTCTTGAGGAGGAGGAGTGAAGGGTACTGAGGGGAGGGTAGACCCCTCCTCCTCCCCTCATTCTTTAATATGCTCCGGGGGGGGGCGGTCACGTGACCTCGGGGGGGGGGGGGGGGGGGTGTCACGTGACTTCGGGGAGGGGGGTCACGTGACCTCGGGGGGTCACGTGACCTCAGAGGGGTCACGTGACCTCAGAGGGGTCACGTGACCTGGGGGTCACGTGGGGGTCACCTTGGGGTCACGTGACCTTGAGATGACCTTGGGAGGGGTCACGTGACCTTGGGGGTCACGTGACCTTGGGGAGGAGACCACGTGACCTCGGGGGTCACGTGACTTGGGGGTCACGTGACCTTCCAAGGGTCACGTGGGGTCTTGGGGTCACGTGACCTTGAGATGACCTTGGGAGGGGTCACGTGACCTCGAGGGGTCACGTGACCTTGGGAGTCACGTGGGGTCACGTGACCTTGAGATGACCTTGGGAGGGGTCACGTGACCTGGAGGGGTCACGTGACCTTGGGGGTCACGTGACCTTGGGATGACCTTGGTTACGCCGACGGCGACGGCGACGGCGACGCCGCTCAAGCCGGGAACGGGCCCCTAAGAGCTGCGCTCTAAAAACAAAAAAAGACAATGTCGACTTGTTCCTACCAAGTGCTTCAGATTACGGTGCTTTGAAGTATTGTGGAGGAGCTATAACCGCCTTGCCCATAGCGGTTAAGCCGAGAACTGCGCCCATGGGGACAGCAACATAATTATTATAAATTATTTTTGTGCATTTCTGACGCAACGCTTGGCTGATGTGGTCAGTGCTGTGTCGGTGTTCAGCTGGGGATCATGTTCAATCAGAGAATCGCCAAGTGAGTACAAGTACCATGCCGCACTTTTGTCTAATCTGCCTGCCCTCCCCCCCCCGCACCTGATTGTGATAGATGATGTAAAAAAAACACCAAGCTCCGAGGAAAAAAAATAAAAGCCGGACAAGGCGGCATTTATGTTTCAACCTACTCGCCAATAGTAAAGCCACTGTAAACAAATGTTGTGAAACGTGAAATCGTGGCAATGAAGAACTGAGGTTTTTTTACCTTTCCCGGCAAGGATCCGTTTGAGGTACGAGAAGTCCACGTCGGCTGTCAGGTCCGCAGTGCCCGGTTCGGAAAGGACCGGATGGAGGGTGTGGTTCTTGAATGCCTTTGAGAAGAAGTGCAGCAGCATGTTAGGCATCAATCTCCCATTAGCACTCCTTACATTTCCAGATAATAAAAACAGCTATCCTAATGACCTCATTCGGGTTATTATACAAGTTATTTGCTTTTAATTAAAGCATTTTTTTGTAAAAAAAAAACAAAAAAAAAATCATGAATGTTACACAAATTGTATCCTTCACTACGTGTTTATTGGGCTTGGCGGATGTTAGAGGGGGGATAAACTGTCAAAATCACTGGGGTAACGAGCCGACATCTTAATTATCCATTTAATTATTTCATTATTGAGTCGTGTTGCAATTCCAGTTTTGAGGCAGTTGTTATGGAGGCTAAACAAATTTAAACACTCTGCGAAAAGATAACAGGCTTCGAGATAGCCATTTATAAGTTTTTGCGTTTATGTTTGCCCGATTTCAAAACTGGATGCGGCCGTGCCACAAGCCTTGCCTGCAAAGATGTGTGGAGAAGTGATGTACATAGCTGTTTCGGGCACCTCGTCATTACCTTGGCAGCGTGCCACTGGTGCATCCGCCAAGACACACTGCCGAGGTGACAACGAGGTGTCCATTGCAAGTATGCCACCCTTCTTGCGTCATTTTGGGCAGACAAAAACAAACTACCATAGACGTTGTAATGGTTGCAGACTTGATATTTCACAAGATTTACGTTTTGCCATCAGGACTAAGCAGCTACTAGGTCACTGGATCCCATGCATCACCGATATATTGGCAAGATAAATTTTCCCCACCGCCAGACGCTGCATACCCGGAATGTGTCCGTCTTGGTTCCATCATGTCCGTAGTCGACAACCAATCCGCAGCCGCCGTGTTCGTGCATCCGGCTTGCCAGTTCCTGCGCAATGACGCCGGCTTCCGGGCACACTTCGACGTGGTCTCGCTTCTCACCAACAACCTGAATGGAAGGATTTTTATTTTTTTACAGCGGAGCTGTTAAGGGCTAGTTTCCCCAGGATCGTGTCCGGTACCAAACAAATGTTGACACCCGTGGTCGACACGACACTCTGGTTGCCGCCGTCGCTCATAAATGGCGGTAGCTGTCCAGAGCGTTGTGTTTGCCGGTTGTCTGCTTGCCACCGTCGCTCATAGATCACGGCAACCTTTCCAGCCTCTGCAACCAGACAACTGGTTGCTGCCGTCGCTCATAGATGGCGGCAACATTTCTTCGGAGAAAGAGCGGGAACAGAACGAGCGGCGATGTGCGCAGTAGTGCGAATGGTTCCGCAACCGCCGTGAGGCCGCTATCATCTAATGTTTCACTGCATCGAACGCTTCAGATTTCCTTGCAAAAGAAGAGCAGATCGCTCGCCTGGAAGGCCACCACCAAGAACAGAAGCTACAGCTCCGCTGCTCTTCCTCCTTCACAAGAGTGGAAAGGCTGAATGTTTTTTTTATTAGTTTTACACAACTTTATATGTTACATGGCACAAGTCCGTCAATTTGTTCTTTCAACCCTGTGAATATGGCAGACAAGAGAAAAGTTTGAGTGTTTTTGGTTTGACGAGCAAGCTCTTGCTCTCTTGCTATGCAGGGCAACGGCCAAAAGGTTGAGACGCATAAGAGAGTTAAGCATTTACTCCTAATTACAGGTGCTTGACTGGACAATGAATTTAAGTCTTTGGTACCTTTTATAACAAGGATTAATGATGTCACAAAACACATGGCAGTAACAAGGCCTTTGGCTACAAACTGTTTGTAATGATGCTTTTCACAAGTTCAACCTCTCAAAGGAATATTATTTGCAGTTACATGCATTGCATCTCCTACTGGCCCATCCATCCCAATAGCAAAATTTTAACTCCTACACGTTTCAAAAAGCAGCCCTTCTGAAACATCTGTGAAAACCAGCAAATATAAAGTGTATAAAAAGTCTACAGAGTGTTTCCCCATGCCTGCACCATCACTGCGGAAGCCAAACGCAGAAAAACTACACTTAAAATTTCATGTCCCCTTTACTAATTTAGATAAAAGGTCAAGTACTAAAGGGGGAGTCATATGACTACCGTAAAATACCGGGCAAGCGCCCACTCAAACTTTGGAGATAATCGCCAAAAAATGGTGGATGGGCGCTTGTCCGGTCATCAATTTTACATATAAATGTACTGTACGTATTTCCTCAGATCTCACAAATTTGGTAATGGGCGCTTAATGTGGAATGGGCGGATGCGCGGTATTTTACGGTAGCTCAAACAGGCACAAAACATTGAAACTATACCGAACACACAGAAACCTACATACTGGCTAAGTATCTGTGTCTAAAAGTCCGGTGTCTGCCAAATGCCAGAGTTCCACGTTCTAACACATTCTACGGGTGCTGTGGAGACAAAGGCGGCTTTTGTCTCCACTGCACCATTCGACCGCGTTCGACTGCGAACATGAAATGCCGGATGCCGGCGTTCTGCGTTCTAATGCGTTTGACGAGTGCAGTGGAGAAAAAGGCAGCTAGCTTTGCTCTACCCTCCAATCGTTCTAACCAGAGCTCGGTGTTCTGACGTCCCCGCGCACTCTCTTCTCCTCCTCAACCCCCAGTTTCTACCTGTGTACCAGGGAAACTCAAAAAGAGGCGGAGGGAGGGGCTGTGTGTGGGGTGGACTGCACGGGCTTACACACGTCTGCAAAGAAGCTGGCCGGGGTGGGGCCGCGGGAGAGCACGTAGCGCAGGTGGTGGGGTCCCGGACCGTCGTCGAGGTCGATGAACACCTCCCGCCAACCCTCGGGGGTCCGCTGGAACTTGTGCACGGGCAGCGCGTCCAGAAACTCGTGGGCCACGAAGCAGGAGAAGCCCCGCGGCACGTCGTGCAGGTGCCGGTACCAGCCCACGGGCACCCCGTGCTTGGTGATGCTCTGCTTGTATGTCACCTGCAGAAAACGTAATGAGCTTCCGTTATGACAAACTTTTGTTATAGCGAGCTTCTGTTATGAAACAACTTCTGTTGTAACGATCCCTTGTTATAACAAGCCTCTCTTGTAACAAGGCTCGGTTATAACGAGTTTCTGTTAACACGTCGGTTTTAACAAACTTCTTTTAGAGCAATCTTCTCTTGACTTAATACAGAAAGAATAAACAGAAAGGACGGACAAGGACGGACATCTTTCGACTTTCAACAACATGTAGCGTTCTTTATTAGAAGTTGGCATCGAGATCGGTGAACCTAGAGAAAAAGGGGGGAAGGAAAGGACAAGTGACAGAAGGGAGGGAGAGGGAAGAGGGAAAGGAGTAAAAGGGGGGAAGGAAAGAGAAAGCGAAACAAGGGAGGGAGAGGGGGAGAGAGAATCGGGGCAGCGGAGGAGCGAGGAATTGTTAGCCCAGTGGGACAAGAAGGGGGGTCGGCATGAGAAAGTCGGGAAGTTGTTAGCCCGTTAAGATTAGGAGGAGGGGAAGGAGAAGAGGGGTCATCTCGAGACACAGAGCGGCGCCGCATCACCGCACTGTCAGGGAGCAAGGGCCCCCCGGGCCCGCGTCAAGGCCGCAAGTTGGGGGCGCAAATAAGCTGCCTCCCTCTCGGAAAGGACAAGCGAGGGAGACGAAATGTTTTGAGATGCCTGCTGCATGGCGTAAGCTTCAATTATCTCGCATCCGTAGCGGTCTCTATGTGAGCCCAGGATCCGCGCGTTGTGAAACCGGGGCTCACACGAAGAACATGCGCCTCTATGGCGGAGAAAGGGATGCTGGGACTCAATGTCCCCTTTTTTTATTTCCCTGTCGTGCTCGCCCAGCCTGTCATTCACGCAGCGGCCCGTTTGACCGATATACTCGGCGCCGCACGACAGGGGAATGGAGTACACGCGTCCAGTTGCGCAGGAAATGAAGGGTGTTTTGTGTTTCTTTGCACACCCTGCTCGTGAACGGCGCTGGGGGTCGTTCACGAGGCGGCACATGGAGCCTAATCGGAACCGGCATGATAAGGCCACATCGACATCATACCGGCGGGCCGCTGCCCTCAGGCGATGTGATGTGCTGTGGTGGTAAGGTATTACCGCGAAACTTTTTTGGTCGAGGCGGTCTGGCGCGGTCGGGGTGAGGCTGGGAGATTAGAGACTTTAGGGATGTCACAAGGAGGTCGCGTGGATAGCCCGCCTTTCGGAGGCGACAGATTTGGGCGGTTAAGCTGGTTTGAGAAAAGTGGGAGCAAGATTTGGTACGGGATGAGGAAAGGAGGGATCTTACAATTCCGGACTTCACAGTTTTTGAGTGGTTGCTTCCGAACGGTAGAACGGGCTTCTTGGTCCGCTGCTGGAAACCCCAGCAGAGTCCATTGGGATTGGTGTGCAGGCGCAGATCGAGGAACTGCAATTCCCCGTCCGAAGGGTCCTCACTGGTGAACTTGAGGCCTTGAGAGTGGGTTGAGAAAACCCGCTCGATGGAGGCGGAAGTGGTGCCGGCTGTGTGGAGTACGAGGTAGTCGTCAACGAACCGAAATACCTTGGTTCCCGGCGCCTCAACGCCAAGCTCCCTCTCCACAGCCAAGTCCACCGATGACATGTAGAATTCGCTTAGAACAGGGGCCAAGCAGGAACCGATGCAAACGCCTGACTTCTGCCTGTAGATGTTCCCTTGGTGTTCCACAAGGGTGGATCTTAGGTATACGTCGACGAGCTGTAGGAACGCCTCGAGTGTGATGCCAGTTGAGTTTTGGAACTTGGCCACTCCGGATTGCGTGACAGCCCGTTCAATGCAATCCATCAGAACCACCACGTCGAGGCTGTAAAACATGTCGGTGACATCGAGGGAAAACATGGCGACGTCCGGCCCAGCTGAGTGCAGTTCCCGGAGATATGGCAGAACCTCGAGGGAACATCCGACCCGAAAAGGCTGATCTAGAGGGACAGCTGTCAAATGTTTCTGAAGGAAGAGAGCCAGGTGCCTCTGCCAGGGTATTTCGGTTCGTTGACGACTACCTCGTACTCCACACAGCCGGCACCACTTCCGCCTCCATCGAGCGGGTTTTCTCAACCCACTCTCAAGGCCTCAAGTTCACCAGTGAGGACCCTTCGGACGGGGAATTGCAGTTCCTCGATCTGCGCCTGCACACCAATCCCAATGGACTCTGCTGGGGTTTCCAGCAGCGGACCAAGAAGCCCGTTCTACCGTTCGGAAGCAACCACTCAAAAACTGTGAAGTCCGGAATTGTAAGATCCCTCCTTTCCTCATTCCGTACCAAATCTTGCTCCCACTTTTCTCAAACCAGCTTAACCGCCCAAATCTGTCGCCTCCGAAAGGCGGGCTATCCACGCGACCTCCTTGTGACATCCCTAAAGTCTCTAATCTCCCAGCCTCACCCCGACCGCGCCAGACCGCCTCGACCAAAAAAGTTCGCGGTAATACCTTACCACCACAGCACATCACATCGCCTGTATGATGTCGATGTGGCCTTATCATGCCGGTTCCGATTAGGCTCCATGTGCCGCCTCGTGAACGACCCCCAGCGCCGTTCACGAGCAGGGTGTGCAAAGAAACACAAAACACCCTTCATTTCCTGCGCAACTGGACGCGTGTACTCCATTCCCCTGTCGTGCGGCGCCGAGTATATCGGTCAAACGGGCCGCTGCGTGAATGACAGGCTGGGCGAGCACGACAGGGAAATAAAAAAAGGGGACATTGAGTCCCAGCATCCCTTTCTCCGCCATAGAGGCGCATGTTCTTCGTGTGAGCCCCGGTTTCACAACGCGCGGATCCTGGGCTCACATAGAGACCGCTACGGACGCGAGATAATTGAAGCTTACGCCATGCAGCAGGCATCTCAAAACATTTCGTCTCCCTCGCTTGTCCTTTCCGAGAGGGAGGCGGCTTATTTGCGCCCCCAACTTGCGGCCTTGACGCGGGCCCGGGGGGCCCTTGCTCCCTGACAGTGCGGTGATGCGGCGCCGCTCTGTGTCTCGAGATGACCCCTCTTCTCCTTCCCCTCCTCCTCATCTTAACGGGCTAACAACTTCCCGACTTTCTCATGCCGACCCCCCTTCTTGTCCCACTGGGCTAACAATTCCTCGCTCCTCCGCTGCCCCGATTCTCTCTCCCCCTCTCCCTCCCTTGTTTCGCTTTCTCTTTCCTTCCCCCCTTTTACTCCTTTCCCTCTTCCCTCTCCCTCCCTTCTGTCACTTGTCCTTTCCTTCCCCCCTTTTTCTCTAGGTTCACCGATCTCGATGCCAACTTCTAATAAAGAACGCTACATGTTGTTGAAAGTCGAAAGATGTCCGTCCTTGTCCGTCCTTTCTGTTTATTCTTTCTGTATTAAGTCATCAATACCAACGCGCTCACGTTTAACTATATCTTACTTTTGAGAGCCATGTGTTCGTCACGTCCAGAAGTGCCAGGCGTCGGGCCCTCGGACTTTGATCCTGTCACCTTCCTTCAAGCTTCATTATTCGTGTCAAAACTGTTCCTCCTTCGCCTACGCCTGAGGACTCTCGGTCTCTGCCTTCGCAAGAACATCACCCACCCTGCGATACATCAGGTATTTGGCTTCTCCTCGTCGCGTTGGGCGGCGAACTACAGAGTGATGCAGATTGCAAGACAGGAGGTGTCGCAGGAGATCCTGGTGATGCAGAGGTCACTCCCATGTCTCATGACGTCTATTTTCGGTACTAACTTCGCACTCATCCCTCCTATGTCTTCCTCATCAAGTCTGCCCACCTCCTCCTGGAGTCTTCTTGGAAGCTTATCATCTCCTCCGCAACTGCAGAAAAGCGAGTTAATCAGAGCCCTGCGCTGGAACCTCCTCTCAACCTCTCCGACACCACCCTTTCGGCACATGCTGAGTCAGTTCTCTCAAGAGGCCCGAAGTTTGCCCCAGCGTATGAACCGTCGCGAATCGACCAGCTGGCTGCTGTTCACCAAGTCGCCTCAAAAATTCCTGAACCTGAACGACAGGATTTCCTCGCGACGGGTTTGCGGGTGGTGTGCAGATACGGGAGGGCTCCACCTTCAAAACTGGACTTTTTGGAGGTGGTTGACGAGCTCAGGCGCTCAGAGCTGAAACTCCTGGAGGCTGACAAGACGGGTGTGTTCGTTGTTATGACCGCCGGGGACTTCAACAACAGACTGGGTGCAGTTCTCGACAAAAACTTCACGAAAATGAAGTCCAGACCATCGGGGTCTCTCCGCACAGAGGCTAAAACTATCTGCAAAGCCAACGAGCTCACCTTTCTTCTCAACAAACTGTCAAAACCATCGGATCAGTACCTGCGGGTTTTCTTCACAGCAAAAACACACAAACAGAACACCCCTTTCAGAGGCATTGTATCCGAGAGCGGCTGCTGGCAGAGGCACCTGGCTCTCTTCCTTCAGAAACATTTGACAGCTGTCCCTCTAGATCAGCCTTTTCGGGTCGGATGTTCCCTCGAGGTTCTGCCATATCTCCGGGAACTGCACTCAGCTGGGCCGGACGTCGCCATGTTTTCCCTCGATGTCACCGACATGTTTTACAGCCTCGACGTGGTGGTTCTGATGGATTGCATTGAATGGGCTGTCACGCAATCCGGAGTGGCCAAGTTCCAAAACTCAACTGGCATCACACTCGAGGCGTTCCTACAGCTCGTCGACGTATACCTAAGATCCACCCTTGTGGAACACCAAGGGAACATCTACAGGCAGAAGTCAGGCGTTTGCATCGGTTCCTGCTTGGCCCCTGTTCTAAGCGAATTCTACATGTCATCGGTGGACTTGGCTGTGGAGAGGGAGCTTGGCGTTGAGGCGCCGGGAACCAAGGTATTTCGGTTCGTTGACGACTACCTCGTACTCCACACAGCCGGCACCACTTCCGCCTCCATCGAGCGGGTTTTCTCAACCCACTCTCAAGGCCTCAAGTTCACCAGTGAGGACCCTTCGGACGGGGAATTGCAGTTCCTCGATCTGCGCCTGCACACCAATCCCAATGGACTCTGCTGGGGTTTTCAGCAGCGGACCAAGAAGCCCGTTCTACCGTTCGGAAGCAACCACTCAAAAACTGTGAAGTCCGGAATTGTAAGATCCCTCCTTTCCTCATCCCGTACCAAATCTTGCTCCCACTTTTCTCAAACCAGCTTAACCGCCCAAATCTGTCGCCTCCGAAAGGCGGGCTATCCACGCGACCTCCTTGTGACATCCCTAAAGTCTCTAATCTCCCAGCCTCACCCCGACCGCGCCAGACCGCCTCGACCAAAAAAGTTCGCGGTAATACCTTACCACCACAGCACATCACATCGCCTGAGGGCAGCGGCCCGCCGGTATGATGTCGATGTGGCCTTATCATGCCGGTTCCGATTAGGCTCCATGTGCCGCCTCGTGAACGACCCCCAGCGCCGTTCACGAGCAGGGTGTGCAAAGAAACACAAAACACCCTTCATTTCCTGCGCAACTGGACGCGTGTACTCCATTTTCCTGTCGTGCGGCGCCGAGTATATTGGTCAAACGGGCCGCTGCGTGAATGACAGGCTGGGCGAGCACGACAGGGAAATAAAAAAAGGGGACATTGAGTCCCAGCATCCCTTTCTCCGCCATAGAGGCGCATGTTCTTCGTGTGAGCCCCGGTTTCACAACGCGCGGATCCTGGGCTCACATAGAGACCGCTACGGATGCGAGATAATTGAAGCTTACGCCATGCAGCAGGCATCTCAAAACATTTCGTCTCCCTCGCTTGTCCTTTCCGAGAGGGAGGCAGCTTATTTGCGCCCCCAACTTGCGGCCTTGACGCGGGCCCGGGGGGCCCTTGCTCCCTGACAGTGCGGTGATGCGGCGCCGCTCTGTGTCTCGAGATGACCCCTCTTCTCCTTCCCCTCCTCCTAATCTTAACGGGCTAACAACTTCCCGACTTTCTCATGCCGACCCCCCTTCTTGTCCCACTGGGCTAACAATTCCTCGCTCCTCCGCTGCCCCGATTCTCTCTCCCCCTCTCCCTCCCTTGTTTCGCTTTCTCTTTCCTTCCCCCCTTTTACTCCTTTCCCTCTTCCCTCTCCCTCCCTTCTGTCACTTGTCCTTTCCTTCCCCCCTTTTTCTCTAGGTTCACCGATCTCGATGCCAACTTCTAATAAAGAACGCTACATGTTGTTGAAAGTCGAAAGATGTCCGTCCTTGTCCGTCCTTTCTGTTTATTCTTTCTGTATTAAGTCATCAATACCAACGCGCTCACGTTTAACTAAATCTTCTCTTGCAACACACTTATCTTACAAAACACTTACCTTACAACACACTTCTCTTATAACAAACTCTTATAAAAAAATCTTTGCTTACAAAGACCTTCAATTGTAAAAAGAACCTCGCTTATAAAAAAAAAATTATAAAAAAAACTTTTTCTATGAGGAAAGTTCCGTATTCTTGGATAAATCCGAAAAAACCCCGAAAAACACTTGCCGGTAAAATTTTGGTCAATTAGGATTTATCTGATAAACTGAGAATTTTGATGTTCCAATGTTCCAATCCAAAGCTATGGACCATAGAGATTGCTTAAAATGGGGAAGAGGGGCAGTTGAAACTTCGTTATTACATCTTTTACCACTCCACCTCGCACGGCCACATGGTACGTTGATGGAATACGATGGAATGAACTCCCAGCGACTACCTCCAGGCATTTATTGATTTAATGTATTGACATTAATCGAAGCAACACTTGTGCGCGGTCGTAGGACATAATAATGGCAATGGCACCAACGCCAAATCCAGCTGAATACATTAATTGATAAAAGTGCATTTTAATTTTTTTTATCTAGCATAAGTTTATACCTGGATATTATTTATTTACTTATGTATATTTAATTCCCAATTCTTGAAAATTCTCCGAATTTCGAAAAATTGGAAATAAAAAAAAAAAAAAAAAAAAAAAAAACGCTGATAAAACTGAATTTTTGGCAAAAAATAAAGTGTGAAAAACACGAAACCCTACTTATAAGAAACTTCTCTTATAAAAATAATCTCTGTTAGACATTTTCTTTTTTCTCCCGGCATCAAGACAGTGGACGGAAATCTTGACGGTCTCAACAGTCCAGTTCCAAGCAGACGCTATGGAATCCAGTACTCTGGGAACATTTAATGACTCCAGCCTCGACGCCAACTTGATGCACTCTCAGCGGGTGACCGAAATAAAAAAAAATGAAAGACATTTACAATACTCTGTAATGCGAAATTAGAGCGTAGCTCTTGAGAAGGGGGGGAGGGCATGCCCCTCCTTTCCCTCTCCTTTCCTCCTACCGTTAACTTTCTCCGCTAAATTTTCCTCTAAATTTAGCAAAACTTTAGCAGGAAATTTAGCGAAAATTTTCCTGCTAAATTTAACGGGTTAAGTTTCCCCGCTAAATTTAGCAAGAAAATTTATGTCGCGTGACCTCGACACCAATTCAATTTCCTGCTAAATTTAGCGGGGCGGTTACGACGACGGCGATGCCGCGAAATGCGGAAACAGGCGCCTAAGAGCTGCGCTCTAAAAAAGAGAAGACCTACCTCCTCGGAGTCGCTCTTGACGGGCAGGCGCAGGGTGACCGGGCTGTGGTCGAGGACGTCCTTGACCACACTGACCGTGCCGCACAGCTTGAGCTCCTGCACCTGGCTCAGATGGGGGCTGATCTCCACCAAGTGCAGAGACACCACCTCCATGGCATCGCTGTACTTGGAGAACACCTGCAAGAGTAGGCGATGTAGTTTTTCTTTCTTCTCTCTCCTCCCATTAGATCCTGCATTGATTTGGGCATAAGTAAGATTCCGTGGTTTTGAAGTTTATTTTTCATCAAATTCTGAGGGTGTTTCTTCGAGCTTTTATTCTGAGCTTAATTCTGAGTTTAATTTTGCAGTGTTTTCTATTTTTCAGAAAATAAAAATATATAATATCCTGGTGTAAACATGTGCTAGATTCAATGCTTGTATTAAACAATATTTCTCTAGTTGGATTTGCCACTGCTGCCCTTGCCACTGGCAATACTAATCTGTCCCGCGACAAAATTTTAAAGCAAGTGTTGCTTTGATAAATGTTGATACCTTAAAATTCCTAACCTAGAGGTAGTTGCTTGAAAGCCAGTTTTTATTTTGTCCTAGTCCATCACCTCACCCCCCCACAGCTGCGCGAGGTAAAGTTGTAAAGGGTGTAATATAGAAGCTCCAACAGAACCCCCCCCCTCCCTTCCCCCTTCTTTGAAATACTTATGATTCACTGTTACAAAAACATAACCCTTCCTTCCTTTAAGAAGCACAAGTAGCTTGGCCCGAACTAAAAACGGAAACAGTTGCTTTTCTCGTGACCCAGAAGTACAATGACCTGTTGTCCTGACTTCTGAGTGAACCTAGACGAGATAAACGATGAGATTCCTTTTGTTTATGATTCAAGATTTGAAAGTGAACTGGAGTAGCATTTACGCAGGAGTCTAGTCATGTGCGAATAGTGGATTGTAAGTTCGAAGCTAATTGTGTGTTTGACCGAATATTTTTCAATTGAATATTGAATAGTTTCTCCAAGCCTTTCACTACTGCTACACCATGCTTAAACGAAAACCCAGCTAAGCTCGTGAAGGTTGTTCCTATGCTTCCACTTGTACATTTATAAGCAATTTTTTTTTAACTATATGGGCTGTGACCTTAGAAAGCCTGATGCCTTGGGATGGCAACTAAATGACGTAGTTGACATAAAATAAAACCTATAAAGATGCCCAGGTATTGAGTAGACTTACAAACCTTGCGATATGCAAATATTCTTTCTCCAATCTCGGATTTAAACAAACAAACAAAAAGGAATCACAAATGATGAATGCAGGTTGTCAGGGCATCTCTACCTAACCATAATCTTGCATAACAAACACAATTATTTAGCAACTAAAATTTCACTGCAATGTAGATACCAACATTCACAAAGTTTCCGTTCCTTTTTAAATACACCGGGTGTGCATGCACCATCTTGGTTTGAAAGTGCGCTCTTCTCCTAAGCACGTAATTGTAATCTGCATACTTTTCAAAGTGTTCATCGCGATGAGTTACCCCGTTGAGTGTGCTTCTTACCAAGCACCAGTGCACTGCAGAGAAGCAACACTCGTGGAGCTTGCTTCCGCAGGTGTTGGTTCTTCGCAGCGCACTCGTGCTCGGTAAGGAGCGCACTGAACAAGGCTAATCCGCCGCGATCAGCACTTCTAGAAATATGGATATTGCAGTTCATTTCAAAGCGAATATCAAATACTGTATTATACTAAACTACTATTCGAAATTCTGAATATTTGCACAACACTACTCAGGACAATTGACTCTGTGCTCTGACCAAACTTCATTTTTATATTTATCCGAAAACACGAAACTCCAAGGATAAAGTGTGCATGATAACAGGATGCTGGTATGCTACTGACTGCTGGTACACTAGCTTCTCAGGAAAGTCACGATGACGTCATATCGCATCACGCCAGTGTCACGCAATAAATACTATGACATAACAGTGAAATCATGTGACAACGATTGATAGGTACGTAACACAATCAGGTAGCTCTGGTGACATCTATAGTGGGCAGGCAATTATGTAACTGTAGCTCACGTGATCACGTAAGCTGTAATGATTATGTGACGTCCCTGACATTGGGAGACAAATTTTTTTGCGGCAACACGTAGCAGCTGTAACGACACTACTGATCCAAGCCACTTGAATGCCACAGGGATAGAGCATGAGACTATGAAGCGAGAGGCCTAAGGTTTGATTTCTGGTGAGGGACAAAGCGCCTTTGTAAAGACAACTGGTAGGTGCCGAGGGACGTTTCGTGACACTCTAGACCCGGACACCGGCCCGTAAAACCGTTCTACTTCAAAAACTCCCAAAGTTCCACCTCGGCTTCGGCGCACTCACCCGAAGCATGTCGTCGGAGAGAGTACCTCGTCCCGGACCAAGTTCCACGATGTAGAGTGGTTTGGGCTTGCCCGCCTTGACCCACTCATTTAGGAACCACACTGCGACCAGCTGCAGAAAAAAGGCTGCAATCAAGCTGTCCCCTTCCAGGCTTCGAGACTGCTAATGAACGATGCAAGAGCAAGAACTCCTGACTTGGGTCACGTACCTCACCAAACATCTGAGAGATCTCCGGCGACGTGGTGAAGTCTCCCGAGCTTCCAAAAACGTCCCTGTGCATGTAGTAGCCCTAGAATGGAGACGAAAACACGTCTGTGGTTAGAGCAGGAGCCGAAGGTGGGGTTCAGGCTTGTCCGGTGCTCGCGCAACATTAATTTTTCTGGTGCTTTCTATTTCACCGGAAAACGCGGAATTGTAGGTGAGCTTACGTAAAATCCGAGCTATCATGGTCATTTCTGCCACCATTGATTCCAATTTAAAGTCGTATCCCTGAAATCGACGGAAAAAAATCGCACCACGTAAACCAAACTTTTTACTTGCACCTTCCAGTGAACTAGATGTCAAGCCACCAAATTTATTTAAAGCAAAACAGTCTGAAGAGTTCATGGAAAAAATGACAATGTAACAAATATACCATCAGCTTTTCTCTAATACAGGGCAAACAAGACGGCTTTTGGAGAGGGGAAAAAAGATACTAGGCCTATAAATCATCCTGTGTGTCTGAATGTCCGAAATGGGCTGTCACTACCCAACCTTATACAAACTTCCTAAAGAGCTATGCCAGTCTATGAGGATATGTATGTCATGTATAGGTCATCAAGAGTTATGTAGGCAATTTCTAGGTCATCAAGAGTTATGTAGGCAATTTCCTAGAAACTTATGTAGGTCGTGGAGAGAAACAGTACAGATGCACAACTGTGTGGCACCACTTCACCATTGAGCAAATGGTAATTTTTTACTTATGCATTCTGGGTTGTGATGATCTGTACCCAGCACATTGCTTGGGAAACGGCCACGGCGGCCAGGAACAACAGCACGAAACGGGAGTGTGCGCCTTTTATAATACCAGGCAGTAACGCCCTCACGTGTCCAGGTCCATATCATCACGCTCCTCCCACCCTTAAGAAATGCATGTCAGTAACAATTCCAAAACCATTAAAATAGCTTAAATAAAACAAACAGTAGCACTTGGTGGTTAAAGGAAGTAATTCAGCACTGGCCGACGCACCCTGGTGAGGCGTGGCGACGGTCGTTTGGCAGGGGAACTTTGCGCCCTCTGAAGCGCTTGGCTGCTGTGGTTCTTCAGCTGACACCCTTGAGTAGGATCATTCTAGCATCAAGACAGGAGATATCAGGCGCCAGAATGTGTCCTGCAGTGTTCGACATGTCAGAAACGGGACCTGGAGTGTCAGGGTCCAAGTCTGCAGCTGTGCCAGATGGTTGGTTTCGCTGATTCTGTAGCAGTGGTTCAGCCTGCCGGAGATGATCATGGTGGCGTGTCCGGCTTCATCCATCAGCCAGTTGGAGGTCTGATGAAAATGTGTCCTGCACTGTGACCACAGCCGGCAGCCAAGCAGGACCCAGACAAAAGTTTCTGACAAACACCCAGTCCCCAGGGTGTCCTTGAATCCGAGGTTTTGTTTCTTGGTCATATCTGATCTGCTTGAGCTGCTTCTGCAGCATGGTGGTCCTTAGGTCAGGTCAAAGCAGGTCTATTGCAGTCTCATTGCCCTTCCGAGTAGTAGTTTGGAGGGGCTGCATCCCGTGACTTTCTAGGTGTCGATCTGTATGTCAGTAGCAAGCGTGCAATTTGTGCACGAACATCCCCTGGACCAGCCTTCTGCAGCTTCCTTTTTACTGTTTGAATGGCATGCTCTGTAGCACTGTTAGACGCTGGGACCTTGCACACTCATCTCGATGAAGCGAGTGTCACAAGGCTTCCCCTCAGGTCCCAAGTCCAATCGGCCGCCAATCCACAAAGTTTCCCTCACTCGTGAAACCACTGGGCCCCTGGCAGTGGCCTCTGCAACAGCAGGCGACGACAGCACTCGTGGGTATACTCCCACTGGCATGAAGACATCGGCAGGGCAGTCCACAGGAAAGTCTGTTGTGGGCAGTGGCAGGCGACTCGGTCCGTCTGCATGAGTGATATGGCTACCAGGCCAGTAATTCAGCATATAGCAGTACCCAGACAACAACACGACCCACCGCAGCACCCTTGAAGAGCAGGACTTTTCAAGATGATCAGTGATGACCTCGAAAGATCGGCCCCACAGGTATTGCTTAACTTTGTGACTATGAAAACGAGGCTCAACGCTTCCTCGTCCAGCAGGCTGTAGTTTCTTTTCGCAGCTGCCAGACTTCGAGATGAGAACGCAATTGGGCACACCTCCCCCGATGATTCTCATTGTGCCAACACTGCCTGAAACCCATTTAGGGAGGCATCAGCGACCAACAGTCAGCCTTGCAGGATCAAAGTGTGCTAAAACTGTGGCGGAGGCTAGCAACTCTTTTATTTTCCGAAATGCGTGCACTCCCTTGGATGTCCAGCACCAAAGGGGCCCCTGCCACAAGCGAGCGGTTTAGGGGGTGCAACACACTGGAAAGGTTTGGCATGAATACTCTATAAATGTTGATCAAGCCCAAATAGCACTGCATTTCCTTCACATCCTAGGGTGGGGGTGCTGCTAATGCGGCTTCTGTCTTGGTTGGATTCGGTTGAAGACCAGTTGAACTGATGATGTGCCCCAGAAACTTCACCTCGGGTGCCAGGAACTCGCATTTTGAAAGCTTCTGCCGCGATCCCGCTTTTTTTCATTCACCCCAGGACTTCCCGCACATTCTTCCAATGGTCGCGGTCATTGGCGCCGGTCACCAGTATATCGCCAATGTATACCGTGACATGGTCAAGGTCGTGTAGCAGGTTCTCTATCTCCCATGAAACAACGATGGGGCTGATGACACCCGGCCCGAACGGGAGTCTGGTAAGCTGGTACAGACCTTTCGAGATGTTTATGGTCACATACTTCCGTGAGTCTTCATGCAGCTACACCTGTTGGTACGCATCTTTCAAGTCAAGCTTTGTAAACATGGCCCTCCCCCCAATTAGCCCTGCAAACAACTCCTCGATGAGAGGGATCAGATATGACTAACATGGTCACGGGATTGACAGTTATCTTGAAATCGTCGCACAGGCGAACACGCCAATCCTGCTTCAGTACGGGAATGATAGGTGCGGCCCATTCGGATGTCTTCACTGGTCAAATGACGTTTTTCGGTTTTCACATTGATTGTTACAACTGCGTAAGAGCCCCCCTGTATCCGTTGGAAAATGAGAATAATGCAAGGTGGCAAATAGGTAGATTGCAATAAGGCAGTCATCTATTCGGACTTAATGTGACCACACCCCTCAATGGTATCATCATCACCAGAATGCAGTCGAAGTCCCAGACATCTCTTTGCTCTACGCTTCAAATGTATGCACCCTTTTTTTTTTTTTTTTTACGGACAATTGTACGTTGAACGTACCGACATTGGGTTTGTGAGCACCTCCTTCATGTACTCTGCCACGGTGATGGGTCCTGTGGCAAGGATCCTTGACCTCAGTTGCTGCAACAGCCTGGTCTCAGCCGACTTGGCCTGAGCTTCGATCACCATGGAGCGTTTACTCAGCTGCTTTGCGATACCTGTGATCAAGCGTAAAGTTTCCTTGCAATTGTTCATCTTTAGAAGAAAAAATAAATAAATAAAAACGCTTTCAGTAGTTTTTGAGGGTACGTCTGCACTGTTTTGAAGAGCGGTTAATGCAATAGCCCCAGCGTGTTTTTTTTTTTTTTTTTTCTGCACGAGCACGCGAGCAAGCATTGCACTAAAGTTACGCGCTCGCGCCAGTACAAAGTTGTAACACAACTCTTGAAACGGAGTAGGAGATACCCCAGAACATAAAGAAAAAAAACAGAAAATCGAAAGCGACAACAACGCTTGAGATGTGGTGGAAGAAATTGGAAACCTTTTAGTAGAAGGAACCGACACAGAAAGGGACGTCTCAATTAAGGGACGTCCGTGTCTGTTCCTTCTACTAAAAAGTTTCCAATTTCTTCCACCACGGTCTCAGGTGTTATATGACATAATTAGCTATCACCAGCTCGCCTGCACACTCACTGTCTTAACGCTTACACTGTTAATTATGGTAAGTATTACGTGAACATCATAAACATCGCACAAATCAAGCTGAATCCTTCTCGCACAGGTCGAGTTTGCACGCAAGTGCTCGTCGCAGTCACTTGCATATTTACTCGCTATTCATTTAGACACCATAATGACTAGTGGCTTCCAACCTACCTGGGTCAATCGTAGGAGTTTTGCTGTGAATCTCTCTCCGGAGGACAAAGTTAGTCCCTCGTAGAAGTTTGCACGCCGCGCGTGCTGCCATTGCGCTCATCGTCCGACCCCTTCCGAGGATGTTTTTTTTTCAGGCTTTGTATAGGAGACAGCAAGCCCCAGCGTAAGTTCAGTGATAAAGTGAAACCAGAGCGTTTTTTCCCCTTATCTGGTTATCTAACGTCGGCGTTACGCGGTTATCAGTCGTCGCACCCCGCCTCGAGCGCATCCATCAGCTGTAGTGCCATTTAATATTTTTTTTTAAAGCTGAGTTGGCCGAGGCGAAGTTTAAAAAAACATACGGAGAGGCGTAAAGGCGGACACGCAAAGGTTACTAACAAATATAATTTATTATGTAAAATTAACACGCTTAAATTATTTTAAACTTGGGTTTTTAAGTTGTAAATTAAATAAAATCGCATTATTTATTTGTTATCTGCGGCTATTGAGCTACGGCTCTTTCAGCACGCTATGTTCGTTTAGTTGTTTAGTTTAGAGTCAAATGTCATGACTCCTGAAGGACAGCAAAAAGCGCGTGACGTCACTATATTGAGGCTTTCGGAGGCTTTCATATTAACTCTATGCATTTCATGAAGGCCGGCGTTGGGTCGACCCGGTCGACGCAACGCTAAACGTTGCGTCGACCCAGAACGTCATATCCGGTTTTTTACAACGCATGGGTCGCAAAGCTTTTACATACTATATTACTAATAAACTATTTTAATGTCAATATGATATTAACTCATTACAAACCCATTAGTTTTTCAACAAAACGATATTGTTACTCTGATGTCATATCCGGCTTTAGATTAATTTAAAATACAAATGGGTCGCTTGTGTTATATACTTGCACTTGTTTGAAATTTGTTTTAATTATTATCTATTAAGTTAGTAAGGCAAACCCATGCCATCAATGACCAGGACCAAAAATTGCTGCCACCTCGCGCTCCGGTTCAAGAGTACGCACACATGTTTACAAATGGCGGCGCTATGGCAAGTCAGCTGTCGGGACTATTCGGTTATTTAGAGAATTTCATGTAGTTCTTAACAAATTAATGTATCAGTCAGCCCATGTATGCATCTTGATAATATAGCCAAGCCTGCATAACCTTCGCGATCCTAACTATCGCTGCTCACCAGAGCAGCACTGACCCCAGCGCGTCCTCCCCGCTCGCCGAAAACCGCTGAGCCACAAGCATGCAAGATCACGCTGGACCACTGCGCTGGACGCTCACGCGATGCCAGAAAATCACTGAAGGTGGAAGCCTCGCCGGCCTCGTGCCGAAAGCAATGTGTTCCCCATGCCTGCGAGCGAGCTGAGAAACACAAGTACGAGAATATTGTCTTGAGCAGCGTTTACACTGCACGAGAGCGCTTGCACACCTCAGGGCCACCTCGGAGTGTAGAGCTTTTCGTTGCTTTGGCCTCTCCCTCCGTCGTCCTTGCATATCTCACGACGATAACAATGTCTTGCCTAAGCGTACCAGTGGTACGATCTCGGGAAGAACAGACCACTTTACCGAAGCCCAGTTACACGAGCATCCCAGCGGTTTCTGGGAAGAAGAGGCAGGGGGACATTCCCCTGCCTCCTCATCCCAGAAATATATATGCACTACATTAATAAGAGTGAATACAGGGTTACTTCTCTTGTGTTCCCCTTGTCCTCTTTTTTTTTTTTTCTTCTTCTTCTTTTGTGTGTTGTGTTTTTTAATGGGAGAATGTGAAAGTGTAAAATGCTTGGCATTGATTTTCCGAAGCAAATGTAGATGTGATGGATGCCTCGGGAAGAACTAAGGATTAATTTGAACCACTTCACTTCGGTTTTCTTTTCACATGCATAAAAGACCTCTATTACACAGTAAGTAAAGCTACTGGTAGATTAAGCTGCACATTTTGCCTCTTTAGTTACCTATCTATGATGCTGGCCTTGAAGGTGCACTTATGTAAGCATTGACAATATTTTCATCTGTGTTGTACCCTGGAACCCAGCATGCTTACACTGAGCTTACAAAAAAAAAATGGGAGGGCAGCTTTTATACTGTTAGCAACAACTGTAATCAGCCTTACTGAGCGCAACATGGTTGTTTATTTCTTTATTCTGTATTACCCTGTCAAGGTATTACAGTTGGAAAAGTAAAAGTTTGAAGAAAAAAAACAAAGAAAATTCTTTTACCTGCACCAGAAAACTTAAAATGCAAATTTGCAGGAATAATTTATTTGAGGCACCAAACATGATAACCACTGGGGGACCAGTCAGGCAATACGCATGCACGACCAAATGTCTGACTGGTCCTACGACATACCAGAAAGATTGTCGAACCTCATCAGGTGCCACCCACTCGCTGCATCGTGTGTATTCATGCATAGGCGTAGACTACGGGGGGTCATAGGGGCTTGTTCCCCCCTAATGAGATCCGGGGGGCTCCATCCCCCCCGGGCCCGGGCCATGATCCTTACCGAGACGCTGTTTCTAGTAGTGGCATGTAAACAAAATAATGCCCACGTTGCCTTTATTGACAAAATGCATGAAACATAGAATCCCTGCGTGCTTCTGGGGGGGGGGGGGGGGGGGGGGGGGGGGGGGGGGGTGCTTTTCCACTTGAGCGGAAAACACCTCCCCCCCCCAAGAAGATGGAAAGTTTACGCAGCTGCATTCATGTGAGTCTGTGATTGTTGGTGTCTGATCGGGTTCAGCAGTCTTTTTGGCATGTCAAACAACCAGTCGGATGTCGAGTCGTGTATGGCCTGCCCGGGCCCCCAGTGTTTACCACATAAAATGTGGCATTTCGCAGTCATTAATACGCGGGAAGCAGCTGTCCAAGCGTAAATGTAAAACTCAAAAAATAAAAAAAAGAAGTCATTGTTTCTTTGTTGTTTTTTTTTTTTTTTTAGTAAAGGACTCTGACAACCGATATGACTGCAATATGCAAAAGTGGACAAATGACGAGAAAAAAACTTTCAGCCTCTCCACTGTGGTGAAGAAGGAAAACCAGCGGAGCTGAACAATGAAAAGTAACGGCTGGCCGCAAGTCAGCAAGCCTAAGTGGAAAGGCTGCCGCCACCCATGAACGACGGCGGCAACCAGATAGGTGGCTTGCCGCCGTCGCTCATAGATGGTGGTAGGTGTCCAGAGTTCGGTGTCTTCATTTCTTTGTGAGGGACACGATCCTGGGGAAACTAGCCCTTAACAGCTCCGCTGTAAAAGTGGTTCCAGCAGGGCATAGAGAAGCTGCCACACAAGTGATGCAAGGGCATTCAGCTCCTGTGGCAGTCTGTCAAGGTGGACATGCGTGCCTACATCTAGGTGACCGGTATCTGCAGCAGAAAACAAAATTGTGAATCCAAATAGTATGCTTCTGGTAATTGGCTCTAGATCATGTGGCCACTTGTTCTGTCTGTGGGTTGGGGTGAACGCTGCTAGTTTTTCTGAACCATTTTCCGCGACTGCCATTACATGAAGAGAAAAAAAGTGGAACTGGGCGTCGATTAAAAATTTTAACCCGATTGACACCCTTCATCCAATTAATTAATTGGTCTCGTTCATAACTCAAAATTACATATATATATATATATTTTTTTTTTGCCTTTGCTTAATATGTGACAAACGGTGCAATATACAATTTTAATTACAAATCATCGTCGATATGTTGTTCTGTACAGTTCAGAGACACTCACACTCGCAGGTTATTACTTCAGCTGCTTGAGGCAAGGAAGTTTGTTCGTATTCTCCGGCAACAGCGGCCACCTTTGATTGTTCACAATAGTCTCTGCTGCACCAAACGGACACTCGCATGGCATTGAAGTGGCCGGGACACGTGTAAACTTCTGCACTTGTCTGGATTTACAAGTCTCGTCTTTACAGTTTACTTTAGGTTAAAATGTCACTGAAAATATGCCCTTCATATAGGTGTACTCATCCACATCTGCGTGGTGAAAGCATTTAATTTTTACTTTTGGTCTGTCGAAATTTTACCAATCAACCGGTTAAAAAAATTAATCGTGATTAAAGCATTAGGCGGTAGGTTAATCGACCAATTGCCCAGCCCTAGAAAGAACCAATGTGTGTTTCATATAGGTTATGAACATTAAATAATAAGTTACAAACATACAAAGAGGAGGGTATGTCACTGGGGACAGTGCCTCTTCTGACCAAGACATGTGCCCCCCATGCAAGGCTCCATTTCCCAACAATTCCTTCACAGCAGAGTTTTAGTTTATTCGCACGTAACAGTCTAACCGACTACCTCCCGAAATAAGGGAAATCTGACAATAATTCGCAGTTGGGCTGCAACTCGGTACACTGAAGCCACCTGAGCAGGTTTCATCATAGGCCAGCATGCTATCTCAATGTCACCAGGGCAGTAAGTAAACAGGAACTGAAGACAGACTCAGATATGCAAAAAAAAGAGTAGTCGAGAAGATTTTGACGAGCGTGTTGGAACAGATGGAACAGTAAGAAAGCACAAAACGAACAGAAGGACAAAACAGACCTGTACAAGCTTTCAGTTTACAACAACATATATTTGTTGCCAGCAAACTCTGCACCGACAAACGTTGGTGGGGAAGGGGGGAAGGAGCGAGAGGGAGAAGAAAAGGAGAAGGGTGCACGAGGGGAGAGAAGGAGAAGGGAAGATAGCATTTTCGCATACGGACATTGTAAAATCGGTATACTGGTTTTACGAGGCAGAACATGTACTAATCTCTGCAATGGAAATAAAAATATTGCACCACAATATCATGACAATTGTGCAAAGCCAAAGTGACTGTTTATTTTGTCTTCTACATCCACAGCCATTTCTTTCCACTAAAGGGTCTCGACAACTGAGGTCTTCCTGCATCTTGCACATGTTCTCAGTAGACTACAGCTTAAAATGCTACAGTCTACCGACAAAAATTGTATTCATGCTATCAATCAATCATGGTTTTATTGCGTGTTTCCAGGCAACTCTTAAACCTAAACAGGGGTGCACTCACCCCATCCAATAAAAAGAAAACCAACATTGTCACATCCTAATTAGCATACATGAGACTTCTTTTTGTTTTTTACATTGAAAAAGGAGCAGAGAAGTCAAGGTATGTATTGTCGCATTTATTATATGCCTGCTGAATCCTAGACAAAGGAGTTTCACAATGCAAATTACAAGAATGAAAAGGTGCCCTAAGCCTGGTTTGACATTAAGGAACATTGAATAAAATCTTACTACCGTCAAATACCGGGCAAGCGCCCACTCAAAATTTAGAGATAAACGCGAAAAAATGGGGG